ATACTGGTCTTCAGGCTCAGGGCAGCGTCCAAGGCCGTAACATACTTGAGGCACAAAGACAACAGGCGTTGCTATGTTATGCTCCGAGGCTGATCTCTGCGTCCATCTTCCAAGTCGCAATGGACCAGCTGCGAAGTGTACAATGAATTGAAAACTATCGATCGAAACTAGCCTCGGCGTATGCATCTTGTTTCCGATGGTTAGTGTTCGCTGCCGCCCTGCGGCCCGTGAGCTAAACCGGGAATACACTCAAGGAGGACTCTGGGGAGCTTTGCTTGGTCCAGATGGCGAGAATTATGAAAGATTTGCAGCATAGCCCTGCACCTGCTTGCGGCTTCCTGCTTCTAATTGTCACCGTGAGCTCCGTTGAATGTTGAGGCTCTCCACTACGGCTCGACATCGATGGTTGTTGGGCGCGACACACCGCTCATGAGATCGCGAAAGCAAATTAAACTATACATGAGGTATTGACATGTCTATCTTGACAATAGCACTGGGGCTTTTGGGCTGTCCATAACTACATGTCTACGTCCCGTTGTCTCAGGCTCTGCACAACCTCAAATCCCTTTTCATTCGAAGTCCCTGCCCCCAGCCGGTGACCCCGAGTCTGCTGTTATTTCTTCGAAGCTTTCGGCAGACCTTCTGGTTAGGACTTAGCTTCTTTTCCTTCGACTCTTCCTCAATTCTGTGCTACGCGTTCCCATAACCGCCCCCTGAAGCCTCTGACTCTGCCTTCTCAATACATTCCTGTACGATCCTAGGTCAGCCACTACCACTTGAAATCGCAGCGTGGGTATATAGACAGCCAGATCCTGCACTCGCGCGGTTGTGTCTTGTCTGTAGCTGTTATCTCTGGCAGCTTGCGCTTTCAACACTGCACTTTCCGTCTGTGACACCATATTCGTCGAGCAATACCATCACCCGACCCGAGCCCGACGAAAGCAACCCATCTTAACATTCTATTTGTTGGAATATAGAGGGAAACACGACAACACTCATATGAGTAAGGCAACGGTGAGACACGATTATTGTTTTCGAGTTCGGCACTTACTACAAGCCCTTTGTTCGTTATCGCATCGCTGGCAAGCGCCTCCTTCATTACCTGTTGGGACGGATCTCGAAGCCATCAAGCCGTTTCCTGGTACTCATGGGTGTCGTCCTGTTCTTGAGAAGTACCGATATCATCAGTGGTTTCAAAAAAGATGGGCTACTGTTCCTAGTTCATGGGCGAGCATTGTTGCTTTATCAGAAGAAGGATGTGGACATGCACCATGGGGCAGCGGCTTGTATCTGGAATTGGCCACTACCTCTTTGACTCAATCTGAGTGTCTTCCAGCTTCACAAAACCTGCCTCCTTCGAATGGCGTCTTCAATCTCTAAGACTATGAGTTCGAAGCAACTTGAAGCTAATACAGTCTTAGAGTTAGGTCCGATCGAGAAGAGAACGAGAAAGGGGTGCCATCTTTATCAAGAGCGAAGACGAAGATACCGAGAAAGTCTGGCTCCAGCAACCTGAGGTGTGTTTTCCAGATCCCTCGAGGCTTAGCACAATACTACCCAGAGGTAGTTTGTGAACAGATTGCTAATCTTCAAATGGCCAGCTGGTTTTATGGTTCGACCGACAACTGCGATTCAAGACGTTCATTTGATGGTTCAGAACAGACCGTCAAGTCGGAAGTGCGCATGAATTCTCAAATTCCGAAGGTAAGATCCATCTTGATATTGGTCATAGACGGGTGTCATTGGCTCCAAGCAACGTCAATTTCGGTAATATGTTACGTGTGAATGGCGGGCGCACAGAGCTGTCAATTACGGGACTTTCTCTTTCCTACGGTATGTATCAAAGTTTCTTTGGTCCTAACATTTGTCCCCTCTTTTTCTCAGTGCCTGTGCCAGATAATGTGGCTACATTTGCCATCTGCGAACCTGCTTTCGCTTCTCCTCGAAAGGGCTTTGCCTAGAAGCATTCTGTTGCAGACCGATGCGTTATAGACAAGGCCTACTTCGAGTAATACAAAGATTAAAGCAGCTCGTCAAGGAAGATAAACAAGTATTATTTCTTGCGCGATGGGAAGTGCTATCCGGGGCGCGATGTTATTCTTGGTCACACTTTACACTCCGTGCTTTGTGTTTGGTGTACCAGAGCAGGCAAGCCGAAGATCTTGACCATAGCAAAAAGTCCGCTTGGAGTTCCCGAGTTCCACCGGACGTGATTTGCAAGACTGTGAACGAGGCGAGCTATGACATACAAGCATCGCAGTCAAATAAACATGCATTGCTTTGGAGGAGAACGAGAGTCAAATAATGCTTATTGAACTTGACTGACACAATGGTTTACAGCTATCCTGTCGACGCCAAATTTATATCCTTACCGAAGCGAAGAATCGAGCGGCTCCTGCAACTACCAGGATTGATCAAACCCGACAATAATCAATCAAGTGCTAATACCAAATTTCTTCAACAGGATTACGAATCTTCGACGCCCACCATGGGTTACATGGACATGGCGACACATACTGGAGAGATGAGGTCAGTGATTTCTCTTTGCTCATTTTCCCTCTACCCTTCTTATCGTTCTTCACATCACTCAATGATGAGCTTCTTTATCGAATACTGTAATATGAGCTTTCACCTATGGCGTTTATCTGCCGGAATCCGTTAAGCCACTCGGGTTTCACTCATTCATTTCCATGGTTGTTTGGTTATGAGTGGTTCGGGTTTGTTCGCGAGCTGCGAGCTAGGAAATGGGGCAGATGTCATCAGAACCAACCAGGCTAAGCTTTCTGAGCTATACCCATGTCGCTGACGGCAATGGCTGAGATGGAGTTCCCTATTTACCCACTACATACTTTCCAAATATCGTCTATTTCCCCTGTTTACACTTGTCACAATTGTCGTTTCCTATGCATAATTTAGCTATCGCTGTAGCTGGCCTCAACTTTTGCGGCGCCGTTAGCAAGTCCTGAAAGTGATGGACATTTCGGGCGTTAGCAACTGACTATCTCTTGTCAACCCTTGACTCGCTACTCGCTACAGAGCACCCCCTGTCATTTTGCTTTTGTTTTGCTTTTGCTTTTCTTTTTACTACCTGTGTCATGGTCCGCCACCTGCAGTTCATTTGACCCGACCATCATTGTCTCTGTTCTCGAGCATCCCCCACAGGTTTGTGAAACCATCATATAAGGACGAGTTTTATTCGCGATCCCCTCACCCGTCCATTTTTGGCGTGACCCAGTGCTCGCTACAACTCGCCTTATTCATACAAATGTACTCTATAGATCTACAAGGGTCCATCACAGCAGGGTTGGGCTAATTGGCAGCAAGTGCAGCCCTGTCTACGCTTTTTTTTTTTACGGTCAAACATTCCAGTCCCCATTGTTCAATTATTACGCAACATTCTCATTCAACCTCCCCTCTCTAAGCTCTTCTTTCACTTGTACTCCCTATTACTGCTCTCGCGGAGCAAACTCCTGCGACATTCATTCGTTTTCAAAACTTCCAAGTCGGTCAGTGACGGTGCTCCTCTCTCAGGCTCTCGGTGCTTGCTTGCCGGCCGCCTGTCAACTCGGATCCCTCTCGGTGGCTTGGTCATAACGCAATGGGCAACTAGGTAGCTGCTGTCTTTGTTCAACATGGACGCCCGGGGTGTGGCTTTCGCTACCTTGCTCGGAAACTAGTCCCTAGCACCTTTCCCTCCCTATCGTACCCGCTCACTGGCTGCACTGCTATTACCTTATTTGAGATTCTGCTTACTGCTAGTCTGCTCCCTACCTCTACCTACTCTTTCTGTCCTTTCACACGCCCACTACACTACACTGCACTGCGCTGCATCTATTACCTGCCTACATATCTCACTTTTACTGCACGCCGCCTCGTGTCAACGTCCAGGCCCAGCCAGCGCCAGTGCCGGTGTCAGTGTTAGTGCCATTGCCGTGAGCTGCTGCATAGGCTGTCCTCGCAGCCTCTCGAAACTGCTCGGCAGCTTTGTGGCACACCAACGGCCGACAGTATTACCTGACGTACGCCTCAAGTTGTGACACGGGGAACACTGTATTTCCAGGGCATGGCAATACAGCATCTTTGTGGCCGCGTCCTTTGCCGTTGTCGCTGCCACTGTCGACTGCCAGTGCCGTGCAGTTGCCGTTGCCTACCTCTTTACCTAGCATTATCGCTTCTTGATTCTTCTGTTGTTTCTATTAACTGGTCAGCCTGAGGCCGTTTTGCTGATGAGGCGCCAGATACCCGCAAGAGACCAGTACTTCTCTGACGATAGAGCCCTCCCAGCCCTCATCGCTCTTAAACCTGTTCCATCCGCCAGTTCTCAGTTCCGCCGCGCAATACCCTCAGGACGGAGGTGCTTTTTTCCAGTCTCAGCCGACTGGTCATCATCATCTGTACCCAGGCATAGACGTCCGCTCTCGCCTGGGCTCCAAGTAAGTAGTATTTCTTTTATTTCTCGTTCAGCCTCTACGCCTCCGCTCGTTGTTCTTCCGTCAACTTCAAAACTTGAAAGTGGGAATCACGCTGCAGCTGCACGCTATATCATTGACACCTCTTGTTCCTTCGCTTTTTGTTCTCAACTGTCATCCAATCCTTTATACTCACCCTGCCTTGCAATCAATGTTTGGGTTTGGCTGGGTATGCCATTCTGAACAACGAGTACCCAGAGCCGTGCAGAGTAGAAACTGACTGCTACCGGCAGCACCACTTCCACGACGGGGATGGCACATCCCTATCCCCCTTCACATCGCACCCCAGGCCTGCCTCACCCTGGTCCACAGATCAGTGCTCGAGAGCAGTACACCTCTGCCACGCCAGGGTTTAGGAGGCCTTCTGAACATTCTGTACGATCACCTTCTTTTGCCACGCAACCTAGAGGAAGGCATCCTTTGTCGCCAACTACCAGCCCCAACACGGCTTTCTCGGCCCCAAGCATGGGCTCGAGCGGATACAGCAACAGGCCTTCGGGAAATACCATCCCCCCCTTGCACAACGTCCATATGATGGGAAGCCTCCAATACAACGACGGGGCTGGAACACCCGTCAAGGTTGACATCAACGGGACAATCGACAAAGGCTTCTTCTTGTCAGAAAACGAATGGACATGCTACCGGAGGAATTATTTCTCGTGCATTTGCTCTTATACTTTGAGCCCTCACATACCGAGCGTCTCCATTCAGTATACTGCAACCGGCTCAACACAGCCAGTCCAAGTGTACGGATTCGCCATGTCTATCTCAGCGGTCGTCTCTGACAATGAGTCACACAACATCGAGCTGGTGCAGCACACCCCAAAGCGTGACAAGGGACCTATTATGAAACCCGAAAAGGTTCGACTGGGTAGCAAGCCCCGTGAGGCGAGCCATCACCACCATATGGGTATGTTTACGGATTCGGTCGTCTCCAATCGTCCTGTATACCCCGACAACTTCAGCAACCAACCTGGCAGCCAGCAACTACCTACGGAGCACACGTTTGAGCGCATTCAATTCAAGCAAGCCACGCAGAACAATGGCAAACGAAGAGCTGCTCAACAGTACTATCAGCTGGTTGTCGAGCTCTGGGGCGACGTTGGGAACCAGAGTGGTGGCGACCAGTTTGTCAAGATAGCCACACGCAAGTCTGCAAAGATGATCGTACGGGGGCGCTCGCCAGGTCATTACCAGAACGACAGGCGGGGAAGCCAAAGCAGTGGGCCAGGTGGATCTTCAGGCAACCTTGGAGGCTACACTGTCGGAGGCATAGCTGACTTCAGCAATCCCATGATGGGCGGGCCAAGCTACACCCCGGGCGGATTCGATGCCCGCAGCAGCCTCTACAGTGTTCGTCACCACGATATCCCACCCGAATCTATGATCCCTCAGGAGGACTCCAAGGCGATCGGTACTGCACGGGAATACCAATATTACCCAGGTCCAATGTATGAAGGGCAGAGTGAGCGCATTGATCTGTTCAATCCTCGTACAGAACGCGATAATGTCGTGCCCCATATGGCCACAGGTATGGACGTGAGCGGTAAGATCAAGCCTGACTACGACGGCGCTTCTCTTCCCAGCATCTTTCATTCGCCAGCCCAGATGAACGACCGCCCACCAGGGCCTTTCGAGGGCAAATCCACATCGAACGGCTACTATCCAATTCCTTCATCAGGAATCAACATGACCATGACATAGTGCCATCACCCATCGCTCCCAAAGACTATCAGGTCTCCTATCCTATTCATCCATTCCGGATAAGCGAGCATGAGACGAAATACTTTAACAGGTGGTCCTAGAGACCACACCAAGGCGTTAGGGCATCAACATCTATTCAAGTCCACGGGGACTGGAAAATACTTAACGATTAAAAGGAGGCGAAGCTACGGCATGACTACCAGCATAGGTGTGAAAGAGACATTTGTACGGCGTTGGCATTAGTATGGGGTTTGGATCACGGTTTTCTCAAAACTTTCGGTCGTTCGATAAAGAAGTGGACACTCCACGACGAAAACGGCTTCAGGTGCGGCAAGGTGGAGGGGAACGGAGAGAAGGATGGAAACATAACGACGTGTACGACTTGGAGCTGGCAAAATGAGGTACAGTAGTTTGTCAAGGACGAGCTAAACAACATGGTGAGAATGTACGAGACAGCACATCAGCGGCAACGGCAACAAAAGCGAGGTGAAGTGGGAGACAACAAGCTCAGGGCCGTGAGGACGCTGTGGGGTTTGGTTTTGTCTGTTTTGCGGAGAAGGATACCCGGGACGCGTGCATTTTCTTTCTTTACTTTTACTTCTTGTGGCCCATATTTCATGAGCTTGGCTTTGTACTAAATCTAATCGTCCCGTCTGTCCTTTCTCTCTACCAGTGGTCCAGGAACGCAGGCTCCTGCCGGCCATGGATGTTGTCGCATTTGCTAGTGTCGATGAAGAGGCGATGAGCCAAGACTGGCGACAAGGCTAGTCATGCCGATCCTCCTCCGCTGGGCGCTTACACATGTGATGTCACGGAGGGAACGAGACAAGGGAATAAGAAAACTGGCGTTGGGGATATCGGCAGGAAGATCAGTCAAGAGTACGGGGGTAATAGCATCCAGATCAAGAGGACATTTGCATATCGAATGAAAGATTGCCATTGATTGGCGGCGATGACATGACAGTACCCATGCTCTACTTGGTCGTTGAATGAGAACCCGGCTTACTGCACAAGACAAGACTAGACCGAAGGCTAGACTACGGTACGTTACTGGTACTGTACAACCCAACCCAAGGTGCAACGCATGCAGGGACCTCGGGGATAGATAGATAGCGCGTGTTTCAGAAGGGTGATCCGTGGCTGAGAATTGAACAAGAAGATGAAGTCTAGACTACAGATGTTCTATTTTGTCTTTGTCTCTGTCTCTTCCTCTCCGATCTGTTGCGTGTTCCGTGTATTGAAGGCGAGAAGAGACACGAGGACGTGTTAGGGGTGTGGACCTGGAACATGGCAGTGAGTAAATGATTCGCAACTTTGTCTCTTTTCAGCGAGAGCAGGCAAAAGCCGACCCAGCCTCAAAGGATTGGTCTTTGATGTGACAGCCAACGATATGGCTGAGTTGGACATTACTCTGTTCTGGTCTGCACCGGGGGTCAGATCCAACCCAAGACCAAGACCAGGAGTGAGAGCGGATGAGTGTAAGGACAAGGGGTGTAATGAGGGTGATGCAATTAATGTGACGAGTGTCTTATACCGATACCCCTGTCTGGCCTTTTCTTACCCAGCCTTGTTGCCTGCACCACTCTTATCTCAATCTTATTCAATGCATGAGTATGATGCATGCATGAATATGCGTATCCGCAATACCAAAAGTTCAACACATGATGGGACTTTAGTTGGTTGAGGCTTGACCGAGCGAGGCTGGACTGTTTGGTTAGATTAAAGTTAATCTAGGCACGCTAAACACGTTTTACCAGCGGGAAGGGGACGGACCGCTACAGTACGAGACGCTAAGTGCCTTGACGTTGTAACCCAAATTAATTAGTCAAGTTAGCTGACGTTATCACGGTACGGAAATGAGATGGCTGTACAGTAAATGAGATGGAGCTATGATCACGATAGACCGGGGACAAGGCGGGTGTAGACGGTTTATGAACAAGCATTGCAGATTTAATGTCAAAGCTCCTTTGACGTAAAAAGGCAGGAGAAGGATGCAAAATGATGGAATGGCTATCATTAAGTGGAAATGATCAACAATTGTGAGAGTGAGTCAAGTAGAGTAAGTAACACAATACTGTAGGTACCTCGAAAGAAGGTTTGAGTGGAGATCGACGCTATCGTGAGGAATTCGGTCTGGGCTGGATAGTGGAGTCGACTCGGAGAATTTAATCACTGGCAGGTGAAAAGATACAAGAAATTAACATTGTTGGGTGTACAATACAAGTAACTCAGAGCGAGTTGGTCAGAAGCAACGTGAGAGGGAAGAGGGCTTTTCAGGTACAGTAGTGAAAAGCTGTTGGTTCAGACTCGTTGGATGAAAATCAAACTACGTACTGTGATACAATACGCGAGTAAGGTAAGGGTACTGTATGTACTGTTATGTGTACGTGCACCAGGCGAGAGACAAGGGGAAGCGAGAGAATGCTAGGCTAGTTCGTATCTCGATTAGGATTATTACCGAAAGTATATTTATAGGAGAAAAGTATACTCTGTACTGTGCTGTGCATTCGAGATGATCCAGCAAGTTAATGTACAAAAACAGAAGACGATGGAAGATCGATCAAGCCCAGGTCTCATTGCTACGTCACTCAACAGCTGACAGATGCAGATTCAGATGAATGTGGGAGGATCGATAGCCTTTTTGACTTCTTTTTCGAGTTTTTGGCTTATGAAACGATAGCCTACTGCAATGTCTGGAACATTCACAGATGTATCTGCAGCGTATCAACATCGTGACAGCTAAGACTTGAACTCAGCTACTGTCTAGCAGTTTCCTTCCTTCTTTCAGGTACAGACATTATGAAGTGGCAGGTAGGTATCTGTACTTCCCAGTCAGGCATTCTTACCCCTCACCTCCATGTCACCGAGTACCCGGTCGATGAATCCACTTCCCACCGAGAGCGGACAATTTCTGCAAGCCTCCATCTCCCCGGGGTTACACAAGAGCAAGAAATGTACTGATGTGCACGTACATGTACAGTACCCTCCCTGCGTAGGGCATGTGCGATGTGCATATGCGGCGCGGGCGCGGCAACGCAACCATTAGAGGCCGAAGAGACGAGAGCGCGAGTCCTTCTTTTGTTATTGCCGTGTCCTCAAACCATCGACGTGTGTTGTCTCTGTACATTCCATTGTTCTCTCGCCTTTTCTTCGGCCTCGCTCTCGGTCTTGGAAAGAATCCGTTTGGTCACATTAAGCGAGATTCAAATAAGAGGAAGACCAACAGAGTCATGTACATTCTTTAGCCATCTTCAGCCAACACGCAGACTTGGCAGAGATACATGTCAGCTATCCAAAAGCAAAAGGAAAAGCAAAAAAGAAAATACAAAGGCGGGAAGGAATGCGAGACAGGACAAGGTACACGCATGCAGAGACCGGGAATCTACGTACTGAACGTATCGATCGTCCGACCCTGGATTTGAGGCTCATGCAAGCCTCCTACACCGGTGAAGGACTGGTTGCATCCCTACCTAATTCGCTCTTGGGGGGCTCCGCTCATGAGGCCTTCCTCGGACGCCGGTTGACAATGACAGAGGCATAAGAAATGCTACCAGCCACAGTCTCCAGTCTTCAGGGCGTCTGGGGTGAGAAAGAGGGTATAATCCCAGGCCAGGGCAAGGGTCGTGTGACAGGCAGACGGACCAGACGATTCTGATATGTGACAGAATAGCCAAGTATGGTAAGACGGACAGTCAGAGTCAGAACCAGAGTGGATAGCCATGATATGAGCCACGCAGGAAGCTGAACATACATAATTTGGTTTGAAAATGTTGATATGATGGACAATGTCTGTCAATGAGCTTTTGCTCAGTCTGCGCAATTCTCATTTGCCTCCCTCCTTAGATGCATAAATGCATCTCGACACCTCGACACCTCACGCTCACTTCTATTGACCGATCGCATATTGACACTAGCACTCACTATCGAGTCTATGCTCTCCAAATAGCATCAGCCATCTTAGCCACCATCCCCATCTCAGCCGTGTCGTGCACCCTCACCACATCCGCACCGCCCTGTACCGCCGCCGCTACCGTCGCTGCCGTTCCCCATGTCCGCTGCGCCGGTTCCGTGACCCCCGTGATTTTCCCGACAAAAGCCTTGCGACTCGAGCCAACGAGCCACGGAAGACCTTCTAGTCCGGGCCAGTACCGAAGCTCATCCAGCCTCCGCAATATCTCGAGGTTTTGCTCTCCCGTCTTGGCGAAGCCGATGCCCGGGTCCAGAATCATCCGCCACCGGCGGATACCCGCTTCCTCGGCCGCTGCTACGCGAGAGAGAAGCTCGGATGCTAAGGTGGGGATTAGACCTTCTGGATACGAGGTTAGTTTTGTCATGGTCTGTGGTGTGCCGCGCATGTGCATCAGACAGATTGTTTTCTGAAGGCGGGCAACGGTAGAGAGCATTTCTGAATCTAGCATCCCAGCGGATACGTCGTTGATGATGTCTGCACCGCTGGCGATGGCTTGCTCAGCGACGGATGCACGATACGTGTCGATGCTGATAGCCACATCACGAGCTTCGGGGAGTGAGCGGATGAGCTCGACAGCAGGCACAACACGAGATGCTTCTTCCTCGGCCGAAACTTCTGGTCGCCCGGGAGCAGTAGACTGGCCGCCAATATCAATGATAGACGTTCCATTCTTGACCATATTTAAGATGGTCTGGGCGAGGTTATCTCGATCATGACGACCTCCATCTGAAAAAGAATCAGGCGTCAAGTTGAGAATACCCATAACTTGGGTCTTCCTCTTGCCAACCAGAGGCGTCAAAGATCCTGCCCGTGTAGAGAGTGGCGTCATGGAAGAGAGGGGCTCGCCTAGAGGTAGTTCATTTAGATTATTCTGGATGAGCTTCCATGGTTTTCTCGGATCGAGTGACTTGGCTGGGATGAGTCTGCGATTCGTCATTAGAATACCTTGTTCCGTGTTTATCAATCATCGTAACACATACTCGGCCAGGGGTCTCAACACGAATTCTCTCTCCAGAATTCCAATATGGGGGACCTTGAGACGCTCGTGGTCGACTGTCTCGTCACTGTAGAGCAAAATGTCTAGGTCGATGTTACGCGGACCCTTATCGATGACTTTCTTGCGTCCCATATCGTTCTCAATGGATTGGAGTTGATCCAGTAGAGCTATAGGTTCCAGTTCCGTCTCAACCTGGTAAAATTGGTCAGCAAGCACAAGGTGACAAACATGATTTTGATATACATACCTCGCACGCACCGTTGACAAAACGGTCTTGGTCGGTAACGTACATAGGTTCCGTCTCCCAGAGACTACTAGTTCTCTTGACCTTGATTCCACGACGATCCATCTCGTTGCACGCACGCTCAATTTCGGCAACACGGTCCCCCATGTTACTCCCGAGCGCAATATACGCCGTCCTCTTGCGCGGGCCACTGCTCCCGCAACCACCTCCATTAGCGCACGCGCATCCACAGGCATTATGTCTGAGTCCAGGCATGGTGTTTCGCGCAAGTGAGCGCGGACGTGCTGCGGCGATGAGAGATAGGTTGTGAGGCCGCGTTGACGTCAACGAGCTTCGCGACGCAGTGGCGAAAGCCCGCAGCGAGTTAGGAGAAACATTATGGCGTGTGCTTCTAAGATTTCGTGCGAGCGAGCGAGATGAAAGAAAGGATTGTCTCATTATGAGGTTTCGCTGCTGCTACATAGCGGCCTGAGATTTGGTGTTGAGTGAGTTCGGGAACGTTGGAGCGAAGCCGCGAAAATTTGCGTTATCGGCACATTGGGTGTGGGTATAGCAATCCTAACGGTTTTGCTTAGAAGCGAAAGCTTGAAGCACTGACTGAATCTTGCACACGCCGACTTTGGTGGTGAACCAAGAGTGACTAATCGTCGATATGGCTTTTGTACGGGTTTTAGGAGGTTCCCGCTGACTTGGATGGGATTTGTTTCATTTGCATGTGGTCGTCAAGAATTGTGTCACGGGGTCGAGTCTTGCTGACTACCTACCACTAGACTCTTAACGTTAGCACCGAGCACATGTCAAAAATGAAGACTGACTAAGGTAGGTAAGGGTATGCATATTGTTAAGTGCAAGGGTTACAACAGGAACGGACTTTTAATTTTATCTGATGAACAAGATATAGCCATGTCAACTTGTCTGAACTAACAATTGAAGCAGCTGCAGAGCTACAAAATTGTTAAGAGCATCTTTTGTCCCGTCCCGAGGCAACTTCCCCAGATTCGACCGAACGCTACTCCAAATGCGGAACAGTTCAGGTTCCCCTCTCCACAATCGTTTCTGACGTCTCAGGAAGGAAGGACCTGACTCTCCAGGACCTCGGCATCTCAGGTCATTGCGACAATCATTGACCCTGCAAAACCCCCTCTCAAACTTATTCTCAGCTGATCCTTGGACCGCGATCCTTCTTATACCCCAGATTCTCTTCTCACGCTACTTCTTCTTGTTCTTTATCAATCCATATCGCTTCCATTTCTGCGCGCAACCAGCTCTTCCAGTCGCGATACGATAGCTTCATCCACATATAAAAATAACAGATAGACATCATGGCCTCACCACGTACGTCATCCCCATAATCTTCACAACATCGCCTCAATCGCTAATATGTGTCCTCTGCAGAGAAGCTCCGAACTCCCATCACTGATCTTTTCAAGATCAAGCATCCCGTCCTCCTTGCGGGCATGAACGTCGCCGCTGGCCCCAAGCTCGCCGCCGCCGTCTCTAACGCTGGTGGTCTTGGTGTTATTGGCGGTGTCGGATACACCCCTGATATGTTGCGCGAGCAGATCGCCGAGCTCAAGAGCTTCCTCGACGACAAGAACGCCCCTTTCGGTGTTGACCTGCTTCTTCCCCAGGTTGGCGGTAGCGCTCGCAAGACCAAGTATGTCGCATGTCCCCTTCTCCCCACATTCCGGGCCCTCGGTTTCGCGATCACATGCGGATCTTACTAGTGATCAGGCGCTAACGCACGGTCTTACAGCTACGATTATACCAAGGGTAAGCTGAACGAGCTCGTCGATATCATCATCGAGGAGGGCGCTAAGCTTTTTGTCTCTGCCGTCGGTGTGCCCCCCAAAGCTGTCGTCGACAAGCTCCATGCCAATGGCATCGTCTACATGAACATGATCGGCCACGTCAAGCACGTTCAGAAGTGCCTTGACCTCGGCGTCGACATCATCTGCGCCCAGGGTGGTGAGGGTGGTGGCCACACCGGCGATATCCCCACAACTGTTCTTATTCCCGCCGTTGTTGACATTTGCAAGAAGCACAAGTCTCCTCTCACTGGCGGCCCCGTTCAGGTTATCGCTGCCGGTGGTATCCACAATGGCCAGCTTCTCGCCGCCTCACTTATGATGGGCGCCGGCGCCGTCTGGGTCGGAACCCGCTTCATTCTCACTGACGAGGCTGGTGCCCCCAAGGCCCACAAGGAGGCCGTCCGCACATCTGGTCACGACGACAACATCCGTACCATCATCTGGACCGGCCGCCCTATGCGTGTCCGCAACAATGACTACATTAACGATTGGGAGACCAACCGTCAAGCCGAGATTAAGGAGCTCGTCGCCAAGGGTACCATCCCCTACGAGGCCGATCTCGATAAGCTCGCTGAGAGCACCAGCGAGACCGAGAACGACGATGAGGAGGATATCCTTGACAAGTACCGACCTTACCTCATGGGCAAGTGCGCTGCTGTTGTCAACGAGCAGAAGCCCGCCAAGGCTGTCGTGGACGAGTTTGTTGACGATGCCGTTGCCTGGTTGCAAAGGGGCAACAAGATGATTGCCAAGCTGTAAAGCAACTACAACTTTTTAGTACGAGATACCTTGTCATTTGGCCTTGTTTTGCTATTGTATGTAGATTAGGAGCCATGTTACACTTCTGAATTTTGCATATAAAATTTATCTTCATTACATACTTCTTCCGAGTCATGGTCAGATGTCAGTCGTTGGTTGCTTCACATGTGGTTCTAAGAAGTGTACCTTAAGGTAGTATTTACCCTTGCCAACGTAGGTGGATACTCAAAGTCGAGAGGGCTTACGTTTCTCCTCTGCTCTTATGTTCTGCATAATCCCTCAACGCTGACCCTCAATATGACAGAGTCTCTCTGCACGGCATGCTCTCGTTTTGTGAATGATTTCGGCAAAGTTGAAGAAGAGGGGTGGGAATCAATTCTCCATCTCGCCCTGATTTCTTCTCACTAGCAAAACTGGCACAGGATGGCTGTCCACTCTGTAAAGTTGTCTACCAATCCTGCTGTTTTAGAGAAACTGTTTCCTATGAGAGACAGACACTACCTATTTCGGTCCGGGCATGGGCACGGGCACTACGCAGAATTGGAGAGGAGGGGAACGATGACGAGCTGCCTTTTCGCGATCAATGTCCGAGGCAATTGATCCTTCTAGTGAGCATCGGCGATAGAGGCGAGGGCCGTTCGCACGTTTTGTCTGTAGCGTTGAAGGGGGACGCGGAGAAGCCAACAGAGACCCCCGACTTGGATGCGGCGAAACCAGTTATCAATCTCTGCTCAAGCAAAGGCATTGATGAAGCCGTCGCCTTAGCCAAGTACTGGATGCTTCAGTGTGACAAGTGTCACATTCAATGCAAAGTTCATTCACAAACTCAACAACCATCAAGGGTCCTGCCAACGAGGCTAATAGATGTCGGCTCGATTGATAGGGAGGAGCTGCCGAGATTATATGTTCCAAATCCGTCGGATCATGAGGGTTTGGAGTATGCTGCTCTGAGCTACGCCTGGGGTTCTGATCCCACATTTGCCAAAACCACAGCGTCTAACCTCGACGAAATGACAAAAGGTCTACCGTGGAACACGCTTGCAAAGACAATACAAGACGCCATTTCGTTCACGAGGAAACTGGGGATTAGATACCTATGGGTTGATGCTTTGTGTATTCTACAAAGCTAGGGTCCAGATGATGTGTCCCATAGGACAGACTGGGCTTATGAGGCCAACAGATTTGGCCAATATTATGAGAATGCCACATTAACTATCGCGGCCACAGGGGCCATTTCCTCCGACAAGGGGCTGTTCTTCCGACGACTGGGCCTCGAAGTCAATCCGCAGCCTGTTACCTTCCGACAAAAGTCATTTTGGGGTAGCTTTAGAGACACAACCACTCGACCAATATTGCCGAGTTGGTATACTGAAGTACATGCCTCTCCTCTTCTTACGAGGGGATGGGCATTCCAGGAGAGGGCTCTATCGAGGAGAATTCTGCATTTTGGTATGAACTGTATCGTTTGGGAGTGCCATGAGTGTCGAGCAATCGAGACCGATCCGACTCGCTTGGAGCCCATAACTTCCGACCATCGGAATCATGACTTCGTCTATGCATTTCGGGATTTAGAAAATCAGGATGTGGAAACTGCGGTGAGATTGTGGTATACCTTCGCTGGTCTCTATTCAATGGCAAAATTTACCTTTGCTTTAGATAGACTACCAGCCTTGTCGGGGATTGCTGCAAGGTTCCGGAACTTCTTCCGACAAAAGTACATGGCAGGTCTATGGGGGTCCAATATTATTGAAGGACTCGTTTGGGGTGTTCCTGGAGTACCGGATCATAGATCACCAAGTTTGATCGACATATCGAGAGGCGTCCAACTGGAACTCATGAGTACGAGCTCGGAGCTGAGAATTCCCTCATGGAGTTGGGCGTCTAGCGATAGGCTGATAAATTTCTTCTCCAAAGGGTGCACTCCAACAGTGGAAGTCAAGGGAGGGACGATACAGGCAAATGGTGCGGAAACTTCTGGACAACTTCTTTATGGCACCCTACGTCTTGAAGGCAAGTTTTTGATGGTAGACTTGGGTAGTCCATGTCAGCCGCCGTCCAGCAGCGTACTACTTGATCGATACGGGTACGTAAGTGAGGATGACCTCACTAGCTACTTCAAAAATTGCCTCTTCCCTTGCTTCCTTCTTGGCACAGGTATCCTAGATATACCTTGGGAAGATACTCATGTGGTGATTCAACAAGGATATGCTCTTATCCTTCAGCCTACTGGGAGGAGCGTTGACTCGGTGGAAGAGTACAGACGTATCGGATTTGTCCAGATCCCTTATAAGGAGTACTGGGCTGATATCACAGAGACAACAACGATCGATCTTGTGTAGTAAACGTCAGAGGATTAGCTTTCGGCATTTTAGAGGGCTATGAGCTCCTTTAAACCTCAGACAAGCTTTCGCTTGACAAAGAAACTTTGATCCGTCTACACATAAAATCTCGCCCTCCCACTCCCCTTCTCTTTTTTCCTCTCCGTACAGATGAACGGCTACATTCAAAGTCACACCAATGATGAGCCCATGATAACGAAGCTGCCTGTCCCTGGGGATAAACTTGCTTAAGCAAGCAGTATCTCAGGCAGCTTGCAATACTGGGAACTGAGGTATGAATTGGGCAAGCTATGGAGGAGGCTTGTCCATCGGCTCACCATGATGAACCCATTCACGATGAAGCTATCCGACCTTCCGGATAGAATCTCTTTGGCGAAGAGCCTTTTAGGCCCCTCGTCGCTCTGGGGGCTGAGGTCTTGCGAAGCCCGTATTTCTCTTGCTGTTTCTTTTGCTGAATCTGACATCACAACCCCCTCAGTATCTGTTGCTATAATTGTAATTTCCTCTTTGGCTACTGCGGCAACCTGAATGTCTGTTTGAAGCGCTCGCAAAACCCGAATTTCCTAAGCATGGTCTTCTTTGTTGTTTTCTTCACTTGCTTTTGTCTGCCGTGTCAGTTTGTTTCATGAAGCGGATCATGGTTACACCCATTCTTGAAAGAGATGTAGGGTAGCTATGACTGACAATCCAAGCACTACCCACTTTAGAGAACCATCAAGACAGTTATGTAGAAACAGTTGGCTCCTTAAATAGACAGGGGAGTATCTTTTATGTCATAAACTAGGAAAACATCAAATCTATTTCATACTAGAGTAACCAAAGCAGTCAACTTTGACTTTGACATCGCATGTACGCCAGCTCCATAAAAAAGCATCCCGACCCCAGATTCATGCCAAACGCATCGCATGTCTTTTGATGCGCCGCGCCAAATTTCGCTCGATAATTGGCGATAATCGAATCCGCGCATGCATCTTCTGGTTCAACCCAACTGCTGCTTTTTCTCCGACAGGACCTTCTTCCAAATACAAGCTCCATCATGCTCCTATATATTCAGCTCACCCAGGAATTATACCGTTTAGTTTCCAAGGTATGAGCGGATGGCTCCCTGAAGTCGGGTAGACACCTCGCCAGCCATTTGTGTAAGGTTCTCGAGATCGTCACCGGCTGTGATGCCAAACTTGCGCACAAAGTCCTTGGCGGCAGACTCGAGGTCGCCGTACTCCTCCTCGGGCTCGTCCTCTGGTCGTCCGAAGTAGGCGTTTGAAGAGATGGCGGTAGCGCCCTCGAAACCTTGGAGACGGGTCTTGGCCTCGGACTGCTGGCTGGGGTCGAAAGCGCCCTTGCCAAAGAACTCGTCGGACGAGATACCCTTCTGTGTGCCGAACTTTTCACGGGCGTATCGCTCGGAATCGTCTATTATTAGATCAGTATGGGTTCATAATGCCACTCGACTGCTTGACTTACCAACATCCTGGGCTCTCACAGGGCCAACGGAGCCAAAGCCTCCAGCATTCCTCTTAGGGGCAGAGGAAGTAGCAGCCTTGGGACCACCAACCTGTCCGAATCCTAGACGGTTCATGCCCATACCCAATCGCTCAACTTCGGCATCTGACTTCTGGCGTGTATGCGATGAGCTGTTTCCACGGCTGGGGCTAACAGGAGTGGGAGAGATGATAGAAGCAGCTGATCCAGAGTTCTTGGTGGCAGGATCCTCCTCGGCATCAGGGTCGTAGCCAAGCTTCGCAATACGATCGGCCTCCTCCTTGGCCTTTCTCTCGGCCTCGTCAAAGTCAATGACATCGCTGGTGACCTTCTTTGCGCCGAGCTTGGTGGTCTTCTTGGCACCGAGAACGTTGGCCTTTCGGGGTCCGGTGGAAGTAGTCGTCTTGCGGAGGGCGGCAGAGGTGGTGATTCGGCTGGCGGCAGGCTTGTTCTCACCGGTGGAGGTTCGAGAAAGGGGCGAAGCGGTACGGGCGATATCCTTCCCATTGCCAGCATTACCAGAGTTCAAGAAAGGGGAAGGTGTACGGCCGACGACAGGGGGGGTTCCGGTGCGGGAGACGGGAGGTGTAGGTCGCTTGATGGCAGGCTTGTCCCAGGAAGAGAAGAAGTCGTCGTCAGGCTCGCCGGCAGGGGTAGCAGAGCCATCGTCGACAGCATCGGTGATAACAACTTCGTTGGGGTAACTAGACACATGTCAGCTTTGATATGAGTGGCTGCGGCGCAGAAACATACTCTTGAGCATCTCGCGCAGCGCGGCGCTTGAGCTCGTCCTTGTACTTTGTAGCAGCATTGGATTGATACTTGGTCTTAGGATCCTTGCTGTTGAGAGCCGCGGTACCACCGTTCTGCTGGAAGAACTTGGTGGCAGACTCATTGCCACCGACCTTCATCACTCGCAGCTGATCCCATTGCCACTCTGTCCCAAGTCGTCAGCTAAAGGCGATTTGGGGAAAAGATGAGGAGGATATTGAAGTTTACGTACGGTCGAGGTTCGTTGATCGCACAAAGGAGATGTGGACACCAAGGTTTCGGTGGTTGGAAGAGCAATCAAGGCAGAGGTAGATGCCAAAGGGGACAGAGGTCCATGTCGGGTTCTTTTGGCCGCAATCGAAGCAGATCTAATTGAGAGAAAGCGCAGGAGTCAGTTTACTGCCATTATTCGCGCGATTCAGGCGCGGTGGGCGCATACCTTGTTGGCAGGCTTGGTCTTCAACTTCTCAAAGATCTTGAGCGACTGCTGCTTTGTCGCAAGGGAGCTCATCTTGAATATTGGGCCGTAATCGGGTAGTAGACACAAAGAAGGAGTGATGGAACAGGTTCGGGTGTTGCGACGTTGTTTATGTTATGCCCTGAACTATTTGCGACGTGTCAAAGACTGAAAAGAATTGGTAGTCTATTGGTCAGACTAGAAAAAGGGAAACGATAGTAGGGGATCCTCGCTCCAAGACTCAGACTAAGACTCAGACTCAGATTCAGAATTAAGGAGAACTGTTGTTCAAGGGCAGTTGTCGATAAGGTGGCATATCGACGGACGCTAATCCTTATTGGGTCACCCCACCTCGAATTCTGCCGGAGCGGTGGAGCCGCAACTACCTTACCTGAGGTACCATGGAACACAGCTTGAGCTTTGAGCTTCTGATCATCCATCCATATTGAGTCTAAAGCAATTGTGCTAGTACAATGGCTATTGTCGAATCGCCAGGATGAACCCGACGACAAATCTCCTAGCGACCCGATCGATCGCCTTTCGGGGCATCCCTACGACGTTACGACCGTTTCTCGCTTCGCGATACTATGCGACCCAGTCAGGTTTAGGAACTACAGCGCAGGGACCCAAACGACGAGCAGTAACACCCTTCAACGACAATGGACATGTACCATGGAAGGATCTTTCAGTACCAGAAAAGGCGGCTCGGGCGACGCAGCAGAGCTTCAACTTTGGCATGATCCTCGTTGGCCTCGTGCTCACTGTAAGCATCAGCGCATCACAGCTGGGAGGAATGACGTCTAATTTTCGCTAGGGTGGTGTGGGATACTTTCTTTGGACCGATGTCTTCTCTCCCGATAGCAAGATCTCCAACTTCAACCGAGCAGTCGACAAGATTCGAAACGATCCTCGCATTATCGATATTATCGGCGATTCAAAGAAGATTACAGCGCATGGAGACGAGACATTCAACAAGTGGAGGAGGGCACGTCCTGTTGCGTACGTGACGTCGTTATGCTGAAAATCATAAAGATGCTGACCAGTGCAGTTCTTCAGAAACGACAGACGCTCGCGGAGATCAACACATAATGATGCATTTCTATGTACGTTCGCCAATGGCTCGAGACATACTCATGGCTAACAATTTCAGGTTGATGGGCCCAAAAACAATGGCATCGCCCGACTTCACATGGTCAAGTACCGAGGGCATAGCGACTTCGTATATAAGTACCTGTTTGTTGACGTCAGAGGCCATGAAAGAATCTACCTCGAACATGAAGACACATCAGCCAAGAATGGCAAGAAATTGAGCTTCTTCGGAGTCAAATGGTGATGGCAACCCGAAGTCATCCCGAGACCCTTCTGAATCTAATCTACCAGGTACCGCTCTGGTCTGAAAGGTCGGAAGGTTTCCCTGTATCATATTCTGGTAGTCAGGTTTCTACTGACAACCACCTGTAACTATAAAAGTCGTTTCAAGTTTTGAGTGTCACTACACTCTATGTGGGGAAGTCAATGGGAGTCTTGTATAGTTTACTCATATCTCTCTACGCTTGTTTATCGACTAACACGCCCTCACTAATTGGTGAGAGAATGAAATGAAAGAATATATCTTTATGACACGATATAATACACTCTAAGGTATATAATGGGTGTCTAGCAAGACTTATTTCTCATTCAATGCTCCACCAGCGTATGTGTGGATAGATGCGTGAGAACTCATGTAAGCTATAACGCAATACACTACTTGGTGTCTATCGTTTTCTACCTTTTCAGGTACCATTCAGTGAAGACGCCTCGAGATGACACGGATCTTCACAGGGAAGGGGGAAGTTATTCACAATATTATGTAGCTGAGACTCAAACTGTTCTTTTTCCATTTCTGTTCAGTGCCTTACTGAGTCTAGGTTGGCTCAGATGGCTTCGGCCGATTATAATAGCTGTTACACCATCACGAGTCTCATTTTTCACAATCCGATGGAAAGTGACATAAGTTGGTGGTGTTGCTGCCCCAGCCATTCCAGATCTCCTCAATTCACCCATGACTGTATACTTCCAACCTAACCCTTGATTTCCCAAGTCCCCCAGTCGAAGTCAGGCTCGTAGTAAGGTCCTACCCTGAATAGTGATAGCGAGAATAACAAAAGGAACATAGACTCGCTCGCCAATGACAAGCACATATAGGGCCAGTAGATTCTGCCTTCCGTGAATGAGTGGTATAGCTCAGCTGCTAGACTAACATGACTCATACATGAGACAAACATTAGTCTAGATACTTTCTGAACCTCGTATACCTGACGCGGAGGTGGACCCGTAGATATAAGGCCCCAGCGATCTGGAATACGCAAGATCTTGGATTGTATATAATACCATCTGCGAGCTCTGTTAAGCTGCTTAAAGCTGATGACAGTGTGTTTGTGGTTGGGCTCAGTCATGCCGTTGGTCTGATGATACGTATGATGGGGAATCTAGGGAAGCGGTTATCTCGAGGACCTGCCTGTACAGATCAGATGTGGTTTACCTTAGATAGGGGTTAATTAGGATGTTTCGGACATAGAATTCTGAGATCGGAAACTGGTGCATTTTATGTTTCTGTTTAGATAAGGTTGATACCCTGCCTGCATTTAATAAACCTTAAACTCGACGGCAGCAGTAAAGACTTTCTGCTCATCATCTTTGGGTTTGCTGTGTACTTTCACAATGAACCTCTTCCATATATAAGTGAAGTCAACGAATCTAATAATCGCACATTGTCAACTCTAACTCCAGTCACACACAAGGGCCTTTAGAACCTTATGAATGAAAATAAAAGCTGAAAATTGTATTCTATCTACTATATTAAGAGACCATCGCTCTGGCTTCTCCTCTTACAGACATGTATTCTGCACTACACCTTCTCGCGACACACTACATCTGCTCACAAAAGACGTCACCTCAGCCAAGCCAACACAGCAAACATGACCATCGACAGTATCCGTTCTTATTTGTTAATTCCGTCAAAGAATTACCAACTCATTGAAGTAAGTGTCCTCTGTCGTATTTTCTCTTTGCTTTTTATTATGGATATTAATATTCTTGCAGACAGAAATCCCACCATTCCAACGATGTCTTCTGATCCTTTGGTCTCTTTGCATTGCAACCCTCGGCAGCCTTCTATATTGGATACTCCTCTTTCCTAATGGTGAAGTAGCTCAGTGGTTAACCTTGAAATACTTCCAATTCAGGGCACGGCGATACTCTTCAAGTTCAAAGGACCTTCGTGAATCCGAGGTTGCTTACCTTGCGCACATGCGTCTCCTATCGTCCCGTACTCAGGGCGACCTTCTCTACCAGTGGATCACTTTGGAGAATCTCAAATTGGTATTGGACATACTACTCATGGTCGTCGAACTATATGAAATTATCCGGAACTCCTTCGACAAGGGAGGAGCGAGCCACGAGCAGCGCAGAACCGAGCGTGACACCCGACAAGCCCGAAGGGACTCCGATCCTTCAAGCTCACAAACAGCCGACTAACCTTCTCATGGAGTCACTACCTCTGCCATTCCAGCTTTGATATTTAGTCTTTGCATAAGCAGACGATCCCATCTCAAGGCCTTCATATGTTCAAGACTGCTTGGCACCTCAGTCATGGCGGATTCACCCCCTCTGCCGTATTATACTTGCCCCTTGAAGCACATACAACTGCCTTGATCCTTCACGCACAACAATCGACACCTCACGGGATCACCCCCTCTGCCATATTACTTCAGACCTTCGAAACTACAAGCAACCGGCCCAGTATCCCACGGAGTCACTCCCTCCGCCGTGGTAGCTTTGAGCCTATGAACAGTGGTCGCCCACTCTGTCGCTTTTGGCCCTATTGCCTGTTAGTTAGTGTTTCGTTGAGCGCACTGCAACCCGACCCATCAGACTGAAACACCGTCATCGAGTAAGTCACGGTCCGTCCACTAAGTCACCGACTGAACACAAGCTGACCGGTCCCCAGTTACGGAGTCACCCCCTCTGTCGCTTTAGCTTCGGTTCTTCAAACCTACAAACAACCGACTAATACTTTTCGGGGTCACCACTGTATATTACAGTTGCCTACAGCTACGAGCAACCAACGACTTACAGGGCTTACCCCTCTGTCTCAACATCTTGGTCCTCCTGGGACTGCCAGTGTTTCGCTGCTTGCATGTCAACGCACCGCTACATGCTGTTTTGAGATTACTTGTCAGGATGGAAGTACCCCTTCTACCATATCAGCTTCGCTTCAAAAATTCCAGGAATGTTTTACTTTCTACACGGCAAACCCTCAATCTGGAACATGTTCTTGGAGCCCCAGTCACAACGGAGTCACCCACCGAAGACAGCTCGGTCTTAATAGCGTATCGAATTGTCTGGAGCGTGTGCACGTGCTCGTGCTCTGGGGTTCTCAGAATAGTGCAGAGCGTGACGGCATGTTTTACTAATCGTACGAGTTGGGCTCCGTGAAGCTCTTTGCGATGAACTGAAAAGTCTCCTTTGTCATATTACCCTTTGGCCTCCAAGCACATACAGCTGACACCCTACGGAGCCACCTACTCTGTTGTATCAGCTCTAGTTCACGAACAACTCAAAGTTGCAATGTCTGCCACATCAGATCTGGTCCTTCAGGTCCATGTACAGCTTATTACCGTCAACAAAACTGCTCATCAGTCCGAACGCTGGCAGGTTACTCTAAGGTTTGAGGCGCAAGGGAACTTAGCCTAAGTACTAGTCTAATCTAACATAAGGCGGCCAAATTATTTCGTCTCTTATGTTCCCAGAGGCCAACCTGACCTCAGGAAGGACCTCTTTGCCTTTAGGGCACCAGGACTCCGGTGGGTATTATGCACTGATCACCCACTGCTGGTCGTGCGGGCCTAGCTAGGCCACAACCCATCTTTCGAGGCTTTGCATACAACGAGATGAATGGCTCCTCAGGCGAACTTCTGGTGTGTTTGTGAGCTTCCTTTACTGGCGGTCGCTCAAGCATGGGTCGCAGAGTTTACCCAGATGGTGAATTTACCTCCACCTTCACTACCACCGTCCGAACGTTCGATGTGTTTGTGGGCTTACTTCAAGGGCATTCGATTCAGTCCAAACACCATCAACAAATTCCGGAAACTTTCCTTCCACCCTCCGGATAAGAGGCGGAAGACGAGGTCGATTGATACCGCACCTGATGACTCGTGGAGACCAACCGCCATTTTATACTTTGCTTTTCTGAGATCAACCCTGGGAAGCTGTGCCAGGCGCTATGCAGCGGCATCCCGAAAACTTCCAATACTCTCCAGGTCGTCAACTTTTCTTCGGATAGACTTGATGATGAAATGTTTGGTCAAATGTTCTCGACAGCATCCATCTGTGATCTTTATAGGTATTGGGGCTCTGGACTCTCTCAAAAGTGGCTCTCTTGGGCAGTGCAACAAACTCGCCCAGGCTACTTCATCTACCATCGGCAAGCTTATCGGTGCCAAAGCACTATGTATCTGTTCGTACTGCCACTATACACCAATCGCTTGAGAAGTATCGGACTGAGAACCCACCTACTCTCCGGGCATATACGCTGTATGCATAGCTGCAGTTATCTCAAAATAGAGGCAGACTACAGTCCAAGAGGACGACCAAGGGGGATCTAATAATCATGACACTGATTTCCTACTAAACGATCTTCTCGCTATCACCTTTGACAACCCTCACTCACTTTGAAGCCACAACTCTGCAGTGGAATCGGCACAGTCACTGAACAGCTTGGCGCCAGATGCTTTGCAGAAACCTATGTTCTTGAGTCCTCCCTATACAGTTTTGTCGAAAGCCATTGGCCTCACTGTTTGAGAATCTCACAACTGATACGCCGCTCTTATTTCCGCTAAGTCTGCGTTTCTCTCATCATCTCTGCGTACATTCGCTATCATATGGCTCACATGCTCTTCTGAGCAGATTGAAGGCCCATACTTCACAACAGAAAGAAGAGTCTACTTGGTCTGCAACCAGTCTTGAATGGTCTTTTGAGTATCTTACAAGCAGTGTCTTTTCGGAGGGCATCGGAATAGAGTAGGTCACTTATGAAGGAAGCTTAGGATACTTGCCTAAGGCCAAAGAAGTTGATAGATATGAGTTGGCAGGTGATTTTAAGGGGTAGAAAATACAATGAGCTTTCTATACAAACAAGCATGTACTGTTGATGCTTTCGTGCTCACTTTTTGCGGATGATAAATCCTTCCTTGCTTCCAATTTTCCAATTCGCAGCAGCCTGGCCGCATCTTCTCAGTTGTAGTATCTTCCGAGGAAACCGAATTTTCTTTAGGGGGCGCAATGTCGCAACAACGGATAACAAAAGGGCCAGCCACTAGTGAACAGCTGTGGGGGAGAAGTTGAGACTAGAAGATATTCTTTCTAAGGTGTTGGAAATGAGCTCTGCTTCTTGCCAGTGTGATCCCATACAGGCCGCCCGACCCAGACATCAACGGGGTATTGAGACATCCTTGGATAGCTAGAGGTTCTTTGAATGTTTCAAGTATCGCCATTCCCTGAATTATACATATTTCAAGACCGTCCACCGGGAGACATAGCCGTTTGGAAAGAGTCTCGTCCATAACACAAGGGCTTATATAGAGTATGCGCAAAGATATAGGAGCATCAGGAGATACCATGGCAAGGGCATCTCTATATCAAAACATCAGTATCCTAATATCAAGAGGAAGATGTACTAGACGATACCTACCACTATAAGCTGGTAGGTTTTTGATGGAATAAACAAATATTCTTTTCGATTTGTGGTCGTCATGTTCGCTGTGCTTGAAAGGTCGAATCGATGTCTTGAATATAACGGAGCGTTCAATCACATCTGGGCACCTCCAGGTTCTTTGAATTTCCAGGATATCGCCAGTGCCTGAATTGAGAGTTTTTCAAGGCTAACCACTGGGCAAGATGGCTCTTGGGGAAGGCGCACGCCCAGAGTAGGGTAGTACCAAAGGTTTGACAAAGAATAAACCAGAGTATTAGAAGACACTGGTGAAAGGGCGAGATCTCAGTCTGTCAGTTGTTAGTATACTAAATGTCAAAGGGGAAATATAGCTCAGGGTACTTACTTCGGTTAATCGGTAATTTCGTGATGGATCATACACGTAGCCGATATGGTGAGGGTTTAACATGTTGCTGTGGCGGATTGGTTGAAGCAATTTATTCTGAGAGAGTGCAGATTGTAGGACGTAGGATGTAAGTTTGCAGTGTGCTGAAATGTTTGAATCAATGTATCTTTCGTGATTGTAGAATGCAGAGTGCAGGTTTGCGATGTGCTGAGTTGGCCGAAGCGATGTAGAATGTAGAGTGTAGGATGCAGGTTTGCAAGAGGAGAAAGCAGGAGGCCATGAGCCCTTAATATAGTAAGGGGAAGTTTTACTTTGTCTTGAACTATAAGTTTTTTCTTCAATTTAAGATTGAGCACGCGCAAGTGTTAGGTTTGTCTGTTCCACTTGCATCGCCTTGAGCGTGCAAGTAAGTTTATTCGAATGACTCACGATAAAGCCAAAGATAATTACGGTCTTGGTCCGTCTATAGTCGGAACTTGTTGAGCTTAACCTGCCTAAAAAAGTCAGTTAAGATAATAACTTTAGAGAAGGGTGAAATCCGCTCTTGCTCTTTAGACTAAAGTTATGCTAAAAGTAAATGAATCACGGTGGAAAGAGTTTGCACAGGGACAAGGACAAGACTTTGATGTTAATATCGACTCAGATACAGGTATCTTGGTCAAGAATTTATGTAGCTACCTATTCATTATGTCTATCTTACACCTATTCAACCCCACGTGCCTTCATAAAATCGACCATATCGAAGAAACTCTTCTTATACCTCCTCTCCTGCGTCGTTCTATTGACAGTCTGAATTCCAAAATGAGCATCATAGTCTCCAAACTCCCAATTATCAGCAAAAGACCAAGCATAAGCTCCAATAACCTCAACACCATCTTCCCAGATCGCCTTGAGTGTCTCAGACAAGAAGCTCAGGTAGTAAATGCTTCGGGGTGAGTCGAACAGCTGGTCGGAAAGTTCCTTTTCTGCTTCGCCGAAGACGGGGAAGCCAAACTCTGTGAGGGCTACGGGGGTTCGCCATGTGTTGTGCAGGTAGTTTAGGTAGCTTCGGAGGTATGTGGGCGTGATGTAGACGTAGCTTTGGGAGCGGTAGCCGATGTTCCAGCCGTTGACGGTCGTGGTAGTTTGGTTGACGCAGTATGGACGGAAGGTGGAGGTTGAGTTGGAGGCACATTCTAAAATACTGTCCTTGTCGTCAGGTACTGGTGGTGCGATAACTGTGGCGGTATAAGGGTCGATGCCCAAGAAGTCTGCTGTTCCACCAATGTACTCGAGATCATCCTCGCTCAGCGGGACAAAGTCATCAAAGGTCTTCTTGAACGACTCAGGATAATCTTTGCCGAGATAGATAGGATTGCAGAACGGGCCAAGTTGGATCGAGTTGAAGTGATCCGCAGCATAGACATCCGCCTCACTCTTGGGATCCCGAGGAACACCGAAGTTGTTGTTGAATTTGAGCGCGATCTTGCCCTGTCCGCCAAGTTCTTCCTTGTACCAGTGGTAGACTCTGGCATGAGACTTGACGACATTGTATACCGAGAGGGCATTGTATGAGTAGAGAAGAGGCTCGTTGTAGGTGAACCAGACAGGTACACGATCAGCGTAGTGGCTCATGACCACCTTTGCGTAGTGAACAAAAGCATCCTGGAAAGTCTCATTCTGGTAGCCGCCGTTGGTATATCCAATTTCAGGCCTGTCTGCGGCTTTGGTAAGGTTACTTCCGTAGAACTGGAGAGGAGTATCGAAATGAAGCAGAGTAACTTCGGGAGTCATTCCCTTCTCCAGAATAAAGTTGATCACATCATTGTAGTGATCAATTCCCTCTTGGTTCACCGGCGTACCAGGCAACGCGAAAGGCAAGATTCTCGTCCAAGCAATACTAAACGAGAAATGCTTGGCACCCATAGCAGCAACGCGCTCAATATCCTGCTTGTAGTAGTAATAGTGCTCATTCGTAACGTAGTCTTTGGCACGGTTATCCCGAACCAGGATATCCATGAGAGACGGCGCTTTTCCTTCTTCCGCAGTAGCACCCTCGATCTGGCTCGCAGAGCTAGCAACGCCAAAGCTAAAGTTCTTTGGGAAATTGTAACAGTCCGAAGGGCCAAAGTAATCTCGCGGCGGAAGAACCAGTTCACTGCTAGGGATAGGAGTGGGCGAGACGGTGGTGCTGAAGATGCCCGTCTCGGTAAAATTAGGAGGGTTTGCATGCTCCCACAGAGCAGTCCACGCCGCCTGGCCGTACGGATCATCCGTATCTGAGGCTTTGGTAGTAGCGTTGGGATCCCATTTGCCCCAGGTTGTGTAAGAAAGTGAGGGAACCAGAGAGCTTAGAGACTCTGGTGGATCGGCGTATGTAGTTGTAGTGGTAGGTGAAGGCACCGAGGTGGCGTATCTCACAGTCTCAGAAAGAGTGTAACGGAAGGGTGTATATGTGTATTTTGGCTCGCTTGTCTCTGTGGCTTTGCATTGAGGACGCTCTGTAGGGCCCTTGACATCAGAGTAGATCTGCTGGCTGAGAGCCAGTGATGCAAAGAGGAATTGTATGGCAGCGTGTGAGAGCGTCATGATGGGCAATTGAGTGGCGCACGCTTGACTGGCAGTGAAATTGTTTGGAGAAGGTCACGATATATATAGGTCTCTGGACATTGGGCGAGAGCATGAGGAACGAAATTAACCAGTCAGTTCATGGCACTTTAGCCCAGGCTCTTCATCATCGATTCTTTCCAACATTGGCCTCGAAGACGGCATCGTGTACCGTCTTCCCTCATCAAATTCCGCTACCCACTCCGCCGTGTAAGTCGATCCCCAGCTTTCGGACCGATTGGAACCTGTTTAATGGAGTCAAGATCCTGGGGAAGATGCGGGGTGGAAGCTCCAACGGTTACTCTCTAAACTCTTTTTCTTTCAGCTCTTCCACTGCGTCTCCGAAAAGCGGTACGGGTTACCATTTACAGGCAGCTCTTAGCCTTGTATGGTGACGGCATCGGGTTGTGGAGGACGTTGCAATGCGGCGATCTTTGCAGTTCGTGGTTCGATGATCCAGTTTACCTTTACTCTAAACAGGCGATCCAATTGACACTAGGCGGAAACTCCATCATTCATGATTGAGAGCCGAAGTTGAGAGCCGTTGTTCAATTCTGTCTCCGAAAGCCGGTTCTTTGACTAATATATCGGTCTTTCGGGGTATCTCTGCTTTGCATGTCGGTTCATAAATGGCCGTGATAGTGTAGACTTGGACGGATTGACTGTCCCTGGAACGATTGACATTATATCTTTCTACTTTGACGATAATATTGAATCGCCTCTCAACTGTCATTTCGGTGCCTTTCAGTTTCACTGATTTTTAAGCTTAATATAGACATGACTTTATATAAGTTCGATAACTCTGCCATAGATCCCATGTAAGATCATCGCAAGGACTACATGCATACCCTATATCTTCTCACATAAACATCAGAAATACTCCCGCGAGCAATAAGCAGTCTAACAGAGAGAAGAACTAGCAATTGACTTCGAGAGAACAAATTGAGCACTGATTGAAAAGCGACTTAATATATGATAGCATTGAGGAACAGGACTAAAGGAGCGACATGGCTTGGCGATACCCAGTCGGGTGTTCTTATTCTGTGTTCAGCGATGTCTCATTCTCACAACCAATGTAGACACCGTGCTATACATCTCAGTAGGCGTTCTTAGTATAGTCTTGGACTCACTCACGACCACCTTAGTTATCCTTCTAAGTACTTGGGCTACTGTGGCTACAGCCGTGGAGGGCAAGTGAGCCTCAAATGTCATTGAGTAAAGCCTCTTTGATGGTTCCAGACCGACAGCTACATGAAAATCAGGCTGGATTTAGACTCGCTGCTGGGATAGGGATTGGTTAGCTTAACAGGTGTTGCAACCTTGTTCGACTGCTTATTCTGCAAAGATGATCATATTTAGTAGGATTCTGTATGCATGCATTAGGCGATTAGTAACAAGCTAGGCTATCAACTGACTTTCGAAGGTCCCTTAAGGTTGATATTGTAGGGCTGAGACTGCTCAATTTTGGTATTTAAATAACCCAGCCGCCTGAACTAATAGATATCTGCACTTGTATTAAGTTGGACTCGAATGGGTAGTATGCAAAGTCTGGAGGCACTTAGTTGAGCGAGGTGAAGACTGTGAGGGTCTTCAATAACCCCTGCACATCGCATTCAGCTCTAAGGCAGGCTGCGATTTTCTCGAGCAATATAACTACTAGGCCGTCACACAGAGGCCATGGTTTAAGGCAGATTCAGTATGCTGTGAAACAAACAGAAATGACCAACCAATAGAACAACGAAAACCATGCAGCTGGATGCATGTCTCAGAAACATGAGGCGTTGAACCACAAAGTACGGATAAACCAAACCAGTCAATGACATGCTATATGCAGCTGAGTCCTTTTGTCACCCGTGATCAAGGTCCTACTTTAACTGCTGGTTAAGGTCTAATGGAGTGTATTGCAATCAAGACTTTAAAAGAAAGAATGTCCTCGCAACTCTTATTCCAGGGTCAACCTGGACCTTCTGCATTCCTCCACCTTTCATAAATCATTAGCGCCGTGTCTTGCTTTCATCATGAAAGGCACCACGCAACAGGAGTTGCGAAGCCTCGTGGTATCAACGAAATCACAGGCATCCGCAAATGTCTCTGACGCTCACTCCGAAGGACTGGAAAAACCACTTGGGCAATCTTCACCATCGTGGCTTAGGAGAGTGGGTTTCACCATACCTCTTCTCATCATTCCAATTGCCTATGCCAGTATGCCACTTGATTCCGAGTAGCACAAGTACAAGGGCTTACAGGATCATAGTTCTCCTCGCCATTATGTTTCATCTCCATGGGAAGAAACAGAACTCTTTCGGCGATACAATACTCGAGGTTGTCAGTGTCGCTTCTACGTTATGGCCGATCTTATTCGCAGCAGTACTTGGTCCACTGCTCAAGACTATCGCACTCTTCCGAGCCGAACGAGGATCGACGTTAGGCTCTCTCGGATTCCTATTGACTAGTCAGACCACAACATCTGCTCTGAAGAACTTTACAACCATGGGCTGGATTGGTAGCTGGACTATGGTTATTATTATAGTCTGGTCCCTCAGCCCTTTAGGAGGCCAAGCCGCTCTCCGGTCATTGCACCTTCAGCAGAATCCTATATGGAAAGAACCACAGGCAACATACTATCTTGGCAATAACAAGAGCGAGATCTACAATTATTATCGCCTCGGAGCCAACGTGTTTTCTGGTGCATCTTCCATGGTGTCCCTTATTTCTGATATGAGAACCATCATTTCTACCTCATTCTCAACACAGGATATCCTAGTCTCTCATGCCAATAGCAGCAGCCCTCACTACAACGATACCATCGCTGAACTTGGAGGGAAGTGGGAAGCTTCGCGCAGTGGACGCAGAGATCTATGGCGAAACGTCCGTATCCCTTTCATTGAACTATTGCCAGGATATAGGAGCGATGATCCAAATGCTTGGATACCCGTTCCTAAGGATGAAATCGTCCCTTACGCTTCGCTGATAGGACTTCCAATCAGAAATGGCTCCTTTGAAAGGCCAGGAAACTCGACAATGATAGTTCATTTCCATTATATGACCCTTTCATGTGGGAGAGCCTTCAATGGAAGCGAATGGGTCAGCAACGGCTCGACAGCACTAACACTCCACAACACCAGTCTCAATGTTCCTTTGAAAGATCAATACCTGGGTGGGATGGCATAGAATATGGGAAGGCCGAACATCTGGTTCGATTTTCCGAACAATTCAGCAACTATCGACCATGTCAATTGGCTAACAGATTTTGAGCCACAGTCTAAATTGCAACTTGTAATGGGAGGCCAATGTCGTTGGGACACAGAATATACTCCGATGCTTACAGTCTGTGACATCAGCACGTCATATATCGATATGGAAGTTATTTGCAACAGATTGGCAGTCGATGCAGACTTAGTATGTCAGGCCAATCGGGTTCGGCATATGCCTTCGTATCCGATCAAAGGCAACTTGACAGCACTCTCCAACTTCAGGTTATCTGGAAGAATTCTATGGGAACTGCCATTCATTGGCGCAAGTCAACATATGGAAGATTCTAGCATTCTAGAGACGTATCTGAGGGATCCTCTAGGGTTGTTCCAGCGTAGCAGTGGGGGATACATGGACGATCCTACAACGACGAACCAACCTGAATGTTTTGCCTCTCTCCCACCAGAGATTCTAGGAAGAAGACTTGCAACTGCACTAAACACCGTTATTATGTCCACGTATGAGGTAAATGTGTTGACTGGTGGGAAGGGGTCATCCGCAGACCAAGTACGTTGGCAGAATACCACTGTATCTTGGACAGAATTCGACAGGGACACCTACGCGTTGAGAAAACCGTGGTTTATCACAACAATAGTTTCGACTGTGATATTGATGATTTGCGCCGTTGCCAACATCATTATTCGTCAACTTATCAGGGCCCCCGACTTTCTGGACAACATTGCCGGTTTTACGAGGGATTCTCCATATCTTGACATACCCCATAACGGAAGCGGGAAGAGCGGTTCCGATCGACTTGAAACGATCAAGAATATCAGAGTCCGAATTTGTGATGTTTACCCTGAGCGAGAGGTTGGAAGGATTGCTTTGACGACGGAAGTGAACGGCCCAAAGCTGAGATGGGACCGAAGTTATTCGTAGAGATTGTGGAGCACTGTCGTATGTGGTGGCCTCAATGTGCAATTTGGAAAGGCTTTGCTGCTTGACAGAGCACAGGAAGACACTTAAGAGGCGCTCCATCTGCGTGGGTTATGCGTTGGTAAGGATGTGGTTCAGTCTATACACTTGTGGCAGCGAATGCATATTCGTGGAGGCATATAGCTTGGCTTTCAAATCAAGTGAAGACATGGAAGTGAACGGAACAAGAATAACGAAACGGATGATCACTTATGAATTAACAGTGAAGTCAAACAGTGTTGAGTGAAGTCTAATATAGAGTACATCTCCATTGCACCATTCCATCTGTCGTCCAGATCAAACCAATTCAGGGCTCCATCTCCCCTTCTATCGCTACCGCTTCTGCTGAAGGGAGCTACTCCTCGACAAAGGCCTGCTTCCACGCTCTGATCTGGAGTTCTGAAGGCATCGTCGTCGGCGGCAAAGGATCGAAACCTAAAACAACTTTCCTTTTGTTAGCCCCACGTGTATGTCACGGGTCAGAGAAGATGTGGTAATAAGGAAAACCCAAAAAGGGGGAAAGTAACCGATCCCCTCTCCCCAAAGCTTCACCTCTCAGTAGGATTACACTTGAGATCACTGCGCGCGCAACAAGAGAAGTAAGAGGTGGTGCTCATTAGATTAGCAGTATCTTCACCGAAGATCCGCCCGGTTCACCAAGGAAGTTCTTTCCTTGGTTGAGAAGTCATCAGTGATGAGACATAGCTGCGTATATCGAACCGAGCCGAGGCTTGACGATGAAGCAACAGCATACAGTCTTCTGAGATGCTATTAGTAAGATGGAGCGGTAGAGAATTAGCACAAAAGAAAACAAGGCAAGGTGGCCGGCATGACGGAGCAGGCTTGGAAAGATAGTCAACGGATGCTTGTGAAGGGCAAAGGGCTCTGGTTAGATAAGCTGTAGTCTCATACACTGCGTACAATACAAGGCACTTGTAATTAGTGCATGGCTCCATTTGGCTGTCAGAACCTTAGAGCCAACAACCACTAAGCTAGCAGGGGGTTCAATAATACCCTGGGCGGCACAGAGAGGTAGGTTGGCGACAGCCCAATCTACGCCCCTGCCGTTTAACTACCTGCTAGAATAGGTAGTTGTGTTGGTTGTTGTTGGAGGACTGATACATAAATGATCACTTACCCCGAAATAAAAAAGAGTCCGCAGTATCTCGACACAACATCATCTTTAACAGAAAACGCATGTACTCATATTGCCCTCACGACAGCATACAAACAACCCCCCAGCTGCAAAGACAAATCCAAAAGAACAAGCATAACCTAACCTAGTAGCTCTATTGCTATGCCTATTCTGGTTTCAAATATCAGCCCAGCTGTTTGTCCATCAGGATGGAACTATAATGCCATAACCCGAGCCACTCAATCCTCAGCAGTGGCTACAACTGCATTTTGTTGTGCAAGGTTTGTATATCTACAAGACTCTGGATACAGAATAGAACAATAGGCTGATTGTTTTAGTGGTTATTAACTGGGATCTCTCCGCCAGTGTGGACGATGGGTAACGGGCGCAGAAAATGACGGAAGTGCAACAGCCACAGCTTCATATAGCGATAGCACCTTCATGATCCATCGAGCATTGACTATCACCTGGGATGCTTCTAATAGGGTCACCTTTTCCTCAGAGCCTCCCGTACTAAACAGCGGACAGACAATTCCAGGGCGGGAGGCTCCCCAGCCTGTAACCAGCGAAGCATTCTTTGCAAGAGAAATCAATGATACCCCTTTCCAACAACCTTATCTAAACATTATGATGATTGGCTTACCTGTTATTTTTGGGGCTTTATTTGTCTGTCTCTTTTGTATGTGCTATTGGAACCGGAGGAAGATGAGGAAGAGAGGACAAGAGGTGCCTCTAGACTCCCTGCCGCTCCAGGCTCGTGATGCGAACCCTTCTGCAAACGTCAACTAGTTATGGACTTTATCTACTGTTGATAATAGTTAATATGTCTTGCGAGATTTGCTATTTAACGCATCGCCGCCGCTCTCTAACAATTGAGGGTGCGTTATGACACCCAAAGTGAGGCTCGATGTCAAGGCTTCGATCAAGTTGAAAGCGATGGTATGTCTTACAGCCAACATTGACTCATTCGGAATTACTAGCATTGGTTATACCTGTCATCCACCAGCAAAAGTAATATAGGATCGGAAAGAGATGTCACTTCGGATTCTTGATAGAGCAGGCTTGGAAAGATAGTCAACGGATGCTTGTGAAGGGTAAAGGGGGTAGCAGGAAGAATAGATGACTGGTGTTTTGGGAGGGGTTTGAGAACATGAAGGGGATGGTGATGGCGATGGTGACGGTGATGAGGATGGAGAAGATAAAGACGAAAAGAACGAAACTAGAAGTGGAAAGGGGTTCCCTGGTAGGGATTACACTTTCTCTGTTTTCTCGCGATAGATAGTGGTCTTTGCCTGGAGGATGACTCTGGTCGACGAGAAAGGAAGTATAGCTCTGGGGGGAAGAAAGGAGGTAGATTGATTACTCCTTCTTTACTTCTGCTATCTTGACTGACTCCCATTGCTTTCGTCAGTTTCTTAACTCTCTACTTAATCAGAATGGACTACCAGGTAGTGTTTCTTTTTTTCTCATCTGTCTGTATCCATCAAGGTCACCGGTACCCTACGAATGGAATTATCAGGCAATAGTTGACCTGGTGTCGCTTGTAGACTACATCGCAAAGCCAGCTCTGTAACTGCAACTGCTGAGCGACCCAGAGCCTACCTTCGTCCTGACCTTCCCATCTCCTTCTTAAAGCAACACGTCTTGACGACTCCTTCCGCTCCTCATGTCATCTTTTTTCCACTTTTCAAACCAAGGCAATCGTGACCCCTTTAGTAGACGGAGAGTTGACACTGCTCATCACACCATCCCGTCATTGTAACCTTACTAGGTACTAAGATAGATAGGCATGAAAGCATATGACCATAAGATGGCGACTACTTGTAGGCAGGTAGGTACCTGACATCTTGCGCCAGCTCTCGCTTGGAAGCCGGGTTCAAAATCGAATTGTGCGTTCAGATAAAAACTCTAACGACCATAGTGTTTAGCCTCGGTCATATGTACTTTGCACAAACGAGGGCAGATAAGGGACTAATAAGATCTAATAATAGTCTCCGTCAATCTATTGATACTGGCCATATTCTTGGGGATGTGTCATGTCCCGCTTCTTTCGCGGTTATCGAGGAAACTTGAGTGGCGATGGCAGCACCGACTGATGGGACACCAGTCAGTGAATAAAGCAGAAGGACCATATGCCGTCCTTGACTCTCTTCGTAATTTCAACGCCGATTACCAAGCAAGGAATGTGCGATTCAGCAGGCTCAGAGAACGCTCCTGCTTAGATTTCTTATTGCGTAACTCTTTCCTGGTCCCGGTACATATCAGGATACATGCCAGACTCTTGGACCCAAACCTTCGTACACATTCGACATGAAGCATAACAACCGAGATCTTGATAGGCTTGATGGGTTGTCCGAACATCTTCTATGCAGTTGTCTACACGGGGTTATTAATTAGTGATAGAGAAACGATCCTCAACAAATCCCCAGCTACAATTGGCTTAGCCAGTTAATCTTCCGTAGTATAGTGGTCAGTATGCAAGCTTGTCACGCTTGAGACCCGGGTTCAATTCCCGGCGGGAGAGATCCAGCCACCTGCGATACGCAGGTTTCCTTTTTTGCATTTTTTGAACCATCTATCAACATAATGCATGAATACCAAAATTATCTTACTATAAAATACACTCCCCGTGATTATGCTATAGAAATAGAAGCAAATCACTAAATGCCGGGTATCGACGAGTAGTATAAATAAGCGAAAGCACCCTCTCCTCCAAAAAGAAACAGACATAGATACTATAACACATATGGGTTGCTCGTTCGTTGCTAAGCCATTTCATCTCATCATCCAACTGCTAGAACCGCCAAGCAACATGCACCGTCCGTACCAAAATCCGCCTTGTCATAAGCCGTCTCCATTCCATTATCGTGCAAATACCTTGACAACGCCGTCACCGCCAGCGCTGACAACCCATTTTCCGTCTTGACTCCAGACGCAGGCACAGATGCCTTCGCCACGCATCACTCGGTGACTTGTCACTTCTTGTGTGCACGTTCTCTTCTCAAGACTCCAGAAGCGGAGTGAGGCATCGTGGCCGGCGCTGACGAGTTCACGTCCATCGGGGCTCAGAGATAGACTAGAGATGGCATCTGGGTGGGCAATCATGTTGTATGTACATTGACCTGGTCGTTCATTAGTCGTTGTTTGTTGTAACTGTTCAAAACACTTACCGCTATTGGCATCGAAGAACCGGATGAAGCGATCTTCGTGACCAGAGATGATAGTGCCCTCCACGCCTGAGCCAGCCATAGATCGTCCACCTCCAGTGGCACCTGGGCTAGCATCTTCCTCACTCATGCTGCCACTGTGGTTCTGGTTAGCTTGGTCAAGACCAATTGTCGTCGCCACAACGGCGTTAACACTAGTCTTGATAGTCTGATCGTATGTCTCAAGGCTATCCATGTTGCCGATTTGTTCACCGGTACGTGTGTCGTAGACGATAATCGAGGCATCTGAGTATGAGACGACAAAAGATTCACCAGTCGTGCCCAGAGGTGTAATGCACGTCGGGCTGGCTGTGGAACCGTCTGATCTCGCAATGTTGTGGACAAGTGTGTGGTTAAAGGGTGAGTTGGATGCAATAGTAGCCTGAGGAGTGTTGGGGAATGCGCTGCCAGAGCTCATCGAGTTACCGCGGACTCTACCTCCACGGCCAGTCATGGCTCGGTTCGTTCCAGGTTGTGGCGAGCTCAACTGAGGAGGTGCGCTGACTGACCACAGACGAACACTGCCATCTGCAGCACCAGACACAACCAAGATGCGATCGGTGTTACCGTAAGGACTTGAGCTTCCAAATATTTGACCAAGAGTTGCCGGGAGAACGCAAATGGCCCAGACAGCATCTGTGTGGCCTTCGAGAGTCGCCTTGGGATCAACCCTACCACGCTCCCATACTCTGATAGTCGCATCCTGACCACCGGAGAATATCCAGCCGTCGCCAATTGCGCGACCTCCAGTCGAGAAGTTTGGTGAAGGAGACCATGATGTCAAACAGAGAATAGCACCCGAGTGACCGCGGTGTGTGAAGTTGGCTGTAACATCGAGATCTGATGCTGTGTGCGCAAGACTTCCAGCATGACCGTCTAACCTGGGAATGTGGAAACGCTTGATCATACCATCGTCACCACCAGTGCAGATTTCCGGTTCTCCTGGGCTGCCACCTCCAGAGAAGATGATTGTTCGGACAGTATCGAGATGGCCGCGTAATCCGAATCTGAGCTTGAAATTACCACTCTCAGCCTTTTGCGCAGCCAAAGCTAGTTCGTGATCGGCACTCCGTCGTCTAGACATTGAACCTTTTCTTCGATGAGAGCTGTCTCGTCGGCTTGGAGATTTGGGCAAGTTGTCAGCAGCAGGGAAAGCATCGGTGTCGGGTCTGTTCGATTGGGAGTGGTTGGATTGGGAGTTGCCGGGTTCAGGAAATGTGCCTTCTGGGAAGTCCCATCCGTCACTCTCCGGTGGCGCGGGGTGCTTCTCCCTAAGCTCGGCAGGATCCTCCATTCCACCTAGAACTTCCGCTGCATGGTTTGCTGGGGTGACATGCTCTTCAACCGGTCGAGAGGTTACGGATACAGGGGCGGGCCAATCGTTGTTGTTTTGGTACATGACAGGGGGGTGCTCAGCCTGGGAGCGAACCATAGGCTGAGGCTGTATCTCTTGCGGCTTCTGCGTAAAGTGTTGCTGCTGATTTTGTTGATGGGGCACATGGTTCTGCTGAGGTATCCTCGAGTTCATTTCTTGGACATGATTCTGGGCGTTTCGTGTCGGTAGCTGAAACTGCCGCTCCATAGGCTGAGGAGCTGGCATGCCAAATGCCTCAACTTCTCGCAGATCCTCCATAATCGGTAGTGGGGGAGACTCTCGAGGGGGTTGAGGGTTCGCGGGGGTGATCATAAGGTACATAAATTCGGACTGGCACTGGTCGAGGAAGGTCTTGAGATCCTGTCGTTGGGCTTCCTCGTCGCCTCGGTCGAGCTTCTCGTAATTCACGCCATCGACGCCGGGAACAGGCATACCCTCCAAAGAAGCTGCAGCAATGTCAGTATATCGTATCGGCATGTTAGGAGTATTTCTCACATCTTAGCTTCTCCTGGATCTTAGCAGCCCGGTCGTTTTTAGCAGCCGTTTCCGCATCGACAGCCTCCTGTCCCTGAAGCTGAGCCGTCTGCTCCTTGACCTTGCGCTCCAGCATAGTAACATACTTCCTCAGCACGCGCTGTGTAGCATCGGCCCTCCGCGCCTGCCCCTCAAGGTTGGCAATGCGGCCCTTCATCTCCTGCTTCTCAATCTCCCACGAGTTCCTATCGCGCTCATGTCGGTGCCATTCTGTCTGCAGAAAGCGCATAACGCCCTGAAGGGTATATTCGGTAGCCTGGGGCAAGTTGGAGCCGTTGCCCTGCATCATCGGCCCCATTTCCATTCCGCCCACGCCGTTGCCAGCATTTGGGCCCATCGCGGCGCGCCTCTCTCAATTGGACGGGGGCATGGAGGTTCGAGTAGGTATGGGGAAGAGAGCGTCGACGGCGAGCGAGTGCCGGTTCGAAATCGGACAAGCTCGGTGCAGTGGATGGGCTGTGATGTGATGTGACGAAGCGAAGCGAGAGGTTGGAAGCTCTGCGCAGGAACGATTCAAAGAGCCTTGGCACGTGTTATCGTCTCGGTAGAGAATCGGTATCGGACTAGCTGTAAGGACAGTCAGGTTGTTATATGGTGTCTTGCTTTATGTTGGTTGTATGTCGGAAAAAGTAGACGTCAGGTCTTGTGCTGCTAAAGAAAACCAAGCTTGCCAGTCCCGGTACTTGGAGGTGCATCTGTTGTGCTGTCCTGTGCTGTACATCCACGCTGTTAGTTGGCGCTATCCTCTGTATCGCTGCTTTGCCGCTGAGATTTTGACCAATCATGGCTGAGCAAGCTGGAGGATTTGAAGCGTGAGGCTGCCAGGCATCAACTTTTAAATACCCCTGGGGATCACCAACACATTTACAGGGGACTATTCTTTGATGACAGGTAGCAGAAACGAAACAAAGGATACTACCAGATAATTGCTTGTTTGTGAACCTGGCCAGCTATTTGTATATTTACCATGCATGTTTCAACCTCGAATCTGACCGGCGAGGTTAGGTATAGCACTCTAATTAAATCTATCAGTAAAGGTCCAAACTCCAACCCCCACCTGCCAAACAAAGCAGTGTGTAAACGCTAGATATCATTGTCTCAAAACTCCATTTCCTCGACTTCCATACCACAATCAACGCATGTCTTAACTGTCATACCGTCCTCGTTTTCCACGGTTCTTCCCCACTCATGCACATGCTTTCCGCCTCCTATCGTATCTCCAAATTTGCTTGCTCCTGATTTGCTTAGGTTGCCTGCTTGTCTGCGGAAGGCGTCCGTCCGTGTCTTTTTCTTCAAGTCCAGCAGCTTCTCCTTGAACTTGGCTTCCTTGCGAGCCTTCTTTTGCGCCTCGCGCTTTTCGAATTCCTCATCCAATGCCTCTGCTGAACCCCATTTCGTCTTAATCGCATACTCTTCCACTTGACATCTAAGGAACAGCATCATGTCGTGCCAGTGAGATTTGTGAGGGTTGGGCTTATTAAGATGGGGTAATAGTTCAGGGTCTCGTAGTTCGGCTATTACATGTTAGCGATGGCAAACCCAATTCCTGGTGGCACAACTCACGGTCTGTAAGCAAGTAGTCCTCTTTGCACTCAGTTTTCGTCAACAGCGAGTACTTCTCTGGATATTTCTCCTTGCACTTATTGCAGACGCAAAGGTGGAAAACCTCCTCCCAGACAAAGTCGATTTCCAAGCTCTTGCAATCCCTACATTTCTTCCGTGTCTCTTCATCCGCCAGCACACTAAGACCCGGTTCAAAAGGTCCTGCCTTGGTTCGCTTCAAGTTCCGTATCAGCTGTAATCGCTCCCATTCCTGAACGGTCATGTGTTTTGGTCTCTGGTCTGCATCCGTCTGCCCAGGCTTCTTGCCACCAAGTGCGAAGTTATGAGGATCATCTTCCGTTGACAAGAAACCACCTTTAGTATCTGTCATGGTGCTCATATTATAGTCGACAAACTTCGTGAACTTCTTCGCAGGCTTAAGCGACTCTTCATCTCCCTTGTTGCGTCCATCTCGATTTGTTCCCTTAGCCTCTGTTGTCGAAATGGAGTTGTATGGTCGCTTTCCGTTGGCCGTCTTCGAAATGTAGACATCTTCTGTTGGTACAAAGCCGCCGGAGCTTTTGGGAATCTCGGGCACGGTGCCGGTCGCTCGTTGTTCAGCTTCACGCTGATCCCGGATCGCCTTTGCGCGGAGTCGATTTTCTTCCTAGGCTATGGTCAACAAACCGACAAATTATGATATCATCTTCTCGCATTGACATACTATGCGCTTTGTGACTTCTGGTGTAGGAGGACTAATAACCGGCGCAGGCTTCGTTGCCCGAGGTGGTGTGGATGGTCGCTCCATGACGGAATTGACGATTGCGAAATGTCACGAAACGAGCTGGAGGGTGGATGACGAGTTTCAAGGCACAGCTGTAAGGTTTAGCGAGAGTTTTGCAGCAGATTGTAAGTTGGAGAAAAAGAATGTAGGAGGAAAATCAGGGTCTTTAGGTACTCTGGTATGACGGCGATATGTGGCGGAGGGGCGGGATTGTCGCGATCTAGAAATCCGAATTATGTCACCAACTAACACGAGAAAACGTGACTACGGTTCATGTTGGGTTCAATGCAAACAATAATGCGGTTTTTCTCCAGAAACCTAAGCGAGCATGAGTTTTATCATAGAAGTATCCAACTCGTACACATTGCAAGTCATTTCCAATTGCTCAAGATCCTAATTTTATTCGCCACAACACAAATGTAACATCTGTGTGTACTATAATACAACCTAAGTCTATTGAGACCGTACCTCAAGACCTAACCCGATCCTACAGTCTGAAATCATCCTTTCGGCGACAACAGTTTACTCCTCCTTGGCACCACCACGGCCAGCGCGCTCAGCAGCCTCAACAGCCTTCTTGTCGCTCTGGGCGGGGCCGCCCTGCATGGCGCTCATGAAACCAGCAGCCTGCTTGAAAGGACGCTTGAGGTCACCAGAGGCAGGCTGGCCAAAGATGTGGATCTTGACCATGTTGTTCTCGAAAGCGCTCTTGAGGGGGATGATGCTCTGGATGAGAAGAGGGTTGGTGTAGTTCATGTACAAGTGCATGAAAGCCATCATGGCCATACCCATAGCCTGGCCACGGAAAGCGGTGCGGATCTGCTCGTTGTCGTAGGCGTGGATGGTGGTGGTGACGAGCTTGCCCTCCTCGGAGGAGCCCATGGGGGCGGGCTCAACATACTTGAGGGTGGTAAGGTCTGCAAGATTTTAGTTAGCATTAAGCTTGTCATGATTGCCTCGTGAGGCTACGAAAAGTTTATCGTACCCTTCTTCTTGTTGATCTTCAGCTGGGTGTAGAAGTACAGAGCAGCAATGATGACGTTGCTGGCAAGGTAAACAGCGCGGACAACGTTGAGCACAAAAGGATCGTCAAAAGGCACGCGCTTGGAAACCTGCATCATACCCAGGATGATGACCAGGTTGGTGCTATCGCAAAATCTGTCAGCTTCATGTTGCCAATTGTCCCTCTCTCTGCGCAGTTGCGCCACCAAGAGCTTTGCGACGAGCTGTCGCGTGAGGAAATACTTACATCTGAGGAGAGAGAGCCATTTTGATTAATGTTTTAAAGGAACCGGTGAAGAAGGATCGGGATGGACAAGCAAGGAAACAAGGCAATGCCAAAAGTTGGGGTTTGGGTTGAATGGAAACAGAGCAAAGATTAAATAGAGTGCGGGATGAAATGGAATGGGGATGTCTTTGCTGGCCTTTTGGAGAGTGGACTGTGGCTTTTGCCGCACCTCACCTTAGCCTTAGCCCCCTTTGGCCACTGTGGGGAAGACTGCATCCAGACAAGTCGAGACAGGCCATTGGTTATCTGCGTCAGATTCTCGATTTTAGGGGACGTTATCTCTATCAGAGCCCCTAAAACACATTATCGGGTCCTCCTAGGCACCCGAGCCTCATTGCGCCATTCATTCTTCCGACTTCCCACTGTTTCTATGTACTTACCTAGGGTCGGGTTCATAATCTAATCAAACTCAACCGCCTGCCGTCTTGGGACTCGTCTTGTTCAAAACTCAAGAGGCTTAGTTGCCCAGCTTCAACCTGAACAACAAACAACCGACTGAACAGAAACGGGTTCCATAAAGACGTAGAACCTCAATTTCTTTGGCAACTCTTTGACAGGGATACCTCTGCGGCACGGTTCGACCATTGCTGAAAAGGATGTAGAACAGCCGGGGGCATCTCTCGGCCGAGTGCTGTTCGAGTGAACAGCACTCCAGTTCTAAGAATGGAACAAAGAACACCACCCATTCGTACATCTTGTTCAATGGCAATGTTCGGAATGAGGGAAATGGCTTCAGAAATGGCACGGCTTGCCCTCTTCTCAAACTTGATACTTATACTCCAGGGTCATGATGCTCTTAAAGTAAATATCACAGATAACACCATCGAAACTCACAACTGAAGAAACAGGAGAAACCATACAGCAGTAATTGCCATTCACACTCAAGGAAACTTGTGCATACCCACTGTTATTACGCAACAGACTAAATCATGTCGTACTCATCTCAACGCTACGACCTTGACGCTGCCGCTGCCAGGAAGCGAAGCCAGTCATTCTCACGAGACCGTGACCACAGGTACCACAGCCAATCTTACAACAACCGCCCTCATGATGCCTACTACCGTGCGCCGGAAGTATCACGCACACCCTCCTCTGCGAAGAGTGAAAGCTGTTTTTCCATGAAGAAAGAACGACGCTCTCGGTCTCAGAGGCAGACCCGTCCGAAAGAGCAGGAACGTTCTTACGCAGATTATACAAGAAGAGGAGATCGCTCATCAGGTAATAGACGAATCCCTTCAGACAGAGGGTCGGGCAGAGAGGATGGTCGGTATGAGAGAACAAATGAGCGCTCTCGATCAAGACCAGAGGTTCCTTCTAAGAGAGAAAGTCATTATGAGCAAGAGAGAGAGCGTCATCATCCCGAAGAGGACCGCTCTAGGAGAAGAACCAGTTTGAGAAAAGACGATCGAGCTGGTCCAGAGGGTAAAGTTCAATCGAGAAGGGGGAATGCTTCTCGTCCGGAATCTTCACATCACAACGGTGAGGCCTCCCAATCAACTACTGAAGACATCAACACCTTTCTCAACAGTGGCCGGGCGTCACGACCATCTTGGGGATATTCTACATACGGTACCTATGTCTGGCCTTTCGAGTCGAATGGGCAGCATCGAATCATGGATCCCACGAAGTGTACTTGTAAATGTTGCCCCCATCCCATAGGCATAGCCCACAGTCACAATCATTCTCGGAACCATTACCGGAACCAGGACCTTGGGATGCCTTCCAAGCGGGCCGCCGCGCGCAGCAAACGTACCCCAGAGGGCAGGTACCTCATTCAGGTAATTGACAAGTCCAGAAGCACATTGAACCGAGAGAACGGTCCAACGTATCCGATTTCGCTCAATCCCGGTGCATCATGTGATCGCATTGCCTCGTTCTTGGCACCGGAAAAGAGATATGCCAAGGTCATCGTGCATTGGGATGATGGGATAGTCCAGACACTTGATAACCATATCGCTATGGAGGATTTGATTCGACATGCCGAGTTTCTAGAGGTCAAAGAGACCAAGAGCGTGCATTGGGCGGCGTAAATCGCCAAAAGCAGAAATAGAGGTTGTATAAAGGCGGGTGCGTAAACCGGTTAGCGATTGGGATTGTGATATGATATGCATATCCGTAGGTAAGAGTCATGGCCGGCAGGTAAGTATGTATGTAAGTCATTCAGTCAGTCAATCAAGAAAGCAAGCAATTATTTCCAGCAAAATATACGAGGTGACCTAACTCTTGAGGCCTGCTCTGACGAGTCCCATGATTGCTCAAGTGATGAGGGGAGGTTCCAAGAATGATAGCCTCAGCCTCCACAGTCTGCCTAAATTCGAACCACCCACCGTTATCCCACCACTAAGATGGTAAGCCGTGCCGTACAAGGCTGATAAGTAATATCAGCCCAATGTAATTAATGTGCAGTTTTGTTACAGCATTGTATCATATTATTAGTTGCTTCACATAGTCTAAGTTACATACTTGTCACAGCCCTGCCACCCCCAGCGAAACATAAACGAACGTCGACTGACCATTGTTCTCTCTTATGCAACCACTTTAAACAGTAGGACTGTGCAAGTGCAATCTTGTCAATTCAATTGGATTACCCTCGGCTCACACGATCCACTTGAGACAAGATAGAGAGATTACCTACCTACGTATCCATACCCAGACAGATAAAAAAACGCCCCGCAACGGAATGACTCAACTCCGGCCGGTAAGGTAGGTTCGTCTTGAAGGATTATGATACGATAAATTTGAAGCTTGGGGTTGATTAATGTTGATGACGTTCCAGGGTACAGTCTTTTCGGCTCTTCTTACCGGTTTGTGGAGGCTTTTGCCTAAAATTGCGGCACTGCGTTGTTTTAGTTGTCCTCTTTTTTTCTCGTTTCCTTCTCCACGTTAGAGACTAAGAACCAACACCAGAAATGAGGTTTCATGGTTGTGGTCGGTTCAACCAACAATGGGAAGCAACAAGCAACAACCCGTTGATCAATGCCGTGGTACTGTAGATCAAAAGGATGCAAGGCACATATCAAGGAGATTACCTGTTTTGTAGCGTAGCTTTACTATAGTCCAGACGTGGCAAGCTGCCCGGTGCTGTGCTGCGCTTTACTGTGCAGTACATATGTGTATAAGCACCAAGCGCCCAAAGTTGGGGGCCGCTGCAATGCAGTGCTACACCATCATACTATCAATATCTATATACATATACTAGATCATGATATCCATGGCTAGGTATGCGGCACAGCCACAGATTGTCAGTTGAGCATTGTATTCTCTATCGAATAGAAGTTGTTACATACTTACGAATACCTACATCTGTTCTTTGATGTGATGCAGTCTGTGTCAACTTGGAATATGTATGGATTCTCTACTGCATACAATGGAAGGAATGCCTCGGCTCTGAATGAACCGGACCAATCACACCTCGCTTGGCGAGACAAACCAGGCAAGGCCCCAAGCGCCGCGCTAAGATGCTCTGCTCTCCATACTCAACTCCAACTCTACTCAACCTAACTTTAGACCCATGGTTACTACCTGGAGATCCTGCCGGAAAATCAGGCAGCCCTCTCCATTCTCTGCCCAGAGCTTAGCTTCTAAAACAGGATCGTAAAGCTTCTCATTCCTCTATCCTAAACGCAAAAGAACCACCCCCCTCCACCGGCACTGCTATGGATCCTCCTGTTGCTCTAGGGCGGATTTCGACGGAGTCCCGGACCATCACATAGATCGGGAAGACAGGGGTCAGCCAACTACATGGTGCCTATGCCTATCCCATGAACAGGAGCCTGGCAGTGCGGCTCGGCACGATGTTCTCATGTCCATCGAGGATGGGGTCCTTTTGATCTTCTAAATGACAGAAGGTTAGAAGGGTTGCCCGTGGTTGCCTATAAGACCACGATCCATAAGAGATGCCCCCTCAAGGGTTTATAAGTCGCCACGGGATGCTTCTTGTCAGGCAGAAAATAAGTCACACACATCTCACAAGGCCAGTATCAGTTTGATATACTTTGTATACATATACAATCGATATCTCAACTATCTTTTTATATCACTAGTTGTCTATCACTTCCATCTTCTCCTCTCGCTTCTCCTTCTATGAGCCACATAGACTCACTATATCGTCGGTTACCAGAGACAATCAGATATACAAATACAGATACACAAACCATGTTCGGAACTTGGAAGTACGATCCTGAGACAGATGAGGTCCAGAGCGTTCGCAACGGCTTCGACCCTGTCACGGCCCGCTCCAGTTCCCACCAGGCATGCGATAGATGCCACGAGAAGAAGGTATGCCTAACCCCCATCTAGTTCCCGGTAATTGGGTTAGCGAAGCGCATCCTTTGAGCCGGGTTCACCCTGCCAAGGTTCATAGTCGACCGTTTTAACTGGACCTTGATCGCTGACTTTACCGCTTGTATAGCTTCGATGCAGTGGAGACAAGAACGGCTGCGAACGGTGTCACACCAACAGTCTTCGTTGCGAGTACACCCGTTCAGGCTCCAAGTCTTCCAAGAAGAAGAGCCATCGCAAGTCCACAGACGATGAGAGCGCCTCAGGCTCAAGCTCTCGTCGAGGGGGCAGTTCCTCTAAGCGCTCGAGCAAGCACCACAGCCACGCAGGACATATAGTAACCTCAAGAGAGGAAGCTGGAGGTCATCTGAGCCAATTCGACTTCTCACAGCTCAGCCCAGAAGATGGTTTCGACCTGAACCTCCTATCTGGTGCTGACCAAAGCGGAGGCTATGCCACGGCTGGACCATCGGGAGACCAATACAGCATGCAAGCATATGACGCCAACTACCAACAGCAGTGGGATGCGACAGCATACTCTCAGTACGGAGCACAAGCTCAGTACGGTCAAGGCTATTCGAACGAGAGCTGGGGCGAGTATGATCAAAGCGTTTACTCGCAGGATCCGCGATATTACTCCAGTGGACGCTGATCATTGGGGTAAGGCTGATTTTGAAGGTTGACTTTTAACGACATGATGACATTGGACGAGACAAGACGCGCTACAGTAGGCGGGAGACTGTATGATTAAACTTTCCTTTGTGTCTTTCGCTTCTTCGTTATACCCACGTTTTAATCATTTCTTTCTTTCTTTTCGCTTTAGAAGCTTCTCTCTGCATCCTAAACATTGTCTTTCTTTCTCTTACATAGATGAATACGAACTGGGCTTAAACCGGGCCGTCAATTCCTGCAAGGATTGACAAGGTGCACGCAGAGCCACGAATTATCGAACGTTGTTTCTCGTTAATAAGATCTGATGTGATGTTTTGTCTACCTACCTCTTTCGGGCGATTGTGGCAGTGTTTTTGAGTAGCGAGCTAGACTGAGTTCCAGTCCGATGCAATTCGGCTTTGACCGCTCGTCTCAGATAGAGAAACTCGCAAAAGGTTTTCCGAAGGATTTCTCTTTTGCTAGGGAGAGACCCGTATCATGTAGGTGCTTACGTCGTCGAAGGATTCGGGTATTGACCAAGCTAGTAGTAAAGTTTATGTTGTGAGGCATCGACAACCAGGGTGGGAGTCAGGGTGTCAGAAGAAATTACTACCGAAGACAGGAAAGACGGAATACTTTGGTCGCTTAATGCGGAATTAGGCCGTAGCTTAGATCACTTTATTTTGACGGCCTGAGCCCTAGAGGACAACTTTTCTGTTAACCAATTGGGATTCTAGGTAGACGCGAGAAAGATTGCCTTAGTCATAAGGCTATGCACGACGTCACAAATTGACCGGGGTAGCTTTTTCGTGAGCATCACATTCGACTGCAGTACACCTAAGCTCATCGAGTCAGTGCCAATTGCACGATATCAATCATGGCAAACGATAATCCTGTGGCTCCTGCCACTTCCAAGTCAATCTTTGGATATCTGAATGACTGGGGAAGTAAGTCGAGCCCTCTGACATGACCCTCAACTGAGTCTATACAACTTCAATACATCACATAACTCACCATATGACTCAAACAATCATAATACGAACAGAAACAAAACATCAACTGACACTATCACAGCTGCATCACTCCCCCCATCCCTTCTAGCAACCCTCATAACCGCTCTTCACGCGCGGCCCCCATCCCTGCCCCTCTTCCTCTTCACCCCTCCGCTGCTCTTCTCATCCTACCTCAACCTCTCAGGCTACCCTACTGGCAGCGCTGGCCTTACGGCTGCCTGGTCTGGCCTGTACGCGCTTCTAGCCCTACGTCGTCGTCAGCCCTTCCGCGGCCGCTTCTCTATTCGTGGTGTCGTGCGTGGCACCGCCATTGGTTTGGGCGCGGCTAACTGCGTTGCGGGAGGATGGGTCTACGCTAATGGCGATTTCGATAAGGATGCCGAGGCGAGGGTTGAGAGGAACCGCTGGGGTGGAAGGGACTAAGGAAGCAAGTGTCAGGCGGTTTGACGTGTATGATATGGGTGTACGATATGGCTGGTGCAGGCATGAATTAGAAACAACGTGGGACTGTTTAGGCTGGTCGAAAAGTGCCGGCAAACAGGGCGGGCAGACGGAGACATGTGTCATGATGATGGATTTGGAGTTTAGCTGTGAACAAAGCAGCATATTACAAGCCCTAGCAGGTCGATAAGCAAAATGCCCAGGCAAACTTGCTAACACTACGTCTCTTTTCATAAGTGATTTCCCTTCCCAGTAGCAACAAAATTGCTTCCAAACCTCGGCCCCATTATCGTCCCAACGTTCAGCTCGTGAGATCGAAAACGCCTCGGAGGAAGGCTCACGAGAGAAACACACAACCCACGATGCCTTCAACGATGACTCCTCAGGACAAGTGCCGGGGTGAGCTGACTATCAACACGAAGTAACAGATCCGAGCTCCTACGGGTGGCAAGTCAGTATGTGTCCGATAAGGAGAATAAGCCAGGCAGTGTTGACATAAGCAGAGGCAGCACTTTAATGTATTCCCGTACGACTTGTGGCTGTCTATGTAACACAGATATACGAGCAACCAGCCTCAAACGATCCAGAATCCTTATTAATATCTCAAGGGATCACCTGAGTCAGCGTGCAGAGATCGGGCTGAGTGATGGTCTTCAACGTTAACATAACATCCGCAACATCTTACAACATAAGCACAAGGGAATAGCACGGCCACAGTCACCGATCTGAGATCATCAAGCATCATGTCATACTCTTGAACATATACACTTTTTTTTGTCTTGTGCTACTTAACCCAACGCCGGGTATCCAGGTATCATCAGCAGGAATCTATTAATACAGTGTAAAAACCGTGTATTCCATCCAACGCCGTTGCTTCCCCCTTAACACGAGACCACGCAAGTTCTTCTTTTTTGTTCTTTCTTTCGAATCATTCCTTGATCGAAAGGGGGCTCTATTCTTTCAGGCCCCAAATCTATCCTCTCCTCGCCGTTATGCGGAGAATAAAACGCCAGTCCGGAAGACATTCTCAGCCCTTGATTCGTCTCCGAAACCATTCTACGGCGATGCCGTTAAAATACATAGTAAAGTCATGAAAAGAAAAAACCTCGTTCCGTTCGAGTTCGTCGGACATTTGAGCACCTTCTGGTTTGCTCTTTGTTGCCGTCAATCTTGGAATCGGGGTATTGATAAAGTGTAAGGAAAATGGTTGGTGAACATGTCGTGCTTAGAAAGGGGTGTTTCGTAGCTATGTTTGATAAGATTTCTCATCAAGAACATGATCACAGTTGTGTCGGTGTGTCGTGATGGGCATCGCAAGGTTATCCCGATCAGAGAGGGTCGAGTCCCGTAGCTGTACCGAGTCTTGACCCGGACAGGAACCACAAGGTCAGGACGGCGGTTGAGAAGACGACGGCCCGAAAGAACGTGCGAGATTGGAGTCGATCGCATCGTGAGCAAACATCTCGTTGCCCTAGTGTATTGGCAAGAACTAGACTTGAAACCTCGAAGCCCTCAAGATATGTGACATCGCACTCTCGAGCCTTGGGCTCGGCGTAGGTGTTGTACTCTGCGACAACCCGTGCGGCGTCCCAGCCGGTAATCTTGCGAACGACACCAACGACGCATCCTGTTCGGTGCTTGCCATGGTTGCAATGGATCAGGAGGGGGTAATTTGACTTGTCGAGAACGACGTTGAGAATGCCCTTCATCGTGTCCAATGGGATAGCCTCCTTCTTGGTACCCTTCATGTTGAAGACAACTTGTCGAATGCCCTCGCGAGTAATGAAAGTCTCAAGGTCGTGATCAAGGTCATCCTTCTTGACGAGCGTGCTATAACTGGTTAGCCTATAGTCACGGATTATCAGGATGGGTTACTAACACAATAGTCTTGAGCCCCAAGCCCTTGATGTATTCGAAGTCGTGGGACTTGGGGAAGCTGCTTCGGTAGACACCTGGAACAACAACTCCGAAGTTGAAAGGTCGGCCATCTGTAGACATGGGTGGGGAAATGGATGAAGCTGTGGTCATGTCAGTAAAGGCTCCATGATGAATCCGGTTGGCATAGGACGTACAGCGTGAGTCGCTATCACTTGTGGATGTTGATAGAGAAGTCTCCATTGCGACAGCAGTAAAGCTGGGTGTGCGACTCATGGTTGAAAGCGCCTCCTCCATTTCTTGCTTCACTTCGTCCTTGGAAGTGCTACGAGATCCGTGTCTTGATCGAAATTGTGTCCCGTTGGGCGTTGTGTGGCCTTCTGTGATGTGTGTGGACTCGTCCACAAAAGCTCGGGAATTCCGTTTCGATGCCATGCTATTGATCATCATTTTGACGATCTTGGAGAGGATTGATGACTTGAGGTTCGTTTTGGTAAGCGCGGTGCGTAGAGGTCGAAGTGGTGAACGTAGAGTAGTAGTAGATGTACTAAGCGTAGAGGTCGGAAGTAGCCGATGTGTGAGAGAAGATTGATGTGAGGGTATCGTGAAGCGAGTTGAGTCTTAAAAAGGCGAATAGAGTTTTTCGTGTTCAAAGGTAGAATTAGAATTGCAGGTTGAAGATGCAAACCCTGAATTCGGAAGCTCGCGTGGGCAACTCGGCTACAAGGTTTTGGAACTCATGTTGGCGACAGTGAGGTAGTTGAAGAAGTACTTCATTCAAGGTCCGCTCTGACCCAAGTATGTCTCAGCTTCAAGGTAGAAGCGTGGGGGTGAGGCAGGTTTCCAATAGGTTTTTGACAGGAAGCTCGGTCAAGAAGAAAGGACAAGTAGGAAGCGGGAGCGGAAGCGGGAGGATGTGATAATGGGAAGAATGAATGGGGCGAGAGACAAAAAAAAAAGATGGTGGAGGATGATGGGATGGATGTTGGTGAGAGACAAGGCAAGGCTGTCTTGAAGCAAGACAGCGACAAGGGTCCACCGAGATGCAGTAATAGTAAAGTCCCGACTGCGATGGATGGGGGGAGCAGGGATTGACGGTACGGTTCAAGTAGACGAATGGATACTGAACTGTATTGTATTATGCAGGCTCTCTCTGTTGGTCTGACCTGGTGACTGATCTGATCTGACCTGACCTGACCTAGAGCAAGGATATCGACTGCGTGGTGGTTGGAAGGGGGAGAAAAATCTGGTGGTGATGGTTGATGGCTTAACTAAAAGAGCAAGAGCAGTGAGTGAGTGACTCGGCCAACATGGGGGCGACAGAATAAAGGGTCGTGTCGAGGTTCACTGAACTGGGACGATGACGGTATCTGTGATTGGCTTACAAGGGGCAAAGTATTGCCTCTAGACTGTTCTGGGGTTAGAAGAGGTGTGTCGGGGGAGATTTGTGGTGCCCCGCGACGCGGACGGGGGACCTTTTTCGGGCACCTTTTCTGTCCTGAACCAGTGAACCGAACCATCTAAACTCCACTGAAGCGAAGCGAAAAGGCCGCTCGGGGCGGAGATACAGGTAGAATGGAACTCTGCTGACTGTGCTGTATTAACAATCTCCGAATATTGTATTGGATCTATTCTCTCACGAGTCCAGTCTGATGTCGGTTTCTGCTACAGTACAGTCGATCTTGAGTTGTCATGTCTAACCTAACCCCATGTTACATTGCGCAATGCTCCAAGGGTCTGGTCTTCCCCATTATGCACTTATGCACTGTCGTACTGTACATCCATCCATCATATTGGATATCAATCTCCATGGACTCTTTGCACACGTTTTGCATTCAAGGATGGCCCATCTCCCCGCGTTACGAAACTCTATCCAGGTGTCTCGATGTCATTGCACGGTAGTTTTAATGCTTAATCAATATCCAGCAGAGTTTATCCATTGCATTGCATTGCCTGCCCCTCTTTCAACACGAGTCGAGTCAACCTAGACGACGCGCCGTGGGAAGTTTAGATGGAGGGGATGGGATGGGATGGAGAGTTAACGAGGCGACGTGGTCGGCCAAGGTACTTCGTTGACATCCACGACATGCTCATCGCGATGCGATGCAATGTAATGTAATGCAGTCTGTATGTAGTAGGTATTCACATGCTCACAAAAATCCATTTCAACATTGGACCAGTAAACGAATCGCAAATAGGCTGTTTACAGTTGAACTTGGCCTAGAACAGCACGCAAGAGTCTCGAAGCCTACAGAGTACCTACGCTAAAGACTGCTGCAGCTGGAAGCCCTCGAGCCACATGGTTGGCCCCAAGCCACATACAATTTTACCCTCTCTTTGTCCGACTATGACGGAGGATGGCAGGTCCGTGCAAGGTTATCCCCTGGTCTGGCTCATGATTATTCAGAGCGTCAGTCAAGGTCGAGGTATGACAGCATAAGCATATTCCAGCAACTTCATCTTACCTTAATCTTGTGTTCTACGTAACACACAGATAGCATCATATTTTGCCTCGACTCTACTGTACTCTCCGGATCCTCGGATGAGATGTGCTTGCTTAGAGTTTCGTGCCTCAAAAACAAGTGCAGTCTTCACCAAGGCACACTCGCTCTGTAGATCGGTTTCACGGAGCCCCGAGATTTCGATGGTGTGCTCTATGGGTACATGTACAGTATGGGTGAGTTGGAAACCAATAAGCGCCTTGATCCACAGGACCCTTTCTCCCCGAACAACACCAATCTTGGGAGCCGGAGTCGTTATGCCAACTAAACTAGGTTGGTGCGGTGATGATCTTGAGTGCAAACACATCAGCTATTGAGGGGTAAGTCAAACGCGGTGAAAGTCAAGGTTCGGTCTAGTTTTAGTGATGGGATTGCTGGTTTGAAGATGATGCAAAATGGAAGCCCAAAACATGGTTGTTGGGTTTCGAGAAGATGAAGAGATGTGATGTCAGTTTTTGGAGGCGAAGAGAAGCCAAACGCAACGCAAGCAGAGGCGCGGGTGAGACATCCACAGACACAGACACACGCGGCTGCTGCCCTGCCCTGCCCTGTTGTCGATCTATCATGCTTTAGCCTTCGAATCCCTCAACCGCCAGATCTTCAGCTTTTCATGAAACGTTGTGAAACTGACATTCGGACATCAAAGTGAGCTGTGCTTCCCCACAGAGTGTAACCAATGATGCATACCTAGTTTACTGTCCATATTTTGTGTAGAGCAAAACTTGATCCTCCAATGGACATAGTGTGCGGTTTATTATGTCAACCAGAGTCTGCACAAGTACACTCACCTTCAACATCCAGCCGCCACAGTGATCATCATCTTTCTTGGCGCATTCGGCACAATCGGTCCACAGGGAATAAGTCCCTGAAAGTTGATGGTAGATCCATTCCGCATCATTGCTGCTTTGCCCTGGCATGACCACGCGGCAGTGGCCGAAGTTTTCGCATCCAAGTTTATTCCCATTTATACACGTAAGATATTGAGGTTGGTCAATTGACGTATTCTGTGTTCTGTACTCTTCAAAAGTAGCGGCTTCATCACTAATAAATATGGTCAGATTTACTAGACCGAGCTGGCTGCAAGTGGCGGAAGCTTGACGACCGAACCACCGACCGGCCGTAATTACGGCTGTCTCGGCCACTCACCCGGTCGGTCTTCTTTTTTGGTCTTTTAAACCGGCGCAAAAAGACTTTGCTTCTCAAAAGTCGGCGTTACCAAGATTCAACTCCGATGTGCGATGTGCGGTGTGCTGTGGATACTGTATTACTGTACATTACAATTCATAGTCCCCTCCTCTATTAGTGATCATCACCGGATTCTCCAGTCCTGCGTTGTGCTGCGTTGGCACTTTCTCCAATCTTGGAATGGACGATCGACGTCATCGCCTTTGATGTTACAGTTGGTACTCAGATTGTCTCAGCCTCTCAGCCTCCAGCCTCGACACCAGCCTCATCATTGATCTGCATTGCATGTCTTGTTGATCAATATCGTTACATTGTGTTGTTGCTATATCTGGAAACTTATGAGACTGTCGTAGGAAGTGCATCGCCCGCTTATACACACGCGACTTGTCGTCTAGAGACATACTCTATCATCCAATTAACTTTCAGTTGTAACCTTAACTGACGGTCCGTGTAGTTTAAATTGTTTCGAATCTCGATATGCATTACAAAGAGAAAGAGCTCGCGTGTCAATCCCATCCAAAACTGACACCGGAACAAAAGAACAAAGCAGGCCTCAAAGTAAATTCCATGCGCTTAACACACCCTTAGGCCTTACATGGTCCAAACACCGGGGAAGCCAGAAACACTTTGCGCGCATATGTCAAAGTAAAAGCGTAGGGAGCTGCAGGAACTCAAAACAGTCTCAGCTCCCTCACACCGAGCAACCTATCTCTCGGTCGCCTATTTTGGGAACCTACCGACACCGAAATTGTCTCGGGTTTGATGAGCACACGAGCAGAAATTGAGTCTGGAACTATAAACTGGGATTGTCTTTGTCCCCCACGTGAAGACCTACGCTTTTTCGACACCGAAGGGAAGCATCCGCGGTTCTGGGGATCCCTACATTTCCAATTTGGGACACCGAGAAAGCTCTCCCTCATCTCAGGGGAAATACAAGCTCTCCCCCAGCTGTGTTCAGCTCGGAATTTGTTCCCCGAACCAATCAGATATTGATAATATGGTTCAAGATTCAAAGCTTGGGTCAATTTTATTATTGATTTGATGAGACATTTGTTTCGTTCACGCTACGCGCCTCTTCAGCCTTGTTAACGGTAGCCTAACAGGTACAGACGGACACGAGCACGGCGTGGTAAGAGTTTTGACACGGAGCTAATGGAAGCTACCGCTGCACATGAGCATACAAAGTTAATTTCCTCTAAAAGTTCTTTCCGCTGGTGGCTGTAGATATCGAGATCTGGACTCTCCTCGTTGCTGTTTCTTTCGAAACCACCACGGCAGCATGTTTAACCGTAAAGAGTGTGTGGATCTTGGTTCAACCATCCAACGGCAAGTATTCTTCAAGCCGCGTGTGTTAGACTCGGCAGTTTTCTGCAGCGCGACGGGTTTGCCGGCGGCTATAATGAGCATCATGCTATCGGAACGACAGGTTCTTTGACATCTGCATCACTATCATCAGATCATCTGCAAAGTTGTTGGCAACTTTTGAGCGATATCTTGGTTAAGACTGCAGGTTCTACAAGAATAGATAAGCCTCTGATCTTGGAGTTTTGTGGCATCATGATTGTGTGAAGGAATCACGAGATGCATTGTGAACTTTGATGTCGACTGTGTTACCCTATACAAACCTCAAATTGGTGTTTCTTCCACAACACACATCACAGTTACTTCAATTGACGGCCTTAGCTGAAATAATTGTCTCGAGCCCTTCTTACTACAATTGATTCCATTCACAGACTTAGCTCATGGTCATATCATCATTATCATGTGAATAATCTGCAGGATGTTGGCACTACTGCACTAAGACCCCACGACTCGGCCTGTTAAGCCGAATTCTGAAGCATTCCTAAGCTCTTTATCACATCAAATGAGCCATTTGTAACCATATTCCCTCACCATTTATAACCGATAACCAATGAAACCGTATATCCTCTCAGCACGATGACGTTGAAAGAGAGTCACAATCCCAACGACCCCGCTGAGGGGTTGTTGAAGGGATTCGGCACTGCTATATCACAGACGACCTCCTCTGACCGTTGACTCTTCTTTCTTCAACAACTCAATTACTCACGATTATCTGCATCTCAGCTACCTTTGTTCAACTCTTGAAACCTACACCTTTCGGTACGATGTGACAACGCACGAATAAGGAGCAATGGCTCTCGCGATTATTACCATGTATCAAGGTAACGTTTAAAGAACGCATCCGGGTGTTCAACTGTCTGTGCTCTGTACCTCCCCTCTAGACAAACCTTCATCACACTCATGATGAACGTGAGTCTTGAGTACGGGCAGAGCAGGGTAGTTGATCTGAGAAATACCGGCGAACTTGATCTGGATAATACCAGCGAAAGGACATGCTTCTTACCCTCCCCCTATATTCCGGGTGACCGGAGAACTAACCATAGCAGTAAACTACTTGATCTTTCAACATGTCGACTGACAAGATCACTTTCCTTACCAACTGGTACCACTGACTTAGGCTTTAGCATGAGAATCTGTAGTTAACGATGTTTAGGCACGCTACGCCTTACCACGCGCCGCTGTACCTAGCTCAGGCGAAGGGATACTTTAAAGAGGAGGGAATCAAGGTTGCTCTCCTGGAGCCCAATGATCCTAGTGTGAGTGACCCTTTCCACAACCGTGAATCGAGGTAGAGGTACTGACTTGACTAGGATGTCACTGAGATCATCGGCACTGGCAAGGTCGATCTTGGCTTCAAGGCCATGATTCACACTCTCGCCGCCAAGGCTCGAAACTTCCCCGTCCAGTCCATCGGCAGTCTTCTCGATGAGCCCTTCACTGGCGTAGTCTACCTCAAAGACTCGGGCATCACCACCGACTTCCGCACCCTCAAGGGCAAGCGCATTGGCTACGTCGGCGAGTTTGGCAAGATCCAGATCGACGAACTCACCTCGCACTATGGCATGACTCCTGATGACTATACCGCTGTGCGCTGCGGCATGAACGTCTCCAAGGCCATCATCAAGGGTGAGATCGACGCCGGTATCGGTCTCGAGAATGTCCAAATGGTTGAGCTTGAGGAGTGGCTCGCTGGCCAGGGTCGTCCTAAGGATGATGTTCAGATGCTTCGCATCGATGAACTCGCCGAACTGGGCTGCTGCTGCTTCTGTACAATCCTCTACATCGGTAACGAGACCTTCCTGGCCGAGAACTCCGAAAAGGTTCGCTCTTTCATGCGCGCCGTCAAAAAGGCCACCGACTTCGTTCTCTCCGAGCCCGAGAAGGCCTGGGTTGAGTACGTCGACTTCAAGCCCGTTATGGGCACCGAGTTGAACCGCAAGATCTTTGAGCGCAGCTTTGCCTACTTTAGCAAGGACCTCAAGAACGTGAAGCGTGACTGGGAGAAGGTTACCAAGTACGGAAAGCGTCTTGGTGTACTTGATGAGAGCTTTGAGCCCAACTACACCAACTCGTACCTTGAGTGGACTCTTTCTGGAGAGTCTAGTGATCCTACTGGTGACCAGAAGCGTATTGCTCAGTTGCAGAAGGATGTTGCTGCTTCTGGTGGTTTCCACCGTCTTCAGGCTGAGGCTGCTCAGGCCAAGGCTTGAAAGCTTGGTGGTATCGCCCAGAGCAGTACACTACGACAAGTCTAGATAACCGACACGCTCATTGCTATCTTGGAGGAAACTACAAGGACATTCGTTTAATCTAGCTACAAATACAAGTAAAGATTGACCTCAATTATTCCCCAGATTTTGACTGTGCCTCGATGGTGACTGGAATGCGTGCTAACACGCCCATCAACGCACCCGTTTCCGGCCGAACCGGCACGGCAGAGTAGCTGCCAAGACGGACCCTGGGAACCGAGAAATTTATATTGAATAGTGCTTATAATTGTCGTAATGTGCGGCTGGGGGCGGAAAGTCCCATCTCTGAGGAGATTCGCATCGGTATGCAGAATGTGCCGAAGTATAACGTTCTACTAACAGGCGACGGGGCGCCAAGTACCGAGGAACCGGAGATGAGTTAATCGTTTTGTAGTTAGGAAAGACATAGAAAGATACGGCGCATCACCAGTAAATCAGGACGAGGATGTTGGTTTGGGAATCGTGATATTGAAGGCTTCGACCTCTATGCAAGTGTACTATGCCCACATATGCACCAAAAAGAAATACACAATGATTTATAGCAAAAAGACATCGAACCCTGAACTGAATTCCATATGGCATGTACCTCTTTATGGTGTAAACTCAAGAACATGGTTCGAGTCCGGAACAGTAAGGAAGTCTTCTGGTAGTTTCTCAGGAGGGGGAGCCTAATTCCTTAAGTCAGCGCTATACTTTTACCTCGGAGTCTGAAGCGTGCAACTCACCTGAAGTGACTTTGCCCACTTTCTGATATCATCGTAGTTCTTGCAAGTGTGCTTGGTGTTAAAGTCCGGGAACGCATTGGGATCCTTCTTGTCATACCAGACTTGTCCTAGAACACCAGTATCGACGTGACACATGAGGACCTGACGGATTGTGTCGAGACAATGTGCTGTAATAATTAGTATAGAGACTCAATTGATAGCGAGAGAGGTTGTGACTTACTGACGTGTAGGCGGAAGACTTCGCCTTCGTTTTCGAAGGCATGTCCACCCACGTGCTTATAATGATCGTAATTAAAGTAGAGACTCTTACGAACAAGATTCTAGCAAAGTTAGTAAAGCCATTATGTCCCTCTTGTTTCAGTACATACCAGGCAGTGAAGATGATGCATGCCCTCGACATTGACGATGAAACCACCACCATGTTTAGGACTGACTTGAACGTGGGCATCAGTAAGACCACTGGCAATGCCTTCTTCATAAGAGATAACACCAGGTCGGTCTGTACACCGCTAGTCAACATAGAGCAAGGCCTTGAGATGGATACACTTACAATCGACGCCCAAAGACTCCCATGCCTTATCTACTTCCTTGGAGCCATTCTTGCGAAACTTGTTCTCCTCCATAAAGTTTCCGTCAAAGTGTGTTTCTTGGTACTTAATCGCAATGTCTTTGAGGACAGGTGCTAATGAACAAATGTCAGATACTGTTCCGTACCTAGGGAATCTTGAGACTTACACCACTTTGTTGTATGCATAGCACATATTTGATCGATCTCAAGATACGCCATTGCGATCCATGCACCAGTGAGTGCTGAGATGACGATAATCATGAGGAACGACATGGTCCATGCGAAACATCTACATGCTGAACAACGGCGACGTCTTCGTGGAGGAACATATTGGTAAGGCTCTGAATCTTCATCTGTATCTTCTTGATCTTGCATAGGATTCAAGAAAGCAGATTCTTGTTCTGGTTTGGGAGACATAGTTGCGATGTTGAGGATGGGATGGACAAGGAATTCGAACACAAGTTGAATGAAGAAGATAAATGATTAACCCGAAGGAAATTGTTAAAAAGAATCAATTGAAACCAGTATAGAAAATCTCGTATAAATTTAGAACGGGAACCTTTGAGGCCAAGACATTGAGCGGCTGACACTCATAGTGCCAACCCAATTCCCACTGCCGACCCAGCCGGGGCATACTCTTCAAGTGCTTAATGAGATATTCACAAGCCTAGCCAAGAGATGGTCTGAACGAGGCTTTCTGATAGTTCTTACGATAGCTGCTGATCAAGTGGTCTAACCAACAAACACGATACAGACGAGGCGGGCACCAATCACTTAGAGACGATCTTACTTACATCGACATAGTGCACGTCGTGATGGCGTCGAAGAAGAAGGCTGAGACCGCTTTCGACCGTGCCTCTTTCGTCTTGGATAAGACGTTACATCTACTAATGCAGGAAAAGGAACCTGACAAGTGCTTGTAGGAGTTATGAGTCTGACTACCAGGGCAATGGCAACTGGGTTCTTGTAACTGAGGCAAGCATGGAATTGAACCAACAGGACTGTTCAGCTGGAAGCCACCATGGCTTTCTTAGGGCTACTTTGGTGAAGAAGATTTGTGGTGTTTTTGGCTCGAGAGCTAGACTTGGGAATGGAATGCTGGGGCTGACATGTGTTTCTGGGTTAGTTAACACTCAGACACTTAACTGATCCCAGGTCAGATCCCCCGCATCGGCAATTGATAATGACCTCATCTATCTAAATGATTTGCATGTCTATACGAGAAGAGCCGTATATCCGTAGTATAATCTCTGATGAAAGACGTCGTGATCTTATTCCCATGTCGTCGAATACATCATCGTTTTCGGAAGATAGTCAGACCATCGATCTTATGCACGTCTGACACAGACAGATGAAAGTTTATTGTGCTATTTACGTCTATGAAGAATGCCATAAGAAAAGCCCAGTTCCCCCAACGTGCATTAGCCGCGCATGATCTTCATCGACTAACAAGATGGTGGCTGGTCCCGAAGAGGCAATCCGCTGGCCTTCAACCTTCACAAGGCCATTCTAGAGCAGGCTTACACGATCGCCTAGACGGTATCTCTCATAGCCGGAGCTAGTGAGGTGAAGATGAAGCTGTGATAAGGAAAGCTTCTCAGCAAACTGCATAAAAGTAACATTTTGGCTTGTCAGCCTCCAATGGACAGCCTCCTCAGATGGTGATCCCCTCCACTTGCTCGTATCTTCAGCCGTCTCAAGACTGACTTATCTTAACGATGAGCGTGATACGAGGTGGCTCTCTGCCTTAGGCTTCACGAGTATTAGCGGTAAGCCAACTTCTGAAGATGTTCATGAGCGTGCCGCTTAAGCCGAGGCTGTCGTCTAAGCTATTGGGGGCAAGCTTCAGCTTCGAGAGGTTGAGCTTCCCATGCGGAAGATGCTTCAGGGTGGCTTATTCGGGAGAAGGAAGGTTCATCAAGATGGTCATGAGGATGTGCTCGTGCAGTAGCTCAGCGTCGATCGTCATCCATAAAGCTGGAGTTCCCTCCAAAGCTGAAGTTGCTCTTTACCAACCTTCTCTCACCATCTTTCAGCCTCGCAACTCAACACTCTCATACACGATTCATAGACTTTAGTCTCCTTGAAACATCAACATGAAGTTCTCTATTCTCTCTCTTGTCGCTCTTGCTGCGGGTGTTATCGCTGTGCCAGTCGCGGCTCCTGAACCTGTTCCGGAACCCGCTTCATACTCGGGCTATGGTAAGTGGTAACTCGGCAATAATTCGAATACTCTGCTGATACTCTGACAGGAAAATACCCCCCTAAGTCGTACAGCGGCTATGGTATGCAATACTATCTACCCTAAGACTAAAGGTGTTAACTTGTATACAGGTAGCTACAACTACAAAAAGTACTCCAACTATGGGAAATACAATAAGCGTGATGAGGCAGTAGAGAAGCGAGAGGCCGAGCCCGAGCCTGAACCTGCTGGCTACAGCGGCTACGGTACGTAATGTTCACTACTACTGAGTTCCTTATACTAAATGTTTTCTAGGGAAATATCCTCCCAAGTCGTACAGCAACTATGGTATGCAATGCTATCTGCCCCAAGACTAACGGCGTTAACTTCTATACAGGTAGCTACAATTACAAGAAGTATGCTAGCTATGGAAAATACAATAAGCGTGATGAAGGAGTAGAGAAGCGAGAGGCCGCAGGCTATGGAACTTACGGTACGTATCTCCAATCTCGCCATGAGAACTCTAGTTCTGATTGTTTTCGCAGGAAGCTACCCCAAAACATACTCCAACTACGGTTTGTCGCATGAGTCCCTACTCCAAACTTCAGTACTAACTAGACTCAAGGATCCTACCCCAAGACGTACAGCAACTACGGTTCGTGACACCCTTCTGCCACTGGTCTGTCCTTGACTAATAGTTCTTCAGGAAGCTACAACTACAAGAAGTACTCAAGCTACGGAACCTACAAGAGAACTGCTGAGTGGCTCAAGTCTCTCTTCTAATGTGGCTTTGGTGGGGAAGAGTATTGCAGTTTGGTATGCAGAATGTTCTTATGAACTACTTACGATTCTCAACGAGAGACATGTTCAATGCTTACACCAGATTGAGTTAATGGAGTGCTTTTGTTGTATGATGCTTTGGGGTTTCGAGTTTAGATACATTCTTGGACTCTCCTTAATAATGTTACTAGAGTCCTGCTCCATTTTGCCTTCAAATTCACAGTTCGCTTTGACGACAACAGTCTTAAGATTGGTAAGAATGTGCTAGATTCGTGATAATCTTGACTACATACACTCATAACCCTCGAACGGGCATCTTCATGCCTCCAAACAAAACACCATGTATATCTACACGCTTAAAACAGCCAAGAAACAAAGGTCTTGTAGAACCATCCACCACGGTTAGGGCCCTCGGCCTCGCGCTTAGCAGCCTGAGCAGCAAGGAACTCCTCCTCCTCGCGATCAATGACATCCTTGCCGGTGTAAAAGTCAGCCTCATGAGGCTTGACACCACGAGACTTGGTCCACATCTTGTGGCCAAAGATCAGGATCAGGTACACGGGAATACCCAGGTAACCGGTGATGAAGGTCTTGTACTTCTCGCCGCCAAAGATCTTGCCGGTGTCTGCGTCGCGAACGAAGACGTCGTAATTCTTGGTAAGTGCAATGAGGATGCACATGGCCAGAGCACCGACGGATCCCCACATGCCGAAGGGGGCGACGTAGGGGAACATGTCGTTGGACATGCCTTGAGCCTTCTTGGCGCGGCACCACCAGATGTGTGTTGTGAGGATGGAGATCCAGGACATAAGACCGAAGATGGTAGTAAGGTTGACGAAGTAGCCAAAGACCTTTGTCGAGTCATCCGCAACGTTCATGAAGGCGAGAAGACAGAAAGAAGCAGACATGGCAAGGGCGTAGATGGGAACACCGTGTTTGTCGGTCTTCTTGAAGATAGCAGGAGCGGAGCCATCGGAAGCAAGACCGTAGAGTGTACGACTGGCAATGTACAAATCCGAGTTGGAAGCGGAGAAAACGAAGACGCAGATACAGGCGTTGATGATGTGAGGAAGGATCTCAACACCAGCGACATCGGCAGCGACGACAAAGGGAGAAGCAGAAGCACCGGTCTTGGCCTTGTTGGCAAAGGCGAGCTTCTCAGAGTCGTAGGGAACGATCATGCCGACCAGGAGGACGGAAAGACAATAGAAGAAGAGGATTCGGTAAAAGGTCAACTTGATAGCACGAGGGATGGTCTTGCGAGGGTTCTGGGCCTCTGCGACTGTTACACCGACGAGTTCGGTTCCGAGATAGGCGAAGGTAGCGTTGACCATGCAGGACCAGAAACCGAGGAATCGTCCAGCGTCGCCAGTCATGATATAAGGCTTGAAGGCGCTGCTTCTTGTCAATAAAAGGTCACCATGTAGACGATTGGCAAACATACCCAGGGTTGCTCCAGTATCGGAAACCCTTTCGGTCATGGTCTGGACCACCACCAAGAGCGAGAACCAGTGAGAAAAGAATTATGCCGATGATGGTGATGACTTTGAATGAAGAAAGCCAAAATTCGAGTTCACCGAAGAATCGAATACCAAAATAGTTGATAACGCAGATAACGACTAGGAAGATGGCGATAAAGACACCTGGATTGACGGTATCTCGATCGACCCAGTATTGGATGACCAGCGCAGCAGCAGTGAGCTGGTTCGGCGTAACAATAATGTACTTAAACCAATATCTGCAATTGTCAGTTTCTCTTCCTAATCAGCAGATTTCGAGTACTTACGTCCAACCAAGCGCAAAACCAAGCGAAGGGTCACAGAATCTTGAAGCGTAACCAGTAAAACCAGCAGACATGGGCAACCAAGCGGCCATCTCACCGAGGGCCGCCATGACAAGAAAGACCACAAAACCAACAAGCGTATAACAGATGAAGACAGAGCCAGGTCCAGCTTGCGCAAGAGCTTTACCCGTACCGACGATGAGACCAGTTCCGATAGCACCACCGATGGCAATCATAGTGATGTGTCGGGCTTTGAGACCTCGGTGCAGGGATGTTTCGGCGCTGGTCTCGATACCGCGTATGTGACGATCTTCGCCGATGGCTACATCTTTGCTCGGAGGAGCGGCGACATCGTAGCCCAAGTCGGTCTTTTCGACGTCGTTGCGCGACATCTTGTTTGTTTGTTCTCTGACTTATAAAAGGTGGAGAGCCAAGATGCCAAGTGATTACTGTAGATACCAAGCTTTTGGAGGAGCCGGGAGCCAAGAGCCTTGGCGAGATTGACGGGTCTGGGCAGGGACGAACAGTAAAGATGTCGATCCAATATTCGACCCGCACTGAATCAACGTTGCACAAACAACACAAGACAAAGAGCAGAGAGGAAGAGACAGAAGGAGGGGGGATGTGATGGTAGTTAAATACCAACAGACATTTAGTGGTCTCTCCCTCTAATCGGGGACTTATCAGTGTCAAAATGCCAAGACAAAACTACAATAACTCACCAAAAGATGCAAACAAGACCAGGCTCAAATTGGAAGCCATGTTCTGCTCTGATGGAACCCTACACGGGGCGGGCGTCCAGACGAAGATCAATCACGTAAAAGGGTTGGTACTAACTTGTGCTTGAGCCTTGAATGCTCACCACCAACAGTCACTCCGTCAGTCAGCTATCTATGTCTGCATGTGGCGAGAACAGTCTCTATTTTGCCTCGCCGCTTACATGCACCACACTGTAATTCTTTGCATCTGTAGTGTTCAAGATCCAGAAACAATTTGTATTTCTCTTCTCATATCTATCGGGCACAGGGCGGATTTCCAGGCTTTCTTCTTGTCTCATCTCTATGGTGACACCAGTCCAGCCCCCAACTAGAAAAGATCATCCAAGCTATAACGCCGAGGTTGAATTGAATGAGAGAATAAAAAAAGCATTAGCCTACTTTCTAGAAAGACTCAGAGATAAGCTTTCCCCCCGGCGGTTCACCCCGGCCCATAGAATATAGCCCCGAAGAACTCCTCCAATGTAATGATTTGGGGTTACGTATTCTAGATGCTTATTTTCTCATCTCATTGCAGGTATCGTACAGTAGAGGATCCACCGCTATCAGAGAAAACAGACCACTCCTTATCAGGAAGGTGGCTATATCTCTTCGTGTCGTGTGTGACATGAACCTCTGAGATACTATCCCTGGTATCTGTAGTGTTTATCTCTCTTCTGCGGGGAAACCCCCAGCAAATCATTTTGACTTGCAAGGATTACCTTGCCTTGACTGTAAGGAACCTTTGGTGGACACACCTCTTGATTTTCAACTCACATGATCTTTATCTCTTTATTCTCTCACTTCTCTTCTCCGCACTGCATGTCTTCTTTTAGTCAGTGGCTTTGTTAGTTACCTCGGACTTTGCAACGATCAACCCCAAACTAACGGTAATTTATACCGTTCCCCCAATAACTCTAACTCTAAACAACATGCTTAAATCCAATCTGTTACCTTATTGTTAGCTAAGGTAAATTCTCCAACCCCAGAATTACTGTGCGTCAGCTTTGATCACTTGCCTTTTTGGGGTTCTCCCCGCAGTTGGGTCTAGACTTTACTGTTTGCTTGGCATCAGAATAAGCATCGCATCCCATCTAAAGGCACGGATCATCCGGGCAAGAGAGACAAGACAAGGAAATGCACTGGCATGACTAGTTAGTTCTGCTAAATAACAATCGATTGTGTTATGAAAATCCATTCTCGGATGATATTGAGACATTGAAAGCCTCGAGGGCTGAGTACTAATCTAAATGCGCAAATGTAACTAATAAACGTGCCTTGGGGTATGCCTTGATGCACTGCACGGGCGATCTGGAACACAGCTCTCGGGCTTCGGCATCACACCTGTTCGTTACTATCCTTGTTTCCTTCTTATCGGGTACCTCATGAGCTGATCAAGGCAGCCTGAGAAAAATGCAAATCAAGCCGAGGCCGAAAGGGAACAGATTGACAGGAACAATCTATTCCAAGCCCTCTAGCTCGATTTGGGAACATCTTGTATGCAGGCAATCATTTCGCTGGACATGTTTGTACTCGGGACCATCTGTTTGGCAAGCTTCCGACATGAATGCAGTCTTGTGATGTAATGTTTTGGGCCGGAGACTGCAACCGTTAGCTTTCCAGATGCTGCTGCTATAGACTCCATGGCACAGATGTATCCATCAGTAGAAGAGTTATAATGGTGTTGATGAGATATATCGATGAAAGATCACCTGCTGTTTCAGGAAGTTGGATTGGGGCAATATATTCATGCAAATACCTTCATGGGGATTTCAGCAAATAGGCAAAGTGAGGTTCAGGAGGGAATCAATCTGATACATGATAGGGAAAATCACACATAATTATCTTCTGAAAGCTAGACATTGCTTTCTGGGCAAAACAGGTTTAAGAGATCCTTAGATTCTACTTTGCTCCCGCTCTTGGCACATTGGTTTGCTTGTGCCTGCTTGCACTGACGATCCACCATTATTTGTCACCACTGCCAAATTACCTTGATTGCTTCTCCTAAGCTGGACTGGATAAGCTCTATAGTTTCTTAAGTTTTTACTTGATTGCTGAGAAAATCATTCGCCTACAATCTGTTACATGACAGTAAAAGAATCGTCCGGTTACCAAAGCGAGGCATCTGCTTGCCCTGAGTAGGTATGCTTGATAATACACTTCCTTGCAATTAATACTTCAGCTTTCTACTTCTATTGCGATTGGCTTGGCTAACACTGTGAGGTTTGCTCACTCATCTGACCAAACTCCTCTCGTGTATGCCCACCGTTTCGATGATTTCGGACTATCAACAACAAACAGGGTCATTCTGATCGTCACCGAGGATAGGTCATGAGACCCTCGTTATATCTATAAGAAGGCGGCCATTCGCACTCCAAGTTTCACTCTTCTCCATAATTGCGTCTCTCCTTTTCTCACGCATATATATATTATGACCCTGCTGGTGCTCCATCCACCCCCCCGGCGCTCTCGCCACAAGTCATGGCGCTGATGTCTGTCTTATCAGCTGGCTCTCCGGGATTTGCTCCAAGCTTGCTAGGCCTTCTTGTACGCGAGCATGATGAGTCTTGTGAGTGGTTGATACTCCAAGGATTTAAAAGTAAGTAATCGACCAAGGGGTTCAGAAGAATCTTTCATCTACATAATAAGATTCTTGCTGATTTGCTTTAGTTTATATATATATATATATATATATTCGCTTGTCAACTTGGGCCCTGTGCTGGTGTTAAGCGAGGTCCATCACATCAAGAACTTCACCAGCCGAACGTGCGTCACTATCCGCAAGCTCAGGGAGAGACTGGACACATTTATCATGATGTCTGGGACTCAATTGGCTGACACGCGGGTGGACGGATACGCCGTGTTGTCACTTCTTCGGAGCCACGACATTGGCTATGTTACGGCCACAGTACGCACAGAAGGCAGTACTGCAGACGGAAACGAAGTTCTTGATGAGCGGAGTGATCGATCACTGAATCTCGAATTGTTCGCCCAGAAGAAAGCTGTTCTGTGTCGGCATGATCGATGAGAGATTCGTATCGCCCATCACATAGGGTCCGTCAGATGCCACATCCATGCTATGGCATATATACAAAGCCCGTGAAATACCGTCAATCGGTTGTGGCCTATTGCTTCGTCCTCATGTTGTTTCTACTATAGTAACACAGACGATCATGTCTTTCGTGAGTATTTCACTCCTTTATATGTATTCACATGCTAATCTCCGAGCAGTAGTACGTTTGGCGGGGATGCTTTCATCAATATCCTAGCTGGCAAACAACTTGAAGTTATGGTTGCCATCTTTACTATTCTGTTCCAATGTCACTCACAAATCTTCCTGGCGGTTAGAACCTATCATCTTTATCCCTCATATCTAACATGGGATTAGGCGACGTGATCCCTACAGGACGGTCTTCGCGGCCCCAAGCGCCAACGTCTTGTTTGGACAGCAAGACGGTGTCTTTGCCCAAAAGGTACGCTGGACGATTCGAAAGCTTGTGTGTATATATATACTACGTCTATAATCCTTCCACTTCGACCATGGCAAGATATTGACTCATGTTTTCCCCGCAACACCAAACGCTCCTGCGTCGACCTCGCGGCATCCTTCTGCAAGAAGAGGACAATCATAGTATTCTTGGAGTACCATAAGGGCGATACTCACACTTACTCACAATCACACGCACGCTTATACATATGCTTACACTTATACTCATATATGTATTCATTTCCGAGACAAAGACGAAGAAGAGCCCACTCTCCGGTACTCTGGGCTGTTACCACTGGGAGAAGTATACATTGACCAATTACTGAGCTTTGCGCCCTACCATCGATTGATACGTCTCATTGATATTGAATCAGTTTATTTCATATAAGATGAAAGGAGGATAAGGATAATGGCAGGGACATAAAGATGGTATTGCCAAAAGAATTGACTAAAAGTGATGTATGAGAATTTGGAAAGTCACGCAATACTCGACAACGGATGATTTGGATATTCAGTATCGCTTTGCTAGATATCTTCCATAGTAAAAATTTAGAAATCTAAAAGGTCCAAGTATGAATGATTCTCATGATTCAACGGGAACTTGAGGTCCCTCTCACTTGATCTTCCTGGATGGCCTGGCCTAACACCCAACATACCCCTGCCAAACGGCACCTGCGTCGTTTGTCCAATCCTAAAAGTGACTCCCTTCGATCCAAACTTTTCCCCAAGTTCCTTGATCTGCTCTTTCGGTGGTGCTTCATAAGGGTCCACAGCAACAACACTCAAGTTTGGGAATCGGTATATCTTCTCTGCCATGCCCAATAAATCGCGATGCATCTCTGGCCATGCAAGCACCATTCCTATATGGAGGATGCGTAATGATGAGGGAAGACTGGCCATAAATATTTCAGGGCCGATGTCTCTCATTGACTCGAAGCGTCGTTGTCGCTCTTCTTCATCGTCGAACACAGGTCCGTAGAGTAGAAGTTGCTCTATCTCTAGAATCTCTAGACGCGGGAAGTTTACGAAGCTGGCATCACCTCGCAATGAAGAGTCCCAGCGGAGGAACATGGATACTTGTTCTATGATGTCTTGTGCGCCGCCGGATGTGTGTTCCCATGTCGTGGTGGTGTAGCATAGCCGTCGCAATGACTTTTTAACAGGGACGAGATGATTATGCTGAAGTATCGTATACTTGTCCATGTCGCAGAAATACTCCAAGTCCTCAAGGACTGGGCTGCGTCGAAGGATTTTGGCCAGATTTTCTGGATCTAGGCCATGAAGTGAGAGTCGGCGAAGGCTTGAGAGAGCAGTGTCCCAAGGCTCTGCTCGAAAGCGCTCACGTAAAGGGATATCTGTTCCGCAGTCGGCATCACTGGCTGCTAGTATCTCGAGGTTTTGTGCTTTGGCCAAGACATCCTGCATTTGTTGTATGTGACAGCACTCATCCGGATTCTTCCCCTGGCCGGGTAATACCAGATATTTGAGATTTGGTAGATAGAATGGTGAGTCTCTTATGTACTGTAACCCCTCTGAAGATGATCTGTAGATGAGAAGTTGCTCCACAAATGGTGCAGCCATGATAGAGGCTTCTTGTAGCCACTTTGAGTCAACTTGCTCGTATGAGGGCAAAGCGCGGAATCCAGCGCGTTCACCGGCTTGTCGAAATAGATCCTGCGTAGCTTGGGGGATTTGACGAGCGGTAACCTCTCTTAAAGCAAAGAATGCCAACGCCCGCACATGCTTCGCCAGGTCAGGTCGCTCGAGTAATGTCCGAAGAAACGTCTCCAGAGTCTCAACCTCCCGTAGTCTAGCATCCGTATCAACCCGCCACTCGGGACTACTTGACGGGTCAGACTGTCGCCCTGAGTGATAACAGTGATACAAGATAGGTTGCGCAGTATTGCGAAATCTTCGACATGTACGGCTCAGCCGTGATAATGCCTGCTGGGCCTCGATGGCGTGGTCAATCTCGTCAGGCGGGAGATCGACAACATGTGCATGCTGACAATGCACACATAGATTGCGGCAGATTGCAGTGAAGATCTCCACTGGTAGATCCTCCAGGGAGATACGTCTTCGTTTCCGCCAGAAGAAGGGAACTTCGGCTTGGAAGATTGGTTGGAGAGACCAGAATGATCCTCCATGGAGAATATCCTGGTCCATCCTTGCGACAAGATGCATTATGGGGTGATTATGGTGAGGTTTCGAATGTGTCAGGGACGTGGGTTGTAGATGCTGGTGTAAGATGGAGTTATGCTTGAAGTCGTAGGGCCGGCAGGATGAGTATCTAGATGGCTCAACTTGGACAGTACTGAAGAAACACGGGTATGAGGGGTAATTATAGACGAGAGACTCTTTAAGCTCGAGTGGCCGAAACAATAATAGGAGACCGGTGAACACAATGTAGAAGAGGGAGTGGATCGCGGGATCATCGACTTCCCATCTTACGATAGCGCCTAGCAAACAGGACCCCCTAGAGCGCTGAAGGAACGGGGAAGTTTACTTAAACGTAATAGGTGCAGAGAGATTCTCGGTAGGATCGAGGCTAAAGTTCCTTTGGGTCAAGCCAATCGGTGTATTATGGTTGGTCTTGTCCATCACCTTGACCCTCGTGGGAAACAACCTTCAGGTGCATTATCAAGGATCAAGGACTAGGATCATGCCAGGTGGGTGGCAGAAGAATTGTCCTCTAAAGCTTAGGTTGCCAAAATAAAGTAGCCTAAGAGCGGATCTAAACTGGCATAAAATGACTAAACTATTTCGTCTCTTATGCTCTTAGCGGTCATTTCTTCTGGCACCCTGAGGCATGCCCAGATGTTGTCGTTATACATGGATTCCTTTCTGGCAATATGTGCGTTTTTCCAAGAAGGTGGTAGCTTCGGGCGTACGGGAAAGCTGAGAATGGCTTGGTGTAAGCGATAAGATACAACATCACGTCTGATGTTGATAGTCCATGATATTATAGGGCTCAAGAGGAATGCTGAAGATGATGGTAGAGGAAACAAAACAAACAAGAGTTTGTGTAAAGATCTAGCTGCTGTAGATGTTCAGCAGAGAAAAAGCAAACATGACCATGCTCTTGGAAAGATCAGCTCTAACGATAGATGGTCAAGAAAGCGAAGTATCAGGTCGCTGCAAGTGGACCAGAAAGTGATGAAACTCCACATTCCCACGATTGGAGTGGCCTCATTCTTGATCAGCCAAGCTTCCAACAGAGTAATTAAACCATCCAACTGCGTAGAAGAGCTGACAGGCTCAGGGTCATGGGTTGTAACCTTCGCGTATCGAGTCTTCGCTTCTCCATATCCAGTAATAATTCAGGAACGCGGGCTACGGAACGAGGCCGAGAACCTTGTTAGGCTTTTCAACGTGGGCTGATGTTTTTGATCAATAGAAAGATAAAGCAATTTATTAGACTTTAACGACAATGTTCTGACTCGTGATGGTTGGTGATGGTCTAATATTAGTTATTCAACGTGCTGCACGATCCCGCTGTCATTTAACGCTGGCGTGCTTTTTAGAGTCCTTTTTTTGCTTCGTTTCCAGAATAATCGACACACTGACAGCTGAGAAAAGATGAGCCATCATATTCTGGTTGGAGGAACGTGCACGTGATCTCGCACCGGGTCGCGTCACCTTCCAGGCTACCACTCGCGTCTCACTGGACCCAAGACAATCCCTACCGCGTAAAGCACGTTTGAGGACTGCACTTGAAGGTGGTCACACGAATTGTCAGCCGCTCAACATAAAAAAGATGCCTGAGCTTAGCGGTAAGATTATACTCTGCTGCCTTTGGCGTAGGTCTCACTAACGACCGTAGAGGCGGACACAATCCGCATCCTCGTTGCGACCGACAATCATGTCGGCTACGAAGAACGAGATCCCATCCGCAAGGATGACAGTTGGCAAACTTTTGACGAGATCTTGAATCTTGCCCGCACTGAAGATGTACGAATCTATTGTTCTTTGTTACAATTTCAGCTTCTAACCTGTTAGGTCGACATGGTTCTTCTCGCCGGTGATCTCTTCCACGACAACAAACCCTCCCGAAAGTCCCTTTACCAAGTTATGCGTACTCTCCGACAAAACTGCTTAGGCATGAAGCCTTGTCCGCTGGAGTTTCTTTCCGATGCTGCATCTGTGTTCGAAGGCGCTTTCCCACACGTCAATTACGAAGATCCCGATATCAACGTTTCGATTCCTGTCTTCTCCATCCACGGCAATCACGACGATCCTTCCGGTGAAGGCAACTTTTGTTCACTCGATTTATTACAAGCAAGTGGATTGCTGAACTACTACGGCCGAGTGCCTGAGGCGGACAATATCGAGGCCAAGCCAATTCTACTACAGAAGGGTCTTACAAAACTGGCACTGTTTGGAATAAGCAATGTTCGAGACGAGCGAATGTTTCGAACTTTTCGAGATCACAAAGTCAAGTGGTTCCGACCAGGCGCTCAAATGGGTGACTGGTTTAATCTCTTGGCTGTTCACCAGAATCACCACGCACATACAGCCACATCCTATCTCCCTGAGAATGTCTTACCAGATTGGTTGGATCTGGTGGTTTGGGGTCACGAACACGAATGTTTAATCGATCCTACACAGAACCCCGAGACAGGCTTCCATGTTATGCAACCTGGTTCCTCGGTCGCAACTTCATTGGTGCCTGGTGAGGCTGTCCAGAAGCATGTCGCTATTGTAAGTGTGACAGGCAAGGACTTCAAGGTTGACAAGCTTCCACTCAAGAGCGTACGCCCATTTGTCACACGGGAACTCAATCTTGCCCAAGATAAACGGTTCAAGGGTCTTGACAAAAAGAAGGACAACCGTCAAGAGGTGACCCGCAGATTGATGGAAGTAGTCGAGGAGATGATTGAAGAGGCCAATGCAGACTGGGAGGCGATTCAAACAGACGAAGAAGCTCTAGAGGAACGACCCCTCCCACTGATCCGTCTCAAGGTGGAGTACACAGCACAAGATGGTGGTCAGTTCGAGATCGAGAACCCTCAGAGATTCTCTAATCGATTCGTCGGCAAAGTGGCTAACACGAATGATGTGGTCTACTTTTACCGCAAAAAGACATCACAGCGTAAGTTATCCCAGTGGTCAATTACAAACTTGACTAACGCATCACAGGCAAGACAAACGCTGCCAACCCAACGGAAGCTCTTGAGGCGCTTGAAGGTGCTGACGACATGGTCAAGGTCGAGAATTTGGTTCAAGACTTTTTATCAGCACAGTCGCTCAAGGTCCTGCCCCAAGGACCTTTTGGTGATGCCGTGACCCAGTTCGTGACAAAGGATGACAAGCATGCGATGGAACTATTCGTGTCAGAACACCTAACAGGCCAGGTACGATCCATGTTGGGTCTCGAATCAGACGATGAGGATCTGAACAGCGCCATGGACATTTACCGCACAAGAATTGAGCAGCAACAGGCTAGTGGCGCAAACGTTGCTCCAACAGAGAGAAAGAGAGTTCTCAAGCCCAAGCCTGCAACCTGGGACAGCGATTTTGATGGCGCTTGGGAAGAGGAGGCAGATGCCTGGACATATGAGGATGAGCAACAGGCTGAAAACACGCCCGCACCCGCGCCCGCCCCTGCTAAGAAGACAGCACGAGGAAAGGGGAAGGCAGCGCAACAAGACGCAGACTTGATGGATGAAGACGAACCACCTGCCAAAAAACCAGCAGCCAAACGAGCAACGCGCACTACAAAAGCAGCACCGGCCAAGAAGGCACCCGCAAAAGGTCGAGGCCGTAAGGCATTTGTGAGTAGTGAGGAAGAGGAAGAAGAGGAGGATGTGGTAATGGAATCAGAAGATGAACCAGCTCCTCCACCGCCAAAGACGCGACGAGCTGCTGCAACGAAGAGCACTGCCAAAACTCCTGCAAAGACTCCGGCTGCCAAACCAGCAGCTAAGAGCACACGACAGACCAAGTTGAACTTTTCACAATCTCAGAAGAGCGGTACACAGAGTAAAGCGGTTGAGATTAGCGACGATGAGATTTCAGATGATGATGCATTTGAGCCAGCGCCGGCTCCAGCACCCCGTACTCGCAGGAGATAGATGACTGTGCAAAAGGGATACCCACATGAGTATGGAAGACGATGAAAAAGTACAGAGATTTCACGATGAATTGAGCGAAGCAGGCACTTTAATGACCAATCATTATACATATCTTCTTGATCTGACTCCCACAGTCCAACATCGCCTCTGCTTTCGGAGCCGGAGCCGAAGCCGAAGCTATAGAGACAAGCTGCGGGCCGCAGATTGCGGGGTAGGATTTCCGTGTTAGTCTAGCTCCTTGGCTTGCTCACGTCTTATTCAGCTCAAGTGAACATTTGACTTACAAATAAGATGGAAAAGAGGCGCCGAGACTTCCGCTAGGTGAAGCATAAGGTTAATGGTAGTGATCGACTGTAGTAATGGCTCAATTGGTTGAATTGACTGCCCCGCTCGTTGCCATCTCGTAACATAGCATAACATAACTCTAACTACTCATCTTCTCTTATTAGTCCACTCGCCTAATCTTGTATATAAGTGCGCTGACCCAGCTTATATTCATACGATCTCTGTACTCCTCAGCTCAAGAACCAATACAATGGCCGCAGCTGGTCACATCCGTCTGGGAACTGCCTCCCCCGGCCCTCCCTCCTCCTCATCCGAGACAATAGCCCTCATCGACACCATCGCCCAACGCGCCGCTTCCTCAAAGATCGATATCCTCCTCCTCCCCGAAGCCTTCATCGGCGGCTACCCCCGCGGTAGCTCTTTCGGTTGCGTAATCGGCGACCGCAGCGCCGCAGGTCGCGAAGAGTTCGCTCGCTACTTCGACAATGCCATTGACCTTGGCGATACTGTTGGACCGGCTGGTGGTGGTGCGGGTGTTAAGTGGGTGAAGAGGCAGCTTGGTGAGGAGGATGAGGTTCGTGGGGATGGATCAAGGGATGAGTTGGAGCGCATTGCGAGAGATACGGGTGTTTTTGTTGTTGTGGGCTGTATTGAGAAGGCCGGCGGGAGCTTATATTGCTCTGTGGTTTATGTTTGTCCTAAGGAGGGTATGCTTGGAAAGCGTCGCAAAGTACTCCCCGTACGTCCTCTCTTCTTAACCTTACTTGATGCTATTGACTAATGTTTTTCTAGACCGGCACTGAGCGCCTCGTCTGGTCACAGGGCTCACCGAGCACCCTCCGCGCGGTAACGACCACCATTCGCGGCATTCGCATCAACCTCGCCGCTGCGATTTGCTGGGAAAGCTACATGCCTCTCCTACGACAGAGTCTCTACTCGCAGAACATCAACTTGTATCTCGCGCCTACAGCTGATAACCGCGATGCATGGTTGAGTGTGATGCGCACTGTTGGTGTGGAGGGACGATGCTTCGTTGTTAGCAGTAACATGTGCATCCCGAAAGGCTCGCCTGCTGAGACAACTGAGACAAATGGCAATGGAAATGTTCCTGCTGCTCGAGAACGACGAGGGTCATGTCTCACGGAGGAGGGATTCGAGATTGCCCTTCCGAAATCGCCTTCTCAGTCACGTCGTCGCAGAAAGTCTGTGTTTGACGAGGATGGAAATGAGATTGTTCTTGGATGCGAAGACGATGGTGAAGCACCTGCGCCTGCTAAACGACCACAACTTGCCTCTCTGAAGGAAAGCAACAAGACTGAAGTCAACAGGGCTGACTACGTCTCGGCTGGTGGTTCATCTATCGTATCACCTTTCGGAGATGTCATTGCCGGACCGCAGTGGGGAGACCCTGACGGTTTGATCTACGCCGATGTGGATTTCCGCGATTGTATCAGAGGACGACTGGATCTTGACACAGCAGGAAGCTACTCGCGAAACGATTCGTTCAAGTTGAGTGTTGAAGGGCTGAACTTGGATCCTCTGCCTTATTAGTTAACAAATAGTTGTATCAGATTGTAATGCCATAACGCCTGTGGGAGTTCCCATGCTACTCCAAGTCTATGAATATCCTAACGCCTCGCCGTGAAACAGAATGTTATCGTTACTTGGACTCATCACCAGGCGGCGTCTGTCGCCTTTGCTCCTCCATCACCTTCCGCTCCGTCTCAACCTGTTTCCGCTGCCTCTCAAGAGCAGCCTGCGCAAGGACTTCTCTCCTGCTCATCCCAGCACTAGGATTGCCCGTCTTTGTACCACCCAATACAAACTCGCCACCCGTCCAACCGCCGAAATCCTCAGGATAATCCTCCTCATCGTCGCCAGTCCCAGAAACAGTATATCGTGACGTCTCACCAATCGTATGTCCGCCAGATTTCCAATCCGCAGCATCAACCTCCCGCTCGATCTGATGACACAAGTCCCAGAAGTTCCTGTCGTGCGGACCGTGGATGTTGTGCGCCAGTTCGTGGCATAGCGTTTTGCGAATGGTTTTGTAATCGCGATACCCATCGTACGCATCGGTTCGTAAGCGCAGTTCGATCACCTCGCCCTTATTGCGGTTCAAGCCCAAGATTCGACTTGTTCCCTCGTGTGTTTCCTGCGTGTATGAAAGAGGTTCCATCTCTGTAAGGAGTCCGACGGTGTATTTGTGCTTCAGCATCGCGGCGCGAATACCGGGGTCTTCTTTGAGGCGCATGAGGAGTTTCTGACTGCGCTCTGGATTTGGGAGACCAGCTAGCGGTTTAACCTGGAGGAATGTATACTGCGACTCTTCTGGCTTTCGACGGGTGATCGGCTGTCGTGCTTTACTCCTCTGCGCCATTCTCGCGGCATTGCGCTTGGCCACGCGCTCCGCCATATCCTGAACCTGCTGTATTTCTGCGGCCGGCGAACCCATGAGGGTCAAGGGTTTGCCCTTCAGGTCTGTGAGAGGCATATCGGGGTTCTTGAAGGGCGCTTTGAGGAGAGGAGTTTTCGGGGCGATGATCTTTTGGTTTGCGACGGGAACATCGAGGCTCGCTTCGATTTCGTTGAAGAGGTCTGTGACGGTCGCATCTTCGGGGAAGGAGAATTCGTAGGTTACTTTCTTGTGGGTTATGGAGAGCGTGAGCCACTGCTGCTGCTCGTTGTCGGACATGTTTGTACAGCAGCGGAGTGGCGATGGGTTCTTTAGGCTGGTTATGGTCACGGTTTATGCCAATGGCAGAAAATCAGATAAAATGTGGTAAGTATTAATTTGAAGAGGTATGCGATAAGAAAGATAAGAATTGTATATGGGAGTAGAGGTTATTATATGGTTCGGATATTGTAAGCAAGAAGGTGATGGATAGATAGTATGGTCGCAGGTGATACTATCGTGTTCGGACATGTTCGGTGTTCTGCTTTGTAATACGTCACTGCCACTGCCTGGACGCCACTTTTTAGCAGGCGATCTATTTTGGTGGACAGTGATTATTCATTCATTAGGTACCTATTGTACAAGATCGGATATACTATAGAAAAGTCATGGAAATCTTGGCGAATACCGATAAGTCTGTTTAATCAGATATTGTTATTTTATTCGAGATCAATCGATAAGTCCAACTGAATATCATGTTTGTGTAAGCAGTTTATAATATGCGCGCGCATGAATTGGCCAACTTTGCTGGCTTACATAGCATGACTGTCATCACTCTACCTCAATCTACGATGTGCAACAAATAGTCAGTCATCTTGATCACTTAGATCAGTTCCAATATTTACTTCTAATAATGAAGGGGCATCCTTCAATGTACATGTTCGAGTTAATAGCAGCTACAAACCACCATCAGAATAGTTGTGATTGACAATAAAATTACCCTAAACCGCTCCTCCATTGAGTGTCTGAGCGTAAACCTCGCCACCACAACAAAACCCAATCTTATCAATCACCAGATCCAAGATGATCACAACCCGCAATAGGATCTTAATTCAGTTTCGGTTGGCTCGCTTGTTAAATCGTCAAACGAAGCACGACCCAAATATTGGGAATGTTATGTGCCACAGGGAACCACTTACACGGACCAGGGACCAGGTCACAGAGCCTCATCACATCACCTCACCAGCCTCACCGTAGGTAGATCTCCCGTCAAAGCGCAAAAGACGTTAAGATCTACTAAGAGGATCCGACCCGATCGTGGTTCCCTCTTTTAGCCTCCTTTTTAACCGCCCGCACGGGTTGCAACTGAGACAAGACGGACTCTCAAGCTAGGGTAGGGCCAAAGTTTAAGTACGGTAAGACTCCAGATCCAAATCTTATGTCCTCACCCGAAGTGTCACGTATCACATTGTGATGCTGTCAAAAAACTTAAAAATGATGACTGTTTATTTGATACAGAAGATAGATAATAACAAAAATGAGAGAAGCCGTTACTTCATTTCATTGCATTGCCCAAACGCCGTCAAGATATAGATAGACATATATATAACAGATTTCGTCCGTTTCTTTCGTCGCCTCGATTATATAATAATAATAATTGTAGCAAAATCATGCTCCTTCCCTGTCGTTACATGTCACTATTGGCTATGCACTTGTCAGATGAGAGGGCGGACGATAAAACAAAAGGGGGTCCGCAACTAGGTGTAGGGGGGAGGATGGGGGAGGGGGGACTTGTAACTTACAGTAGAGCCAATGTGAGATCACCGTGGATTCTCGCCTTGAGTTCGATTTCGATTTCGAGGTTGAGTTCGAGGTGCAGACTGAGAGCATCGCTCTTACCACCGCCACCGCTCTCCTGTTGCTGTTGCTGCTGCATCTGTTGCTGTTGTTGTTGCTGTTGCATCTGCTGCTGTTGACGCTGCTGCTGCTGCATCTGCTTGTTCTTATCGTCGCTCTTGGAAAACTGCTTTCGGCCCTCATCGTCAGATTCTTCGTCGAGCCAGGCTGGGCGTCGACGTCTTACATCACCGGCCTTTGCGTTTCCTCGTTTGCCGCCTCGTTCTTGCTGCTGAGGTGGAGTAGCGGGTTCATTCTCATCCTCGGACTCGGACTCTGACTCGTCTTCAGAGTCTTCTTCCTCTGAGTCTTCTTCGGAGTCGTCCTCGGAGTCGAAGTCGTCATCATCGTCATCTTCAGACTCGCTCTCGCTCTCCTCCTGCTTGACGGGCTGCTTCTTCTTCTGCTGCTGCTGGGGCTTAGCCTCTTCGGTCTTGTTGTCGGCTTCAGCCTTTGCCTGCTCTGGCTTGGAGTCGGCGGCGTCTTCCTCCTTCTTTACCTCCTCGGGCTTCTTGTCCTCGGCCTCGGCCTTGGCTTGCTCAGGCTTAGACTCTTCAGGCTTCGAATCCTCAGGCTTAGCTTGCTCGGGCTCCTTGGACTCTTTGGGCTTTGCGTCTTCAGGCTTAGATTCTTGAGACTGGTCCTGCTCGGGCTTTGACTCCTCAGACTTTGACTCTTGGTCTTGCTCGGGCTTCTGCTCGTTGTCTTCGGGTGTCTCAGCCTTTGCGTTCTCCTCAGTATCGGGCTTGGATTCATCCTTGTTGGAGTCGTCCTTGGACTCAGACTCGTTTTGGCCTTGCTGCTGTTGACCTTCCTGGTTCTGGTCCTGTCCTTGTTGCTGGTCGTTGTTGTCGTCGCCCTGCTGACCGAAGGGGTTGTTGTTGTCGTTGTTATCGTTGTTCTCGTTACCCTGCCCAAACTGGTTCTGGGTAGAGTCCTTCTGCTGCTCGTCCTAGAGGACATTTAATTCCCGATCGGATACTTACTTGTAGTGCTAAAACTTACCTGTTGAGTTGACATGGTGACTGATGTTTTAGATTGTTGCGCTTAGGTGGATAGTGTCGTGAGTGGTTTGGATTGGTTTCAAAAAAAGACAATGGCTTATAATGCTATGCTTGCTGATAATTAATGAAAATAGTTTCTTTACTAAAACTAAAACTAAAGGATTCTGCGCATGAGATAGTTTTTGAGATTTAAGATGTTGCAGCACAGCAAAAACCTGTTGACGAGGCTTGACTGACGCAATAAGTGTCATCCCATCCGACCTCAACCCCCATGTCGAACCGGTTTCTACTGTACTGTAACTACAGGCTGGCCAGGCACTGGGGGAGGGGAGACACGGCAAGTCGTAACCGCCTGGAGAAGAAGTCAAGTATCAAGTCAAGGTGACGTAAAAAAATGGCATCCAATGCAGACCCTGGCCTTATGACGTTGTCACTCCCTCAGACTGAAATGGTGGTTGCAGGGATTATTATATTATCGTGTGGCTGGTGTAAGAAGAAACTGGGTCCTGATTCTACAAAGTGGACTCTCTACTCATGCAGCGAGTTTCTGCTGTCAAACAAACCATCACATACCTAATTTACAGCGCCGAAAAAAAAAACAAGAACAAGAGCAACCATGGTTATCGGATTACTCGCCATCGCGGCTATCCCGACCGTTACAGGCGTGGGTAACGCAGTGAGCGCCCAGAAGAGACAGAATGAGAGCATGAGCAAAGAACAGGAAAAGTTTCACTTGACGTATATGCTACGACAGAATGGAAGAATAGAAGAGGTTGGACAAGGAGTTTTGGTTGACAAGAAGGTGAGTTCCTATTCTCTTCGCGAAAGTCACTTCAAAACTGATCACCCTCAAGATGTATCTCAACCTCTCAGACGCACCAGTTCAAGGCTACAGATTCCTAGGATGGTTTTTCAAGTACCCAAGTGAAGAAGGACACCTGGGGCTGGTGAGCATGGTGTCTGACGACCCTCCAGCGCTGAACTGGATATTCGTGGACAAGGACACGCACATGGTGACCTTCGGTGGGAAGAAGGACACCATCGGCCACGTCATAGGACCCTGGGGCTGGACAGCAGATGAGAAATTCCTGACACTACAGGGCGACCATGATTCGTTTGTGGCGGTGCGAGACGACGAAGGGAAATGGTCTGTCTACTGGGACCCGGAGGGTGATATAGAGGATGAGATTGATGATGATGAGAGATGTCAGCCAGTTAGGCTTCGAAGAAGACCGCAGCTTGGCATGGAAAGCAGCTATGTTAAGAAGTGATTTACAGTAAAGTGTCGGTAATAATAAGAGAATAATGACCCAACTAATAAGAGAAGAGGCTGGGGCACAAGTCCGGGGCTGTCAAAATGCACTGTAGGTCTGGAGTTGGAGGGCAGTTGGAGGGCTGCAACAAGTAAGGTCATGGACAGGACATGGCTAAAGTGGGTAGGTCTGGGCAAGGGTATCTGACTGGATTCGCATCTCGATCATGACCTCATGGGGGTCCAAATCCTGTTATGAGGTTTCGAGTGCAGAAGGGTAGTCCAAACTTATATCACCTTGGCTACTCTAATTTCTAGACTCAATTTCTTAGTGACAGACAACCCACCACTTGTACTCAAACAGCTAATACATTTCAACTTAACTTGAATCTTTCTATCCTTTACCAGCCAGCGAATATCCATTCATCATGTCTTCTATGGAAAAGGATCGCGTCGAGTCTGACGACCAGACCATGTCCAGCGAGGAAGCTCCCCGACGAGAGAAGCGCAGCAAGAAGAAGAGCAGCAAGTCTTCCCGTCGTCAAGGCGGCGGCCAGCAGCAGCAGCAAGGCGGAGGTGGTTCAGGACCTCTGGACCAGCTCCCTCTCGCCGGTGACCTTGGTAACTCAGTCGGCGGCGTCACAGACGGAGTGACCAACACTCTGGGCGGCGTCACGGGTGGCCTTGGAGGTCTCACCGGTCAGTCGGGCGGCGGCGGTGGTGGTGATGCCGGCAAGGACACTCTCCGACTCCGTCTAGATCTCAACCTCGACATTGAGATTCAGCTCAAGGCTCGTATTCACGGTGACCTAGAACTCTCTCTACTGTACGTATTTCCTCCTCTCATTCTCCTTTATTTCCCCTCCAATCTGTGGCCGTTGTATCTTACTTGGCTTGCAAATCTCCAGAACGGGATAACCGCCGAGATATAACTCTTGTATATCTTGTTGAGAAGAAGCAGAGGCTAATAATTGCTTTGCGCTGTGCAGAAACTAAGAAGCTATGTTATGTATGTACATGCCGTACTACTACTGGCTTGCTTATCGTTTATATCTTGTTCATGTTCATGTCATGATGGTACCCATGTAATTGTTATGTTACCTACTGTTACTGCTACGACAGTAGTGGTAGCTTGATCAACAAACGGCGGCGCAACATGGTGTTTTATAAATAATGATGGTTTTTCTTTTATGTTTTGGGGGAAGGATAAATATACAACTGCTACTATACTATACTATGCGATACGATACTACTACAATCACATATCATTATTCTCGACAACATGAAGTCCACTCCTTGCAGAATTTCTATGATTCAAAAGTGACGAAAGTATCATATCATGACAAGCAAATGATACGACATTAGATCCATGGCATTCCAGGATCATGGATGGCGGTTCTAATTCCCGAAACTCTACTGTAGACTATACTGTAGCTCGGGCACGTCAGATTGCAGTAGAGACAAGCCACAAAACGAGAATGGAGAATGCCACGCAAGCCACCGTCACTTGTTGTTAGCTTCCACCCATTTCAAGTTTAGTGGCCAGTTTCAAAAAGCCGTTGTTACCAGCACCAGCACCAGGAACCAAGCTTTCAACTTAGTTTTACACCATTAGTCTTGGTCTAGACGGAGGGTTCCGTTAGAAGAAAAAAGCTTGGTCAAGGAGATAAAAAAAGAGGATGAGAAACAGGGACTCTGGTCTTCCCACCAATTAGAATGTCTAGCCAAACAATTGCCAGGGTTCAATGCCTTGTCTCATCTTGTTTACAATCCCTGCTAGTTTCTCTATTCACCCCGAAGTTCCCGCGATCGCGATGAGCGCTGACGATCAGAGATTGTCCTCTTTTTAGTTGCTGTAGAGTAGTATTCCAATTATGCGGCTCTCTGTCTCTGTAACACTTTAGCCATCAGTGTTGCGCGTTCATACAGTGGGAAGAGGCTCTAGACTCTCTAGGCCAGGGTGTAAAATAAGGGGACTCCTTTCCCCTCTCTTTTCTCATCTGGGTCGGGTCCTGTCAGTCGAGACTAGGCTTTTCCCTAGGCCCAAGACAGAAGCTAACCTTGGGCTCTGAGGACAAGCTAAACGAGGGTCGGGTTTTCCAAGTTTATGTATCTTATCTGTCGTCATGTCCCCGCACAATCCCATCCCATTCCATAGCTCGAGCCACACTCACAGCAGCCCAGCACACAGCCCAGCTCCTCACAGTGGCAGTGACTCTTACTCTCTCTAATTACCATCTCCATTCCCTCTAGAACTAGACCCGACCCCCAAGAGGAGAAGGTCCAGGTTCAGTCCCTGCCAGGATCAGCAACAGCCGCAGGAGTCGCCACAACAGAACCACCCACGCCTACAGTTACAGAGGCAGAGAGGAGAAAAGCACCAGCCTCACTATCAAAATGTCAAATCACTCATCCTCTACCCCTGGTGGCGATCCTTACCACAGCACTTACGAGGTCAACGTCCCAGTCCGCAACGGACGAACCTCATCACCAAAAGTTGAGAACCCAGAGATCCGCATCCCCAGGATAAAGCCAGTCTCGGATACCAGCAGTGGTGCCAGCACAGACCAGCAGAAGCAGCAGCAGCAAGAAGGAGGGGACTCTTCAGCTCACTCAACAATGCCTCAGCCACAAAACCAGGAACTCCAGAAACTAGCTGCTGGTCTTGAAGGCAAATACGTCGACGAGTTCGGCAACATCCTCGACTGGGATGGCACCGTCCTCGGTCGAGTACAGGGCGACCTACCTTCCATGGTAGGGCGACCAGTCACGGCAGACGGTCAAGTTCTCGACGAGGACGGTGAAGTGGCTGGTCAAGTATGCGACAACTACATTGAACCTGAGCCTCCAAAACTCAAGCCCCTGGCAGCAGGAGGACTCAAAGTCGATGATGAAGGCAACATCTATGATGACCAAGGAAACAAGATTGGCAAGCTCGACCAGCCGATAAAAGACGGAGCCGACAAAGTTTCCGAGAACAACAGCAGCATCAGCCCGAGACCTAGCGATCAAAAGCAGGGACAAGGTCAAGGTCAAAGTCAACAGGGCCAGGGTGGTGGAAATGCCGGCACCGCCAACGATGGCGCTCCTAAGCCGCCGAGGCCTGACGAGTTGTTCCTGGATGTCAAGTCGACGTACGATGGAATTCAGCTCACTATCAAGATTCCTACCGTATTCAACAGCACCATGATGCGAGAGACCAAGAGCAGCGGCAGCCAGACGACAGAGACAGCAGCTGGATCAAGTAGTGATAATCGATAAGTAATCTTTTTTGGCGCGTTTCACAATTGTCCGACCCATACCCATGTAAGTGACTATGTAAGTCAGTAAGCCAAGACCCGGTCCAACCAGCCCAATGCAAGTGCAGCCAGGCAAATCATATGAATCATATGCATCTATTCGTATGAGTGAAAGTGGCTCTCTCTTTCTCTCTCTTGTTCTTGTTACTCCTCACTCCTCTCATCATCCTTTCTTTCATTGTTCCGTTTCTAAACGCCCCTCCACCCCGTACCCTACCTGGCCTCGGAATAAGTAAACCTCATGGGGTAACCCCTCCCCGTTGATTTACATTCACGCTAGATTAGTTCATCATTCACTCATTCTCACCTTTTGATCGTGTACCTATTCCCACCTGCCCTTCTTGCAGCTAGGACTTACGCCACACATACAGTAGCTTACACTTGTACCTTGTTCCGACCTACATGCCTTCTACACGTGAAGTCCGCGCAACCATCTACATTTCCCATCTGCCAAAGCTGCACCAGTCCAGTTTTCCCATCTCGATCCAAACCTTGAATGTGCAAGATCGTCTGCAACTCTGCATCAAGTGTGGCATCCTCCACCCCGCAAGCCTGTTTTGCTTCCCAACCCGTTCCTCATTATCGTCGGGACGAGTCTGGACCAGGGAAGAGGGATTCAGGCAAGCAGCCTCATCCTTGTGGCTTGCACAGCTTGGGAGCTTCCCTTATTGCTTCTTGCGCGCCTAATCCATGCTGTGAGGAGCTCCTTATAACGTCATATAACAGCTCTCGCCACACCATCCCGCACCTCCAATCTCCATCATGACGTGTGGCTGTTGCAGCTTCTGTTCGACAACAGGTGCGGCGCAGGTAATCATAGGAGGATAGGCTGATACGGGTGGTGTTCACACTGACGTTGTGATTGCTAATTGACGTGATTGAAAGAAGCTGGAGTGGTTGCTGTAAAACTTGTTTTGCATGAGCTGTGTGTCGGTATAAGTAGTTGGAGCTGCGTGGTGGTTGCAGCTCTCAGTATCAATTCATCTCATAATTTGGCCAACTTACAAAAGCTAATAATCAACAACACTATACCTATTCCCAACTAACACAAGGATACCCCTCAAATCCATCTCTTATCTGAAAGATACCCTTTTGTTTTTATCTCGAAGGAGTTGAAGAAGAAGACGACCAATTTCTTTACACACCACCATTATCATCATGTCTGAGACTAAGGATCCCTCTTCCCAAGTTCAAGACACAACAAAAGATACTGCTTCTAACGAGCAGCAATCCGGTGCGTTTGGCAGTCCCCAGCGAAGTTTATCGCTTATCGTCCCCATTGCAGTCAACTATGACCAGTCAGTCCCTCGGAGTGGTGTTGTGAATGATTCCGGTGATATCCTGGACGACGCTGGCAAAACTGTTGGCAAGGTCGCCGACACCGATAACCTCAAGAACCTCGTAGGCAACACCGTTAACACCGCTGGCGAGGTTGTCGACTCCTCAGGCGATGTCCTCGGCAAGACTCTGCCCATAGGACAAGGAAAGCCCGAGGAGGACGAGGATTCTCACGACGAGGAGAAGAGCGAATACACAACCCAATCCAAGGACAAGAAGTCTGGCGGTTTGGGAGACGCAGTCGGCAGCGTTACTGGCGCTGTTGGAGACACCGTTGGAGGAGTCACAGGAGCTGTTGGCGACACAGCTAAGGGTGCCACCGACACCGTCGGTAACACTGTTGGCGGTCCAGCCAAGGACGCCACAGATGCTGTTGGCGATACTGCCAAGGGTGCTACCGACACCGTTGGCGACACAACCAAGGGTGCTACCGATGCTGCTGGCGGCCTTACTTCAGATGCTACATCACAAGCAACCGACACCAAGACACCCGCAGAAACCCCCAAGGCACCTGAGGTCAAGGACGAAGAGTCTGATGTCAAGTCCGAGGTTACAGACCAGAAGGACGACATCAAGCTTGAGGACCGCGAAGCACCTGCCGAGACTGACGACAAGCTCAATGAGGTCGCTCCCGAGTCCGAGGAGGCTAAGGAAGCCACCAAGGATGCTTCTGAGGAGGCCAAGGACATTCCCGAAGAGGCCAAGGAGGATGTCAAGTCCAAGGTCGACGAGCAAGACGCTCCCAAGCCTGAAGACGTTGAGGACAAGCTCCAGGAGAAGACTGAGGGTGCTAAGGACGAGGCTCAGTCTGAGGTTCCTGAGGGTGACGTTGCTAAGACTGAGGCTCCTGTCGACGAGGCCGACAAGTCTAAGGCCCCTGGAGATGACCTGAAGTCTGTTGCCCCTGGTGAGGAGGCTGCTGGCACCGATGAGGTCCAGGACAAGGCCGCCCAGGGCGAGGAAGCTGCTCAGGACAAGGTCGCTGAAGGCGAGCAGGCTGCTGAAGATCTCCCCGAAGACGCCAAGAGCAAGGCCGCTGAGGGCGAAGAAGCCACTGAAGGCAAGGTTGCCGAAGGCGAGGAAGTCGCTGGCGACGTCGCCGATGAGGCCAAGGACAAGGCCGCGGAGGGTGAGGAGGTCGCTGAGGACAAGGCTGCTGAAGGTGAGGAAGCTGCCAAGGAGCCTCTCGACTTCTCCCTCCTCAAGGGCACCACCGTCGACAAGGAGGGCAACCTCGTCAACTCCAAGGGTGACAAGATTGGCAAGGTTGTTGAAGGTGAGCTCAAGCAGCTCATCGGCCTCAGCTGCGACGACCAAGGTCAGATCTGGGACAAGACTGGCAAGCAGCTTGGCAAGGCCGAGCCCATCCCTGAGTGGGACCGTGAGCAGAAGGACTTCTCCATTCTCAAGGGCACTACTGTCGATAAGGAGGGTAACCTTGTGAACGACAAGGGCCACCTCATCGGACGTGTCATTGAGGGTGAGATCAAGCAGCTCATCGGTCTCTCTGCCGACGACCAAGGCACCATCTGGGACCGTACCGGCAAGCAAGTCGGTAAGGCCGAGCCTCTCCCTGAATGGGAGCGTGGTGAGCACAAGGATTACAGCATCCTGAAGGGTATGACTGTTGACAAGAACGGTATGCTTGTCAACGAGAAGGGTCACCTCTTCGGTAAGGTTGTCGAGGGCGAGATCAAGCAACTTATTGGTCTCTCTTCCGACGACCAGGGAACCATCTGGGACCGCACTGGTAAGGCCGCTGGTAAGGCTGAGCCCCTTCCCGAGTGGGAGCGCGGTGAGCAGAAGGACTTCTCTATCCTGAAGGGTGCTACTGTCGACAAGGAGGGTAACCTCAACAGCGAGAAGGGCGACACCATCGGTAAGGTCACTGAGGGCGAGATCAAGCAGCTCGTTGGCCTCAAGTCCGACGAGAACGGCAAGATCTGGCGAGACGGCAAGGTCGTCGGCCAGGCTGAGCCTCTTGCTGAGTGGGACCGCGTCCAGAAGAAGGACCGATCCATCCTCAAGGGTACCAAGGTCAACAAGGTCGGCAAGCTTGTCGACGCCAACGGTACCGTTCTCGGTAAGGTTGTCGAGGGTGACCTGAAGGAGCTCCTCGGCAAGCGCGCTGATGAGAACGGTGACATCTGGAACGACTCCGGAGAGGTCATCGGCAAGGGTGAGCCCGTCTCTGTCTCCGAGCGTGAGGAGAAGTCCTCCGCTCCCTTCGAGAACTTCCCTGGTGCTACCGTCGAGTCTGACGGCCGTGTCATGTACCAGGGCGAGCAAGTTGGTGAGGTTATTGAGGGTAACCCCAAGGAGCTCAAGGGCAGCGAGGTCGACGAGGATGGTGACATTCTCGACCGCCGTGGTAACACTGTCGGTAAGGCCAAGCGCTGGGAAGCTCCCGAGGCTGAGGAGGAGAAGCCCGTCGACAATTCTGCTCTCGCCGGCAAGCGTGTCAACAAGGCCGGTAACCTCGTCAGCGAGTCTGGTGAGATCTACGGTCGTGTCGTCGAGGGTGATGTCCAGAAGCTTGTCGGACGCATGTCTGACCGCGATGGAAACATCCGAAGCGAGTCTGGAGACATCATTGGCAAGGCCGAGCTTGTCTCTGAGGGCGAGCGTGGTGGCAAGAAGGATGGTCCTTTCGCCGAGCTCAAGAACTGCACCGTCTCCAAGGACGGTAAGGTTGTGAACCAGGCTGGCGAGACTGTTGGCCGACTTGTCAGTGGTGATGCTAAGGCTCTTGTCGGTCGCTCTGTTGATGACGATGGCGAGATCGTTGACTCCAACGGTAACGTCATTGGCAAGGCCGAGCGCTGGGAGGAACCTGAGAAGGAGAAGTCTCACAACCCTCTCGCTGGCCGCAAGGTGAACCGCGAGGGCAACGTTGTCGATGCTGATGGCAACATCATTGGCAAGCTCACCAGCGGTGAGATCGTCGACTGCCAGGGTAAGGAGGTTGACGAGGATGGTGACGTCTTCAACCAGAAGGGCACCGTTGTTGGCCATGTGACCCTTCTTGAGGATATCCCCAAGGAGGAGGAGGAGCCTGAGCCCGAGGGTGAGACTGAGGAGGAGCGCCTCAAGCGCGAGCAAGCTGAGGAGGAAATCAAGAACGAGAAGGACGAGGCTGAGAAGAACAAGAAGCTTGCTCAGCAGCTCTCCTACCAGATCGAGCAAACTCTTGAGCGCCTTCGACCCATCTGCAAGTCCATCAACGACAAGATCAGTGCTGCTGAGGCTCAGAAGCCTGAGGACCGTGATGAGGAGGAACTTGTCCGTCAGGTCAAGCCTCTGATTGAGGATGGTGGTAAGCTTCTCACCGAGACCAACGGTATTATCCGTGGTCTTGACCCTGATGGTCGCATTTCTCGCAACGCCAAGCAGAAGACTTCTGCGGGTGAGGCTACTCCTGAAGAGGCTCACCTCGCCAACCTTCTCAAGGAGCTCTCTACTGAGATCCAGACTTGTATCGATGAGAGCAAGCGCAAGCTTGAGGGTATGCCTCACGCCAAGAAGGAGATCAACCCTCTCTGGGGTCTCCTGGCTGAGCCTCTCGCCCAGATCGTTGCTGCCGTCGGTCTCTTGCTCAGCGGTGTCCTTGGACTCGTTGGCAAGATTCTCGGCCCCATCCTTGGCCCTCTGGTAAGTTTCAATCATTCATCTAATAATTTGATCATCTTGCTAACAATATCTCTAGCTGAATGGTCTTGGTCTTGGTGGCCTCCTTGACGGTCTTCTCGGTGGACTTGGTCTCAAGAAGATCCTCGGAAGCCTTGGTCTCGGTGACGTGGTTGGCACTGTCACCGGTAAAAAGAATTAAGGGAAGATTGATTGAGGGGATCCTATAATGAATTGTATCTTTGGGAATGTAATTATGTATTTTGCTTTTAGCTAGGAGTTTTGTTAGCTTTATGAATTACGAACAAGTTAGGCCAATAATGATGCTCTCTGAAATGAGGTGGAGTTTGTTTGTGATATGTCTGTTTGCGGCTTAGTAGGCCTGCTGCTGAGTCAGCGCCCAAATTTCCGAGTACAAATTTTCGACTTTTTCGTCCACAAGCTTCAAGCTTTTCATCTCATCAACAAACAACCATGACCAGCTTGCTTCTGGCGTGGCCTTTTTGAACGATGCAACGATGCGTCTCTTCCTCATTCGGCATGGAGAGACAGTCGACAACGTCGCAAACCTCTATGCCGGCTCACGCGACTCAGCCTTGACTGCCCATGGTGTTATGCAAGCTCAACGGCTAGCATCACACCTCACTGAGCATGTCACTATTGATCGCATCTTCTCGTCAAACCTCGGTCGCGCGGTTCATACTGCAAAGGCTATCATCGATGCGCAGAAATGTGCAGAGGATCTGAAATTGGTCCAGGTGCCGGAGCTGAGGGAGAAGGATTTTGGTACGGGCGAGGGCACCAAGATTGGGTTGACGATCAAGCATGAGGGCTCGGAGACTCCGCAAGCGATGAGAAAGAGGATCGATGCCTTCTTAAACGAGCATTTGCCTCGACTATACGAAGACTCGACCGTCTGTATCGTTGCTCACGGCATTATCCTCGGGACTTTCTACAAGGCCCTACGCGACAGGATTCCTTCCACGTCCGTCGGTCCCGACGCTGAACCAGAAGGTCGCTCAGGATCTGCTTTTGTGCGACCGGGCTGGAGCAACACCGGGTACCTAGAGGCAAACATCACGGCCGACGCATCCACAGATAAAAATGTGCAGATGCGCGTGGTCAAAATCAACAGCGTCGAACACCTCAAGGGTCTGAGAAAGACTCGAGGCGGAATTGGCAGCGCCAAGTTCGACGCCAAACAAAAGATGATGACCTCGTTCTTCAAGCCTACGTCGCGAAAGCGCAAAGCCGAAGACGAGGACATCGCTTCACAATAATGGTACGTTCAAACTTTTTTTTCTTAACTCAACACAACATCCCAAGCTTTATGATGAAGAAGCATTATACACAGACCTGTACCGAAAACACTATGTGGAAAAAATTTTGTCCAACCGCTGTCTGACAGCTTGTTCATAAACTCGTTTTTGTCGCCATAACTTTCTGGTAACACTAGCTAACCATGAACCAAATAGGTCTATTCCATTGCCGTAACATCAACCATGTTGGCTTTCATAGAATCATTACATATAATACATGCTATTCTCTAAACATCTGTGCTTGTCTCATCTACTCCCGTGAATACCTTGTACATTCGTCTACTCACAGCTTGTCCAACTGTGCGATCCGAATAGGCACCGTCTTTGTTAGCCATCTTCTTTACACCTTCCAGTCGTGTTGGCCCACGGGTCTCCAAGCCCTCAACCAACTTGCTGACTGTGTTGAACTCGTTGGCCACTCCGTACGCGATTGGCGCCGTGACTCTCACGATCTCCTGCAGCATACGAACGTAAGTGTCGTGTGTATCCTCACCTGTCTTGACCTGTCCGCTTTCCATGCAGAATCCTGCTCCCAGTGTTGCCTGGTCTCGCTGCTTCCGGTAGGGGATCGTCGAGATGTGCTGAGTGAAGGTCAAGATCTGTTCAGCCGTCTCCATCGGTATCATAGTGTGATGGATTAGAGCCTCATGCATGACCTGCAGCTGCAGAAGTGCATCTTCGATCTTCTCCTCTGGCACATATTCCTGGGCAGGTTTATTTCGGCGATTAGCAGCGGTGGTGGATTCTTGCGCGCGGACAGTAGAAGCAAATTGACGGTTGCGAAGGTTTCGGTTCTTGCGCATCCAAGGTGTGAGGCCCTCGATAAGGTAAACAATACGGTGTTCAGGGAAGTGTTTCTTCATCTTCTCGGCATGAGGAGAAACGCCATCATCCAATGCGATCTTGACAAATTCATCAGAATGCATAACAACGAGCGCATGCTTCTCATCTTGGAGGCGAAGAGGTATCGGCTCCCAGAGACCAAGATCATCGTTGTATCGACTGCGGACCTTTCTACGCCATTTGATCACGTTCTCGACCGGGCTGTCCCAAGTTGTGTACTGCACATCAAAGGGTTCGAGCATAGCCTGAAGTGCAGTCGTAACTGTGGAATTGAGACTTGAAGGGATGTCGACCATCATTTCTGGAGTCGAGATCTTCTTGTCTGTTCGCAGCTTATTGACCTCGGCCAGTGCTGCATTCCGTTGCTTCTCACGAAGTTTGGCTTCCTTCGCTTCTTGCTTCTCCCGCTTCTTCGCCTCTTTTTCAAGCTCTTTGGCAGCTGCCTTGGCTTCCTTTTCTCGTGTCTTATCGGCTGCCGATTGTTTGTTTGAGGCTGTCGGCTTCGCTCGAGATCTTGACCCTATGACTTCACTTTGCGAACGCTGAAGCTGTGATCGGCGTCGCATTTTGTTTACATCGAAAGATGAGATATCTGGCAAGTCGTCTTCGGACCCGTTCTCGCCATTCGAATCATCGTCGATATTAATGACGTCTCGTTTTTTCCGTGGTGGTGACGAGTCGAAGGAAAAGATCTCAGGTGCTGAGCTGGATATTGGATCCCATGTCGCATTCTTCTTGGGCAAAAGCTTCGGTGCAGGTCCGCGTGCGGGTGGAGAAGTTATAATGATGTCGGGCTCTTTCGATGTTGTTGGCGCTGACTGATGGGGAGAACTAGCGAAGGGGTCTGATGACTCGGTAGGCCTTGCCACTGTTCTCGATATTGGTTTCGCTACCAGTTTCGGTGGTGAGTGTCGCACTGGCGTTGGTGAACTTGCAAATGGGTCTGAATCTTCAGCCTCAATCGTCTGCTCTGTAGGTTTTGTACTTGCGTCGTTCGCAGGTCCCATCTGACTCGGTGAAAGGAACCCCGGAGAACTTGTGAGTTGGATAGAATCTTCCAACGGTTGCAGTCGCCCGTTCGTGTTCGTTCGTACTGGCGGTAGAATTGATCGAGATTCTGGCACCGGGGATGTGCGCTTGAGAGGCGGCTGTTGCGCTGGAGGAGGCAACAAGCACCGCCTCTTATTCGGGGTTTCATCGATTAGGATTGGCTCGTCTAGATCTATAGTTGTGTCGAAATCATCGGAAAGAAAAAGTGAACTTGATATTGGTAGATGCGCTACCGCAGTTGACTTTGTCGCATTGGTATTTTGGTACTGCTCTTTCGCGGGCGGAAGGGCAATATCCACTGGCAGTTGGGCAGATGGTGGTGGGTTAGAATGGTCCGGGGGACTCGAGGATATGAGGTCAATCACATCGGGCGCCATCTTTTCATATGCAATTGCCGTACAGACGAAAGTCGTAGGGGTATTGTTTGATGTCTTCGCTGTTGGTGGCGGGGCAATTTACCTTGCGCGATGCGACGCGACAGCCAGGTTTGTTCTCATGGACACGAAAAACGCCGAGTCACGTGAACAATGACTACCCTACACTTTGTCGATCCCTATCAACTTTCCATTCCAGATGATGCTCATTGTATTTGCTGTGATATTTCTTTGCTGAATCCGATGTATGAACAAGAAGAAGAAGAAGAGCATTCAATTCATTTTCTTACGCTTACTAGACTGGCCACTAGTACTCTGATCCCGATCGTTATGTGACAATGCAATCTTTTTATGCTCCGCGACTAACAGAAGTACATTGGGAAATTATTCCCTGGAATTATCTAGGCGTCAGGATTCTGAAGGAGTTCTTTGCTGAGAGCATAAGAGATGAAATGATTTGATGACATTACGGAAACTTAGGCTGGTTCTCAGGCCATTGATTTTTAACGTTCTAGGTCTTAAGGACATTTCTTCTGCTACTCAGTGACAGGGTCAGGAATGCATCAGTCTGTTCCAATGAAAGCTGTTTGGGATGTATAATGATCGTTCTTCACGTCCTTATCTATTCATTACCGACTGTACCTATATTAGATCGAGCTATAAACGCCGAGCCTCAATAGTGAGCCTGTGGTCTTATCAACGGCGTCGGATAGTCATATGTGCCCTCCAATTAGCTATGAAAGGTGCCTGTTAGCATAAAAAAAGTGTCGTCTTTCCCCATCATAAATCAGAATCCTCTTCCTTTAACAGAACTGATACCGATGTCTTCTTATACTTTCAGAATGCGAATGCTTTGATGATAGGATTCGCAACCCTTGCTAGGAATGCTACGTATAAGAGCAAGTAGTATACAAGTTTGCAATAAACAATCAAGGTTCTTTGAACTGTTTCGAAGCTAAGTAATTGGACTAAAACAAGTTATACTCCGTATATAACCTCCCTGTGTTACGTTACACTGCTATCACTTTCTATGAGCTCAATATCTGACAACTATACAAACTACCAAGGTACACGTTTATATTAGCACCTGGCACATATGAACACCCCCCTTGGAAAAACATGACTGGAGCACCTCCTATCACTCGAATCCTCCACGCTCGAGAGGATTACTACCTACCATCCATGGATGTCAAATGTGGATTATATCGCTCCGCCCGCCAAGGTAACGCACAGGCAAAGCCCTGTCAATATGATCACGCACGGCATATGTCAGAGCAAAACCCGTACAATGTCACATCGTCCGTTCGCGAAGTCTACATAGGGAAAAAGTTCCTTATTGAGAATTTGAATGCCTTCATTCCGCGCTTTGCTAGGATAAGACTGTGGACCTCGCTTACAAGCAACAAGCTACAGTAACATCGCGGCCGAGGTTTCAAATTTTAATGAGCTTCGGTGACTAACTATTATGAGAAAGTTTCTGAGCTGCTCAGACTATTTGCAAGACAAACAGAGTAACAAGATCCTCCGGACTTTTTAACCCAGTAGTGCTAGCCGGGACAGTCCTTGTGTTTAACAGATCAATGGGGCAAGTTAAGTTTCACATCGTAATGTCCGTTATTAGTGACAAACAAACGAGATACAATCCCTTGTCAGCATCGCCGTCACGTCATTCAGCTGGAACAGCAACGTGAACTGATCCTGACCGCTCGGAGACGTCAAGGAACCCCCCAGAGTCGTTGATTGGATAGTGGATATTGTGAGCTCGAGAGCGAAAAACTTGACTGTGATATTAGGAGAGACAAAATAATATAGTCAATCTATAACAGCTTGGACTACATAATTACCTGTTTATCATTTATCTGTTATGCTATGAAATCAGGTCTCAAGTTTTCTGCAACCCCTGGGTAAGCTACTAAACTATTGTGACTGATAACGGTCATTGGACGTCTTTTAAGTTCAACGAATGGGAGCAGACTGGCTCAAAGTTGGCCGTCGATTTTACCTGTCGATGCGTCGATGCACATTCCATGCAGGAACAGCTTTTCCCATGGTAGTAATGATGTCTTAGACAGATGGCCATGTGCTCGCGTTGATGTCTTGATTGGCACGGATAGGGTTTCCTTGGCAGTAAAGTCAACCTGTCAAGATAACATCAATGAATTACGCGTAACGGCGTCTTGCTGAGCCCGATATACCGAAATAGGGGCAACGTAAAAAGGAATAAACCACGACTTTTTACCTGCAACCAACTAAGAAAAACAAAAACCACAAACTCTCAAGGTATCATTGAAATAACGGCAGGGAGACATGGGCCTGAAACGAACCGTGGCCGAGGGGAGTTTAGCCCCCGCGATTTGCTTCGCGGGAGTCAAAAGACGGGCCAGACACGGACAGAAACCATGCCGGTCACAGTAACAGTTTCCACATTTTGCTTCTGATGTCGCGAGATGGTGCCATCCCGTGGGCCTTAATGAATGGAGGAGCGCCTGGGATTGCTCGCAATGAGAGCTTTTCAGGTCGTCCAGGGTGAACTTGTGACAGTTGAAGCCACTGTGACGAGACGGTCTCAGGTATCCGTACACTGGGAGACGAGATCGGTTAGACCCTAGATCTTCTTACAGGAGACGGGATGAAAGTCACGGGTTGGAAAGGAGATGGATACCTAGCCAATCGCGAGAGACTTGGATTCCGTGCCGTATAAAATATTGTTAGCCATCTTAACCAGCCGCCAGACCAACGTGATAATGAGCATGGGGCGGTTGCTGGTGCCATTCGTGTTGCATTGTCCGTACAGCGATCCATACGTGTTGATTTTTGTGGTAAAAGCGCTTGCATCCCTTAAGTAGTATCGAGATGCTGTGCAGAATAGTATGGTGGTATTGATTGACAATGGAGGTTGGATTTTATATGGTGGAGCGCTTTAACCGCCAGGTTGGTCGATATGGATGGACCATGACCAAGACCAAGTTAACAACGCATCAAAAGTTGGGGGTTCTTCATCTTGTTCTTGGTCAGCCAGCTCAAAACGAAGAAAACTCTGATTGAGCAAATGGCTGATTAATGAAAGATAATTAATTTCCTCCACCGTTTGAATCGTTAACGAAAGTTACCTTGAAACCGGTCTATCGTCTACCGTTCTTACACTGGTTTGATGATAAGCTCCGTGGCAACGCGAAGACAGTCCGCCGCTAGTGAGGAAATGTCCGCTTCGACTGGAATAAGGCCCAACCCCTAGTTTATGAAGGACAAAGATGAACTGGAAAGATCGGCTCGTAATATGAGAGAGCCACTAGGTACCATCAGGTGGCAGGTGGGATATCCGGGTGGTTGGTTGCTACAAAAAAAAGTTGGTAATGGTAAATAAGACCTGGGATCCAATGCCTTCCATTCCTTGGACTGTGCTGTTAGCGCACCATCACGTGGATCGGATACTGGCACAGAATGGGAATCATGAATCAGTAGATCGAATATCACATTTTAATAAGATGAGATGCTTGACTCTTGTGGCTTAACAATTCCCTCTAAATACTATCACCGAATATTATTCTGATGCTAAGGGTCCAAGCAGACAAATCGTCCAGAGGGTCCCTGCCCACTACTGGTTGCGCGGGCCAGGCACGAGGACCGGGGACGACCCAGTTAAAAGATGCAGCCCAACCAGTAGGCGCTATCTCCGTCACGATCTAACCATGACCATCCCTAGCGCTTCCCTAGCAATTCAGGGGTCAGGCAATCAGGTCCATCAGACGCGAGGTACCTGACAACGTTGCTTAAGCCGGCCCAGCGCTAATGTATCTCTAGTCCTTAGGGGCGGACTTGACAGCCCTCCATGCCCCTAACTGAGTTGAATGGAAGGATTGGAAGCTGCGAGTTCACTGAAGCCTCTTGCCCCTGGCCTTAGCCTCCCCTACTGTATGGGCTGTCTTGTCTGCCAGTCTTGCCAGTGTTGGTGGTGTGCTTGATTCCACTTGATGGCTGTTCCGTCCCTTTTTTAATTTTTCCTACTCTGTGCTTTTTTTTTATACTAAGTAGTCTACTCCTGAAGTGATCAAACGTCTCGTCCAACGTTGCAACTTTTCTAAACCTCCCCTCTCTCATTCATCTTTGCATTGCGGTCAACTTCTCCCACCGCTTCGTTAGTTTCTTCCTGCGTTGTTTCCTTCTATAGGCTCATCTTTTTTTCTACCTTAGCTTTCTACCCGACAAGCCCAGACCCCTCCTAGCGACCCATCGTCCCGCTCCACCGCTGGAACGTGGAATTGTCAATAAGCCCTCGACAACTGCGTCGCCCGATCGCCCGTCGTCGGTCGCTTGTTTAATTACGTTCCCCCTACACCCCTGGTCGGGATAAACACTCGACAACCGCCTCGTCCTCACTCGTTGAAACTTCTAAGAGTCCAGCTCGCCGCACGTGAGACCCTCTGGAACACTTCGTTCGCGACCCCCTCATCAACGACAACTTTCCGTGGCGCTGCGACCATCTATGACGTTCTGAAGGCCGACCGCTTTCTCCCTCAGCGGAAGACAAGACCTAAAAAGAAGCCCTTGGCGGCCTTCTGCGTTGCTCAGCGACATTCGTTATTGCCGCCGTTGCGACTTACGATACCTGAGACACCGCGCATTTCGTTCGCAACTCCCAAACAGCAGCCATGGCGAGTTCGCCCCCGGCCTCGCCGGGAGGAATCCAAAGGCCGATGAGTGCCATCGCCAGAGCACAACCGAGAAGTACCAGTAGATTGAGCATGTCAAGCAAGGCTGGAGGTGGAAGCAGAGCCTCAGATGAGGACAGCCGGACGGCTGTCAAAGTCGGTATGTCAGCCATTATCACCAACAATTCGAGTTTCTAATCGTTCTTTCTCTAGCCGTTCGTGTACGACCGCCGCTGAAGCCTGAAGATCCTGGCTATGATCTTATTCCTCAGCGATTTCAGAAGGCTATGGTTCACACGACTTCCGACACCAGCCTTGCTATCGATTCACCACAAGGTCGTAAACTATTTGTCTTTGACCGTGTCTTTAGCCCAGAGGTGATGCAAGAGGGTATTTGGGATTATGTCTCCGACTGCATCAATTCATTCATCCAGGGATACAATGTTTCTTTACTTGCATATGGTCAGTCAGGTGCTGGTAAATCCTACACCATGGGCACATCAGGACCTGGCGAGCAGTATGACCAAGAGTTGATGGGTAAGTTGACCAGTCAAGAAGCATTGGACGTGGCTAATATGCGCTTAGGTGTTATTCCTAGAGCTGCCACTGCGCTCTTCGAGAAGCTCGAGACCCCCAAATCTTCTGCCAAAGCCAATCGCAGTTCCCTTTCGCATCTTCGAGGTCCCCGAGGATACAGCCAACAGAGTGCGCTTGGTGACCGCGAGTGGTCGCTAAAAGCCACTTATGTCGAGATTTATAATGAACAGTTGCGCGATCTTCTTGTTTCCGATACAACCCCGATGAACGAGCGCGTTAATGTGGCCATTCGCGAAGATACCAAAGGCAACATCATTTTGACCGGCCTACAACAAGTGGAGATTAACTCAGCGGAGGATCTCATGAATGCTCTCAACTTCGGATCCTCTATTCGTCAGACCGACGCCACCGCCATCAACGCCAAGTCTTCGCGATCCCACGCCGTTTTCTCGCTCAACCTTGTTCAGCGCAAGAATAAATACGGCGCAGGACAGGCCTCCGACAAGCGCCACTCTATGCCAGCCGAGGGATTGTCAGGTCAGGAAGTTTCCATCACTACTGACAGTAAACTTCATTTCGTCGATTTGGCTGGAAGTGAAAGGCTCAAGAATACAGGTGCTCAGGGTGATCGTGCCAAGGAGGGTATCTCGATCAACGGTGGACTTGCCGCACTTGGCAAAGTTATTAGCCAACTTTCATCCAGAAATCCTGGGGCCCACGTTTCATACCGCGATTCCCGACTTACACGATTGCTACAAGACTCGCTTGGTGGTACAGCCATTACCTACATGATTGCTTGCGTTACACCAGCCGAGTTCCATTTGAGCGAAACGTTGAACACAGTCCAATACGCTCAACGAGCCCGAGCTATCCAGTCGAAGCCACGAATCCAGGAGACGGAGCAGGGCGACAGCAAAGCTATCATTGACCGCTTAAAAGCTGAAGTCGCTTTCCTGCGCGAGCAAATCCGCAGCGCTGAGAATGGCGGAAGCCCTCGACGTAACGCCCCATTAACCAACGAGCGATCCGACCGCCAAAACGAGCGCGAGACAGAGCTTCAAAACCAGCTCCTAGACACCCAAGAGAGTTACACTGCTCTCAGCCAGCGCCATGCACGACTCATTGCCGAGCTAGCTCGCGCCCGTGAGAATGAATCTGGCGAGAATCAGCACGACGATATTTCGGGAGATACAGCTGATGATCGCATCAACCGATCAAACTCTTTTGCGCAAGCCGTCGAACAAGTCGTGATGGAGTATGAGAAGACAATCCAGTCTCTGGAACAATCTCTTTCCAGTACTCGCAGCACATTGTCAAATGTCGAGACTAACCTTCTTGAGAGAGAGACAAAATGTGCTTATGTCGAGACCATCAATACCCAACTGCAAACTCGTCTGCAGAAACTTGTTGATCGCGAGAACAACACCGAAAACTACCTTCACGATCTTGAGGCCAAGCTGGATGGTCATACCAGCGGCGAAGAGAAGAACGCAACTATCATCATGGAACTTCGTAAGGAGATTTCCCGTGCTCGAGAGAACGAGGCGTCTTGTGAAGACTACATTTCAACCCTCGAGGAGCGTCTGGCTGAAGCTGACCAAGACGGCGAGCTGATGCAACGCGAGATCGATCGACTTGAGCAGGTGGTTGAACGACAAAGGAGCCTTGGTAAACTCGATTCTCTCCTTTACGAGCTTGACCAGATCCAAGATGGCAAGGAACCTGGAACTGAGAATGGGGTAGAGAACCACGCCGAGTCAGCTAACGGTGTTGCGGCTCGTCGTGCTATTGCTGAACATTCCCGAAACTTGTCCCACGTTAGTCGACATAGTCAGATGGAAGAGCCCATTCCTGAAGGTGATGAGGAACAAGAACAGTCTCGCACTAAGATCGGCACTCTCAAGGAGGTGGACGAGGATTCTCTGCGCTTGGAGAAGCCTTCTGAGCAGGGACCTCCCCCAAGCCCAGCTCAGTCCAAATTTGTTGCTGACAAGCTCGAGAACGTCACGCAGGAGCTGTTCGATTTGCGTGTAGAGCATGAGTCCACTCTTAATGACTACGACTCGCTCCATGCCAAGTACGAATCAGCCATGCGTAGACTGGCTGAGATGCAGGATGCTGTTGATGAGGCTCGTCACTCACACCAACAGCGCCAATCCGTAATCTCTGTCGCCACACCTACGCGCACCACTCGGCCCGAGTCTTTCTTGTCTGACACTAGGACTAACGACCTGAAGACTGGCCCTCGATCCTCCTTCACCCGGTCACTCTCTTCGGAGCTGTCTTCTGCCATGGACTCGCCTGCGACAGCTGCTTCATCAAACGGCGATATTCTCTCTGACGATGAAACCGCTACCACTAAGCCTGCGGCGGCATCTACAGATACCTTGACCAACGATGAGAGCGTCGAGCTTGCTGCAGAACTCGAGCGACTTAAGTCGATGGCTCAGGAACGTGAGGCTGCCGAGCAAGAACTCGCCGAGAGATATGCTCAACTTGAGTCTAAACACAACGAGACCCTCGATATTGTTGAGGAGCTCAAGACAGACCTATCACGGGCCCGTGTCATGGAAGCTACTTCACCTCGTTCTAGCACTCCTGTTATTCGACGCAAGTCAAGCCAGAATCTGCTGGTAGTCGATCGTGCCCAACGCTCATTTTCATCACTGCGAAACATTGCTGCTGAGAACTTTGGCAGTCACCCCGAGGCTATGCAGAGCTTCGAGCTGAACCTGAACGCTGCTATACATGAACTCACCGTCAGAAGCGAGCGGATCCAGGAGCTCGAGGCTGATGTAGCGGCCGCCAAGAAGGAGATGGAAACTAAGATGACCATTATCTCGGGACTGACAAGGGAGCGGTCCAGTTTGAAGGCCAGCCCTGTGGAGATGTCGATGGTTGCAACACTTCGAGATCAGCTTGAGCAGAACGAGAGACAACTCTCTGAAACTAGAAATGCCCACATGGCTCGCGAGCAAGCACTCACAACTGAGCTCGAGTCTTTGCGCCAGGCCCTGGAAGCCACTTCTAGTACCCAAGAGCCCGACAATGCTGACTCTAAGTACGAGAAGCGGGTTGCCGAGCTCCAGAGCGAGCTTGCTACCTGGGAGAGGAAGCACAAGGAGGCTCTCGATTCTATGGAGAACACTGAGACTCAGATGCGTGGCACAATTGGACAGCTTGAGGCACAGGTTGCATCGAACCAAGCTCAACGATCCCTGACGAATGGTGACAAGGACGAGTCAACTAAGGATGCTGAGCAACGACAACAGAACCTCATTGGCTTCCTGCGCCATGAGATCGATGAGTACAAGGCTATTATCAACAGCAACGCTACCAAGGTTGCCGAATTGGAGCAGGCTCATGCTGCGGCTCGTGCTGAGTTAGACGAACTCCACAAGGCCCACCAGGCGGTCAAGGAGGATAACGCTCGTCAGCTGGAACTTGTCGCTAAGCTCCAGGAGCAGATCGCTGCTCATGGCGATTCTGCACAGACCAACGCGACCATCGAGGAATTGAAGGCCCAACACGCCAAGGCCCTGGCTGATCTGAAGACCGCCGAACAGAAGGGTTACGAAGAGCAGGTTGAGGTCTTGCTGTCCGAGCATGCCGAGAGTGCCCAGCAATTGGAGACAGAGCTCGCCGAGACAAGAGACGAGCTTAACAAGGCGTCTTCTCACGTTGCTAATGCCCTGGGTCTCGATGCCGACGTTGGAAAGCTTGCGGAGCGTATCGACGAGCTCGCTGCCAGCAAGAAGGCTCTTGATGTCGAGCAGGCAAAGCGAAGCGAGATTGAGTCATCAGTCACCGAGCTTACAGCTATTAACGAACAAATCATGAAGGACTTTGAAGATGCTAAGAAAGCTTTGGCTGACATGATTGACGGGGGTGCCGCGTCAGGCCCATTGGTGGAGCAGATCAAGCTCGCCAAGAAGAGAATGACAGATCTCGACGATCGAAGCAAGAAGAACAGCCGATTGGTGGAGGAGTTGGAAGAGCAGCTCCAGAACAACTTTGACGAAGTTCAGATTACCAACAACCGCCTGAGCACTCTCCAAACCGAGCGCAATACTAAGTTGGATGAGGCCAATGCAGCCACCGCACGCCTCACAGCTGAGTTGGAAGTCCTCAAGGAAGATTATACCGCTCTTCAGGTGAGTTCGGGACTCAAACTGGCGATCCATGGATTTTACTGACAAGAACCAGAACAAGATGGATGAAGTGGCAGCTGGTATTCAACGCTCCAACTCCAACTCAACCATTCGCAAGAGCGCATCTCATGTTTCTCTGCCATCACCCCCACCAGCAATCCCGCTTCCTCCTCTGCCAAACGGCGCACAATCTCCCGTCAACGGCACCCCCGGTTCCCCCACTAGTGCGCGTCCAATGAGCAAGGATAACCTCAACATCTCTCAAATTACTGAGGATCAAGAGGCACGCATTCGAACGATTGAGAAGCACCTTACTGCCGAGCGACAGCTTACTCAAACTCTTGAGGAGGCACTTACCGATTTGGAAAGGCAGACTAACAAAGTTAAGGCCGATTGTGATGCCTGGAAGAAGCGCGCTGGTGAGCTAGAGGCTGAGGTGAAGGAGCTCAAGGACCGTCCACCACCTGAGCCCGTTCAAGACAACCGCTGGAGTCTTCAAGCTGTTGAGGAGGAGCGCAAGAAGCGACAAGCGGCTGAAGCTGCTCGACGTCAACTCGAGGAGCGCATGAATGCCATCAATAAGGGGAAGAAGAAGAAGGGAAGCCTGAACTGCTTCTAGGTTGGCTCACTGTGACAGTCGATTCTGCGATATGCACTGGAGCCAATGACGAGGGTTCAAAACGGGGTTGATTGGGATGGGACTTTTTGCAATGCCTTTATGTGTCACCATGTTTCTGCTTTGATGTTGTTCACTATATTCCCCCTCGAGTTTATGGTCTGGCGACTTCCGTCGGGCATCCCAACCAAGTTTTCAGCACTGGCCAGGAGTTTGGGAGGATTTATTATTTCTTGTTTTTGTTTTCTTGCCATGGGGAGAGATCTTTCACCTACACGAGCGGCTCGATGCAAAAGATGTCTGTTATTTGGGTTCTGCCATTGTACATGTGTGTCATTTCTCTGCTTTTTCTCATTTCCATTTCTCCCCAGATGGAGGGAACTTGGGTGGCAGGACTTTTATTGAAGGATGAGCGGAAGATGGGACGACTTTTATGAGGGGCCCCGATTGGGGTCGCATTACAATTACATATATGGGACCTTAATGGCTCCAAACGATAGTGGTAAATACTAGTTCAAAACCTTTTTAATCATTCGCTTGTTTCGTCTTCCTCTGATGGGAGTACTTCTGGAAACCAACCGTACTGTGAGAAGTCTACTGAGTGTTCGCCCATGGCATTCGTTTCGACCTCTACGCCTTCTGCCTCAAGGGCTTCAGCTTGTGATCGTGATCCTCCTGGTTGAGATCTGCTGAGTGAGTCGGAGTCTTGGAGTAGAGCATAAACCAACTAACCTTGGCGATATTTGTCCCTTGGAGTTGATGACTCTTTGCCATGGTACATTATCGTGGTTAAAGTGTTGAGATGGGTCGGCGGGGAGATGTTTTAGACAGACGCCCACTTGACGAGGTCTTTGTGCTAGATCGTGTTAGACGGAGATTTGTGTGCTGGAGGTGAACTGACGAGTTCCCACGAGGGCGGCGATGTGTCCGTACGTGGTGACTTTGCCGTAGGGGATTTCTTGGACGGCTGAGTAGACGGCGTAGAAGAAGGCTTGTGCTTCATCTGAACGAGGCATTCTGTTGATATGACACACGAGTGCCTATTAAAGGACAATCAATATTTTGCTAAGGACTCTGTCTGCTCTGTATGTGATGAAGACTGTCAATCGCAGTCATTATCTCAAAGGGCGTGATGCACATTGCGGGGTATGTAATTATCCAGTTATTCAAAGCATTGAAGGAAACTTGTTGTTTGCCAATAATTGCTTTGTTTGGTCATTCATCATCCATTAGGTCTATCTCTATCTCTTCTCTATAATGGTATCCTTAAACAAAAACTGCATCTAGCTCTCAATGTTCTTCTGGTTCACCAACACGTATCGGTAGCGAGCCTTGCCATTCTCCATATCCACAATAGCTTGGTTAGCGTCCTCCATGGGTCGCTTCTCGATCCAAGGCTTGACGTTCTTCTTAACAGCAAGCTCAAGCATCTCCTCGATATCGGCGGGAGATCCGATAAGACTGCCGCTGAGCTTGAATTGACCCTTGATAAGGGCGAAGGCGTTGACGGGAGGAAGCTCACCAGAGTCGGGAGCGCCGACCTGGACGAAGTTGCCGCCGTGGCGGAGGAGCTTGAAGTAGTCGCTGAAGGGCATCTTGCTGCTGGAAACAGTGCAGACAATCAGGTCGACGGTCTTGGCGTACTTGTCAGACCAGCCCTCATCGTCGTCAGTAGCGATGTAAGAGTCGGCGCCGAGAGCAAGGACCTCATCTCTCTTGGAGGCCTTGCGGGAGATACCGACGACCTTGTCAGCACCAAGGGCCTTGGCGAAGAGAACACCAAAGTGACCCAGACCACCAACACCGACGATACCGACAGTCTTTCCAGGACCGCAGCCGTTGTTGCGGAGAGGAGCGTAGACGGTGACACCACCGCAGAGCATGGGAGCGGCGACTTCGGAGGCAAGACCCTCGGGGATCTTGACGACGAAGCGAGAGTCGGTACGGTTGTAGTCGGCGTATCCACCGTAGGACTTGCCGATGCCGTCGGGGTAGACGGAGCCGTAGGTGCTGACCATCTCGGGGCAGTAGTTGACTCGGCCGGCGGAGCACTCGGTGCAGTCCTCTCGGAGGCAGCTGCGGGCCTGAGCGCCTACACCGACGCGGTCACCGACCTTGATGTTCTTGACATTTTGACCGACCTTGACGGCCTTGCCGACGATTTCGTGACCGACACAGCAGGCTTCATATTGTTAGCGATTTGTTCTTTGGAAGTTCAGTGAGAGTGAGGTAACTTACGGAAAGGTGTCTCGCCCCAGCCAGATTTGAGAATGTGAAGGTCGGAACCGCAGATACCGCAGTGAGTGATCTTGATATCAACGTCGTTCTCCTCCCACTTCTTGGGCTCGAAAGAGCCCCATTCCATCTTTCCGTTGACGGAGTCGGGGTCACGACCCATCCAGCCCTTGAACTCGTAGTCGGTAGACATATTGTATAAGTGTGTGTAAGTTGGGGTATAAGTTGTGAGTGTTGTAGTTATTGTTGAGGATATGTATATGGGAGATAGTAATGGTATGAAGAAATCGTCAATTGAGGTTCTATCTGTCTGTCTTTATATATACCATGATCGATCATCAAAATTCCATGGACATCCAAGGCAAAGGTCGGATCCGATCTACTCCACAACGTCATAGAAAGAAAAAAATCAATTCTAGAAAGAATTTATCAGCATCGACATCTGGATATAGTCGGAGTTAATGGCACAGCGTAGTAGTGTAAGAAAATGGAAGCCATCGCCGGTGCTTGTCCACTAAAAGGGCCGCATGTCAAGCACAGGTCAAGGTGACGTGCTCCAGCGTGAAGCGGGTCGCCACGAGGTTACGGATACCATGGCAGATTGATCGGTAGTTACTATGCATTTATGACGAAGCAGTATTATGGGTACAATCACTATGGATACTTGGTATCTATCTACAGTGACAGACAGGTACATGCAGACAGGTACAGTACAGTGCAGTACTGATCGGAGATAGTCGTTATGTACGCCAAGATCGATGGTTTGTCTCGTCTAGGATGTCTGATCAAGGATCTGACATCAGTAGGACAAGACCTACAAGACCTAAAACCCGACAGCCAGGAATGCTTCAAACTCTTTTCGGGCCCTTGATGTCAGCAGGTTGCATTAGCGTCTTCGATAGAAGCTCCACAATTAGATCTGATTGATTAATTCCATGGGATGAATACCTAGTGAGGCATGCATGAGACGAAGGAATAGGAATCTGTTGGTTCCTGTCAGCAATTAGATGCATATACTATTATAATCTCCGTTGCTGATTTCTAAACTCCATCTGTCCATCTTCTTTCTCTCCTTTCTCTATTCTTTGGGCTTGAATTGCATTCCACGTCAGCATAATACAGAAGGAAAAAAGACTGGAGCCACTCAATCGCTCAATCGCACTCTGTACGTAAGAAGGCCGTCCCGTCCTCCACTCCAAATGGCGGCACCGCAACAACAACCGGATTTGCTTACTCAACCTCCGATCCCGAGATGCCGACAATTAACGGAACTGAAGGACCCGGAAGATGATTGGACGGGCATCACTGAAGCCAGGGATAGGAGGAGAAGACAGAACCGCTTGAACCAGAGAGCTTTTCGTCAGTACTCTACTCACCGTATATTCGACCGAAGCCAAAAAGCGGTACAACTGACAGCGTCAAGGGAAACGGAAAGCTCGGGTCTCTCGCTATGATGAGCTGTCTGATGGCACCCTCATCTTTACGACTCCTCGCGAACGCGCGGTTGCATATGCTTTCATGCAACTAGTCCAAATGCAACACTCTCTCCAATCTCACCGTCCAGCTGTTCTCCCCTCACTGATTCGTCTCAATGCCGTTAATGCCGTATCCAACAATGCGCTGCACATCGGTATCCCGCTCGAAGGTCTATGCTGCGACGATGTGATATCCCCGTGGAACACTTTCGGCCCTAAACTCCTCGACACTTGTCCCGAGTCTTTGCGACCTACAGAGTTGCAGACCGAAATCGAGCACCATCCTTGGGTGGATTTGCTACCTATTCCGAGGTTAAGAGATAATATGCTAAAGGCATATTCTAGTGGTGTTATTGACGAGGATGAGCTGTGCATTGATATCCTTGGACTCATGAGTAGCCAAGGTTTGGACGATGCATACCTTATTGTTTGGGGAGAGGCGCATGATGCGAGGAGTTGGGAAGTGAGTGAGGGCTTTCTCAGGAAATGGGGCTGGTTGTTAAAGGGCTGTTCTGAGTTGGTTGAGTCAACGAATCGATGGCGACAACAAAGAGGTGAGACGACATTGAATATCCAGATCTGATTAGACTGTGACTATACTGCGACGACCAACCGAATCGATTCGGAACGCCATCACTTAAATTACCCTAACAAGGGCAATGATACATAAACTATCATGAACGAAAGTTACGAAGAAGAAGAAGAAAAAAGCAAGCTACAAATCGAAGACCACCGCTCGTTACTGATTCCAGCAATACGCCTGTCCCTGATTGCGATCAGCACAACTGGCCGTGAATGGATTACTGGAAGGTCTTCCGCTGCAAAAGTCCTTGATTCCCCAGTTACCGTGACAGTACAAGTATCCATCTTGAGCTGCGACAGCAACGTCTACACAAATAAGTTAGCATTTACGACGGAGCAGAAAAGAGGAGGGGGTCTTCCCCAGGTCGATGGACGTTCGCTTTAAACGCTCGTCAATGTCCTCCATGTCGATCCTACCCTTGGGAGTCTTTTTCCAGCAACCACAATTGAACCAACGGTCGTCTCTGAGATTGCACTGCGTGCACGAATCCTGAAAGTTTCCACTACCAAAATATTAGCATTTCCTCCTCAGAAATTGACTCTTTCTACTTACTTCTTTCCCTGGTACAGCTCTCCATCCCGGTTGACAAGACACTTGCCCAGCTCAAGCCAGGTGCAGATGAAATTGCCCTTCTTGTTCGGGCACTCAGCCACGATCCATGGTGAATTCTTGTACCCGAAGTTGTACCCGTTCTTCATGGGGTTCTTGTCGTCGGGTTTGGCGAGGTAGTAGCGGACGTTCTTGCACTTGTCGAGAAACCCACCGGTTTTAAAGCGGGATTCGATCTTGGCGCGGGCTTGGAGGGCGGCGTAGTTGGAGTCCCAGTCGCGGTTAGTGAGGGTGTGGGATGTGCCGTTGTTGTCGGTGATGGTGATGCTTTTGGTGAGTTCAGAGGAGGAGGAGGAGGGAGGTTGGGAGGGGGTTGTGGCGAAGACCCCAATGGCCAAAGTTAAAAGAAGTTTGAAATGCATTTTAGCGAGTGAAATTGTTGTTTTCAATGGATGTTTTTGTTGTTAATGAGTGAATCTGTTTGAATCTGGGTTCATGGTGGTTCTATATAGATCGACATCGGGAATCTGATCAGGGCATCAAGTTGACATAGCCGACTTGCTTAACGAGACCAACCCGAGGAGATCGAGCTCAGACATATCGCTTTGATCTAATTTCTATAGATGGCCGAGTACCTGTATTGATTTACGCGAACATGGCTATTTTCGAGGCATGGAACAAAGGTATTTGGAGTTCAACATTCCCATGATCCTGGCTCTGTACCAGGTTGAGACTCTGTCTGTGGTGTTATACGACTTGACAAACTTGAGACATACATATCTGTCAAAGAATCTGTTGCACGAAGTTGGGTGTTCGAGAAGGCCGAGTATCTTACCTAGAGGGCTGTTCGAGAATCATGAAAGAACCACCCTATCATGAGATGCATGTTGTGAAATGCGAGATACCAACACCTGGTCAACGAATATGAAGCGAGTACTATGAAAAAAAGGTATTGGTAGAGAAGTGCTGCCTCTGGTGTGCTTTAACCTCGTTTAGTGGGCGAGTTGGAGTTGTAGCACTGGTATAGTATAGTAGCTAATTCTGCAGTTTGGATTAAGTCGTTTTCCACGGCACAATGAATACAGACCACGCATGCAATTAATCAGTATTGTTTACGTGCCGAAGTGAGTTCGCCGACCCTTCGAGTCTAGGATATAAAATGCCATGGAAGTCGTCAAAGATCACATAAACCTTGACAAAGTCCCCTCTCTTATGACCTCGAGTGGAACAACACGGACAGTTTTACTGCAATAGCTATTATCAAATCGCTCCCCATGATCCCCTTCCGAGGCTTACCGAAATCAGAAGATTTAGTTACCAAGTGTTTGCAGTGTAGACGAAAGGTAGAGAACCTCAGGTATACATCGGGCCCGGCACGAGATCATAGAGCGGCCTTGGGTTTAAATATCAGCGCCTATTCCGTTTGCCATGCTCTGATTTCTTGGTTTTGGTGGCCTCCTTCGGATGATCCTCCACGCTGGAAATCCCATTAGGAGTGATACGTGGTGGGCTGAACATGTGCCATGGCCTGGGTCAAGTGTGCTGCGAGGACCTTTGTCCGCTTCTGTGAAGAGAGACCTTTTCCAGTATCAAGACTAGTTATGATCCAAGAGACTGTCTTCGGTCCTATCATAAAAAGAAAGGACAAGCGAGACAGACGTCGAGTTGTGGTGATGAACAAAGAAACCAAAGAGAACCAAGCCCAGAAAGTTTTTGGACGTTCTTTGTCAAAAGGATCAACCGACGTCATGCAGACTGTCTGAATTAGCATGTCTTGGGATCGAAATAGAGTATGGCTTGCTGCAAGGTCCAAGTTCGTCTTTGAACAAACATGGCTCGTGTAAGTCTCATGGCTTGGCTCCCACCACCAGCACGAGCCTTCGTAACGAACAAATACCAGAACATGTCTTCATCTCGCCCACCCTGAAAGCAGTTTACCAAAATTCAATCTCTAGTCGATCCTTTTGCCGTGTGTTCTCCACGATGCGTCGTTTCCTATCAGTTTTGCTCTTTATGAGAGCAGCGCTCGCCTCATCCTGCGATGCAGAGCCATTGGTTCTGCCCCTTCGAGATGTCCAGGTACTTGGCGACAATAGACAGTCTATCATGAGAGGTATACCAGCGGAAGTTGGGACTCCGCCGCAGAAGATTGTGCTCTTACCCTGGGCGTATGATTGATACCCGATTATTTCTGCACTCGGCTAACCTTGACAGCGATTTGAATAATACCATCATCTACAACAGCGAGCCGTACTGCATGAACGACACAATGTACAGCGAAAAGTCCTGCATGGTCGAAAGAGGTGGCCTCTTCAACGAAAAGAATTCTACAAGTTTCAGCAAGGCCAAGAACCTCATCGGAGCAGGCGGCGCGCCAAACGAGACGATCTTTAAAGGCAGTGTCTACGGCATTAAGACTCTTCCTGAAAAGAGCATTGGGGGTATCGACAAGCTCAAACTCGAAGGCTCAGTTGAAGTTCCCAAGTTTTCTTTTGGTATACCAACATCCAACTGGGACGACAGCCACACCACTCTCAGCGCCCTCGGTCTTGGTCGTAACTCAACATATCTCAATGCTTTGCGAAAAGCGGAGAAGATAACTTCAAGAGTATGGTCTATATTCTGGGGCCAGTTCAGTCGTGAGAAGCCCTTCGATGGGTCGCTCATGCTAGGCGGATATGATGAGGCAAAGGTCACAGGGAAGAATTATACTGCGCCTTTGGTGTATGACCATTTCGATAAACCGCAAGGTTGCTATACGGGCATGAGGGTTACTGTGAGGGACATCACGATAAACTTTGTCGGCGGAACAAATGCGAGTCTCTTTACTGCAGGCACAGCGTTGAATTTCTGCATTGATCCTGCCCATGTTCTTCTTATGCAAGCACCGACAGATGTTTTTGACAAGTTTAAGAGCATCGCTGGGGTTGAAGGTGGCCATTCCACATCGGACCTGCACTGGATGGCTTTCCAACCAAGTAAAAGAAAGCAGTAAGTAGCCCATCCCGACCAGTCCCTTTATCTCTAACGTAGGTATGCAGATTCCATGGCGATCTCACCTTTTATCTCGACGCTGGTCTCGAGATCCGCGTCCCGAATAACCAATTCGTATTCCCAGAAGCAGAAATCGACAAAGCTGGTTCGAGAGTGTTAAACCAGACTCAAAAGAGCATTCTCATTAATGATATTGAGGATGAAGCACTGATTCTGGGAAGATATTTCCTTACCGCGGCATATCTGATGGTCAACCAGGATGCGGGGACTTTTACACTGTGGAAAGCGAATGTTACAGAGGAGAGTAAGCCAGTGAGGGTGTTTGATGAGACGACGGGAGAGAAGTGCGGTGATAAAGCAAGTGGCGTAATGCAGCCTTCTGCTTCTTCGACTGCAAAGCCAGACGAAAGCCAAGAAGGGAGGACATCGCCTTCTGGTGGAGTGATTGGCGGTATTGTAGTTGGCTCTATTCTCGGAGCAACTCTTATTGCGGCCGGTGTTTACTATGCTTTGTCCCAATACCGGAAAAGGAGAATGAAGAGTAAGTCAACCTTTGGACACGAATACTCAATAAAGAAGCTGACAATTTGGCAGAGAATACTTTCTACTACTATCCTGCGCATGAAGATATGCAGAGGTCGAATGTGCATGAGATGGATAGTACTAGCAGTCCACAGGCAGCCAAACCACAGCGGAAGATCATCGTATTTTGATTTCAGTTGTTTGTTCTGATTGTTTGAATGTATGGATTAATAGTGGGAGATCGCTTGTATTGTGTATATAGAAATAATCTTAGATAGTTTCACCTTTGGCCAGGCACTTCAAGACCTTTTAGCTTCTTGAGTTTCTTATGTTTCAAGCTTCACCATAAGATTGGACCAACTTTAGACAGTGAGCAATACTTCACCGGGGTGATTGGTGCGAGTCCCAGTACCGTTGGAACAAAATAGCCAATACAAGGAAGTGAAGCCCAGTATGAGAACTCGAGAGAAATCAAAGATAGGAAAGGATAGATAAAGATACAAAGCAACACAGATTGGAGGTCTTCAGTTATAGTAAGCCTATTGAACGTCCTAAATGAACCCCTAGTCGGAATATCCTCAAACTTCCAATCCCCAGGACTGCAGCAGGGCCCTTCAAGAGAACCATCTCTCGACCATAACCTCGGGAATTCGAAGATACGTATTAGCAAACAACATGATAAGGACCACCACAATGGTTCCCCACGCTTCCGGAGGCATATATGATTTATCATCATCTATTTCCCAAGTTCCCCAGTCGTAGTTGGGATCGTTGCGATGCGCACCACTGAGCTTGTAATCTATTCCCAGAAGCGTCAATAGCATGAGGTTGAACCGAAAAAATGTCTCAAAGAAATAGCCCAAATTGTCTCCGAAACGCAATGCATTATATAGTTTGAATGCTAGGATGGCGTAGGCAAAACAAGAGATGATCAGTGTTGAGTATAGCTCTCTGATCTCAGATACCTGTTGTGGAGGTGGGCCGGCAGAGAAAAGTCCCCAGCGGTCTGGGATGTGAAGAGTCTCCGACTGTATGGAATACGCTCGACGGGCCAGTGCAAGTTGCTTAGAGCTAATGACCCGGTGGCAGGGTTTGGGATCAGTCATGTTGATGATCTTTGTGAAGTTATCATGCTCAGGTTGGGCTTTCTAGGGAAGTGGTTGTTTCCAAGCGTTATAGGTTCATGAAAGAAAGGAAGCATACCACAAGAGGGAGCATGTGTGGGTATTTTGATGCTGCTGAAATCCCGGGAACTGCCATCGCAGAATTGGGGAATGAGCTTTTATATTCCTGTAAGGTAAGTTTCAAGTTGTGTCCTTATCGCTTGTTGACTTTCGCAAGAAGAAAACTTTGGCAGTGGAGGCTGCTAGCTACTGCGACAAGTTTGTCCATGATTGGAGATGAAGCTGAGGTAATTGGTGCCTGACTGGATGATGACTGTGAAGTCTAACTTAAGCTCCTGAGGTTGTACTTTCTGGAAAGATTTAAGGATCAGGAAGCAAGAGCTTAAAGGACTCCCGAATGTTTTACGAGCTGCGATTACCTACACTCTCCTTTTAACAGTTACACATTTCGCTTACTAGTTCTTCTTGAATGATCTACGAATGTGATCCAGTAAGTCATGGCAGGTTCTTCCATCATACTTGGTATTCGGATAGCAATTGTGACATCTAGGTAGGAAAGCTTAGATACAAGCAGGAAATCCTCAGTTCGGTAGCTGTACTCCAGCCTCTTTGGCTAGCCTCAAGATCTCGTTTGTTACAGCCCCCACGTCGTGACTCTTGATCGGTATTCGATGCCCGCCATCCCATTCGACCAGAGTGGTTGTGCCAGTTTCGCAGTAGTTGTTCAAAAGGATCCTATGCTGCTCCATTCCTCCATCCCGAAGTCCATGGACGTGTAGTGTTGGTATACTCAAGACATGGTCACCCTTGTTCGACTCGGGCCAGTCTTTAAACTCCGAACTCAACATTGCCGCATCGACAATTGGTGGTGGCTGCTGCAGGCGATGGTCAAGTGTGATCAGAGGTGCTCTTCCGGCCATGAGTACGCCAAACTTAAACCGAGTCAAGCTCTCATCCGCCCCAAACTGCTCCGTGATCTTCTGCTGCGTCCATAACAAACTCGCTGCGATTTTGGCACCTTGGGAGAAACCAAGAATGCCGACCCACTCTCCGGTCCCGGGATCGTTGTCCATAGCTCGGCGGGTCTGGTTCCGAATTAACTCGGCAGCAGCCTCGGGCTCGATCGCCTCGTGGTCGGGTTGCCATCGGAGCCAGCGTCGAAAAGGCCCGTATTCACCGTATACGCTGACGATGTCGGGATGAGGAGCTGAGATAAAGGGCGCTTGCATAAAAACGAGGCGGAGAGAGGATCTGAGGTGGGCGATGAGAACGCGGCATTGTAGCTCAAAGACTTCTGCATTGACACCGCCGCCGTGGAGACAAAGAATGCGGGGAAGATGAAGCGTTTCTGAACCGTTGGAAGATTGTGTTTGTGTCATTTTGATCACTGGATCACTGACAAGAGTTGGAAAGAGTCTGAAGTTAGCAGTTTTGGTGGTTTTACAAGAAAGCGTTTTCTTCGGTACTAAGACACCGATGTAAGCTATAGGCACTACAGGTACCCTTTGAGCACAGAGCTCGGGTAAGCTTTCAGTCACATTCCCGTAATCAGATGCATTCGGAGTCCGAAATGTGCAGCATAACAATCAATGACAATGCATCGTATAAAAGATGATACTAATCCCAAAAGATCCCCGGCATAATTATCATCAGAGTTAAGTCAACATTTATAAATTCACATGCTAGACCCTTCCATCACTTTAATCACCTTGTTTACGGTGGAAGCTCTCCCATTGGTCGACAGCGTGGCAGTGTAGGACCCTGAGCTCCAGCCACGCAATCGTTACGTTGGGAGCCAAGCCACGGGCGATGACATCAAATCCCCTCCTCCATGAACGTGTCGCACGTTGGTTCCTTGCATTCACGAACCGGTTTCGCATTGTTTCACGCCACCTCCCAGACTCTTTACAGTAACTAAAGTGACGAGGCCTCTTTGTAGCACTAACATAGATTAGATTGTACTCTATTTACCCATGCCAATGCCTAGCTCGTAGTCCCCTATTAAACACATCCATCCCAGATCTTGGGGCACCTTCCACTCTCTTCTCAATTCCTAGCTGTTCTCTTCTCTTATACCTGATACGCAGCTACCCCGCCATCCATCGATACGACTTCAACCTTACAACCCCAACATTCTACCTACCTACATATCATAACTTCGATGTCTAATCCTGAGAAAGCTCCTTTGAATCCTGCTGGTGACCAGCAGGGAAGCGGCTTACTGCCTACCGCCCAGCCAGGCCAGCAGAACCCTCCTTACGATAACTCTGCCCCTCCTGGCTACGAGCAAGGAGCCGCTGAGCTTCCTACCGACGAGAAGCAGCAGCAACCTCCTCAATACGCTCCTCCTCCTGGAGCTGGGGTCGAATCATCACAATCGGCTACGGACGAGAAGCGCAGACTGGACCAGCAATACTTCCCTCCCCCTCCTCCTGGCCCTCCTCCTGCGCAAGATCAACACCAGCAACCTGCCGCTCATCCAAACCCTCTTCAGGGCAACCCAGTCAACGCTGCTCAGCAGCCCCAAGAGTCTCACAAGCCTCTCGATACCCAGCAAAGCCAGCAAAACTACACCATCCCACAGTACAACCCTGCTCAACCTGCTTTCGCTCCTCCTCCTACAAACCCTACAAACGAGCCGGTTCAGCCAACCACCACAGCTCCTACTCATAGCGAGCCCGTCGCTCACAGTGCTGATCAAGGACATGGACATGGCTTTTTCGGGCATGGACACGGTCAAGATGCAGGAAACACTTCTACGTTTGTCCCTCCCGAGGAAAACAAGAAGCCTGGCTGGAGCGAGCGTTTCAGCGCGCTTGGTATGAAGGCTGCGGCACCCATCAACAACTTGGCGCACAAGTTCGGTAGCCAAAGTTTCCTCCCCGAGACTCTTGAGAAGGAGTGTGACAAGGCCGCTTCTATCCTAAAGTCCTTCTGCAGTAAGTCATGTCCAAACATTCGCACTTTCACTTACTAACAATGTGTAGAAAATGGTGTCTATGCCGACCCTACTTCAAGCCAGGTTCCCACATCCACAGATCCTAAGGCTGAAGCGACCAATGACAAGATTATTGATCCTACCAAGGAAAAGCCCAAGGAGCGAGTTCTTGTTAACATCCCTCCCAAGGTTATTGCCAAGGCTCAAGGTCTCGCCATCTTCACTACCCTCCGTGCCGGCTATGCCTTCTCTGGCGCCACTGGTTCCGGTATTCTCATCTCACGTCTCCCTGACGGATCATGGGGCCCACCCTCAGGTATCCAGGTGCACTCTGTTGGCGCTGGTTTCATGATCGGTCTTGACATCTACGACTGCGTTTGCGTCATCAATAGCCGAGAGGCGCTCAACGCTTTCGCCAAGACCCGCGTCGCTCTTGGTAGTGATCTCGCTGTTGTCGCTGGTCCTTATGGTGCTGGTGGTGCCGTTGAGATCGGTGCTGCCATGGACGGAAAGAAGTCTAAGGAGGCCAAGGATGAAGAGGCTCCTCCCAAGCCTCCCCGACCTACCGAGGACAACCAGAACTTGAAGCCCGAGGATGAGAAGCAGAAGAAGCGTCGCTCTTTGAGCGCCAGCGGTTTCAAACCTGTGTTTTCATACGTCAAGTCTCGTGGCTTTTATGCCGGTATTCAAGTTGACGGCACAGTCGTGGTGGAGCGCAAGGACGCCAACGCTGCATTCTATGGCGAGCGCGTTTCCGTTGAGCAGATCATTCGAGGAGAGGTTCCTCGCCAGAGCCCAAACAGCATGTGGCCCGCTGGCGCACGCAACCTCCTTGAGACCCTAAAGGGAGCTGAAGTCGGATCTCTCAAGGTCAAGCACAGCAAGGATGGTGCGTCCCCGACCAGAGACGGATTCGGTGGCCTTTCTACCGACCCTTCGGTGCCAGTAACCTCGGGAGGCGTTCCTGGTGATGCGGCGCATCCCCCTGGTTATGTTGATGATGGAGTTCACCGACCCGAGGTTGGAGATGTCAAGTACCGTTAAAGATGAGACATTGATGAGTTTACGAGATACCACCCGAAAGAGGAAGTGCTTAGCTTTTAATCAGAAGTAGTGTTAGCCTAAATCACAATTGCTTTAACTCAATGATTGTTGTCTCATGTAAGCGATATAAGCTTATATTATGTTTCAGACACTCTAACCGATTCCGATTTGCTGCCCATGTCGTTCATTTGTTTTTCATTCTCTTTACCTCTCGAGGCTCCAAGTCCTGACCCAATCTATCTTCCAACAACTAAATTGAAATGGGAACTGCAATGTAGTATTGTCAACTCACTTTCGCAAGTCGAATTCAATCATTTCCGTCAAGGTGCAGGGTAGCACAAACTGCTCGTGACAGCTGCGCCACACCCGCGTCATTGCCCCTCCAACGTGGCGGACCCGTCATTTTTGATGAAGTCATTTCTAGCAACCCAGTGAAACTGAAGTTGGCAAAAAGCTATAGACAGTAAACGGCTCTGAAACTTGTGATCGAGGTTCGCAAACGAAGCCATGTCGACGTAAGAAGCTTTAACTACTACTGCCCTATCCGAGGGGAGCTACTGACAGTCAACGTGTTAGAAACTTTCTCTACCTCCCGTTTCGCAAGTCGACTCAGCTGTCGCTCGCCTCGACAATAAGGCAGTATATCAACACCAAATATGATCAGCACCCGGATATGTTCAAGCATGACCTCGAGGTCATCGATGCCCTTCGTCGCGATGCAGTCAACGTTCGAGAACCGCATCCTAGCGGGATTAAGAAGCTACAGGCATATGCGGGTCAGCTTGTTTGGGTTGGAGGGAAGTTTCCGATAGATGTGAGTATCACGCGATGCTGGCTAATCGCGAAGCTAACGGTAGTCGTAGATTGGTGCCGAGTTCTCTTGGTATCCCGCTCTTGGATATAACACCGATCGACCTATGGTGCGGAACAACTTGAAGTACGAGCTCATGAACATCCTTTACAACCTCGCCTCTCTTTACTCCCAGCTTGCGATTCATACACCACGAGGCAACACCGAAGGTCTCAAGTCCGCAGCCAACTACTTCTCTCTCGCCGCCGGCGTTCTTACACACATGCAAAAAGAGGTCCTCCCCGAACTACGAATGTCCGATCCGCCCGAAGACATGGATCATGATACCCTCGAGTCCCTAAGCCAACTACTCCTCGCCCAAAGCCAAGAGTGCTTCTGGCAGAAAGCCGTTATGGACGGCTACAAAGATGCATCGATTGCCAAGCTTGCCGCTCGCGTGTCCGATCTGTACCAATTTGCTGGAGACGCTGCTGTGAAGAGCGATACTATCAGCAGTGCGTGGATCCACCATATGAGCGCCAAGCACCATCACTTTGCTGCGGCTGCGCAATACCGAGCAGCGTGCGATTGTCTTGAGAAGAGAAAATACGGCGAGGAGGTTGCGCGATTGAAAGATGCTGTTACTTGTGCGACTGATGGTCTTAAGGAGGCTCGCAGTGGGTATCTTGGCAAAGTTGTGGTTGATGATTTGAATGGGTTGAAACGAAAGGTTGAGGAGGATTTGAAGCGAGCCGAGAAGGATAATGACGTTATTTACCTGAGTATGTGTGCTTACCATTTTGTTTCGCTATTGACTAACATTCCACAGTCGCTGTGCCGCCCAAATCGGAGCTCAAGATCCTCGATCGTGCAAATATGGCTGTTGCTCGAGTGCCTCCTCAAATTGGAAACCCTTACGAGTACTTTGGCGACCGCGCCGAGTTTGGACCAGCCCTTTTCTCTCGCCTCGTTCCTTTCTCCGTACACGTTGCGACTTCCATTTACGAAGAAAGACGAGACCGTATGGTCAGCCAGAATATTATTCAAGAGCTGGAATCACTTACGGAAAAGATTCACGAAGTTTTAGCGTCGCTTGGATTGCCTGGATCACTACAAGCTCTTGAGAAGCCTCTGGGTCTACCACCCAGCTTAGTTCAGCATGCCGAGGAAATTCGTCAAGCAGACGCTATCAACAGAGTGCATAAAAGCTTTGCCGATATCGATAAACTACGATCGGGGGATATGGCTATTTTTGAAGAGGGTAAAGCCGCTTTAGCAGCGGAAGAAGAAGAGGATCAAAGATTACGGATGAGATATGGCACAGACCGATGGGTGCGACCTGAGAGCCGACAGGATCCTCAAGGTGAAAAGCTTTGGCAGCATGCTACCGAAATTGATAGCTACTTCCAGAGCAGTTTTAGCAGTGATGCTCTGGTAAGAGAGAAGTTCGGCGCTGTTCAGGATCTGCTTGCTATTCTGTCAGGGTCTGATCGAGACCTAATGGACTCTGTGCCATCCAGTCGACGAGTTGATATCCCCGAGACATTGAAGCCAGCCATAGGAAGACTCCGAAGCGCATATAATGACGTTTTGCGTCTTGAGAGTCGTCGTCGCAAGAAGGTTGAGGCTCTGCGAGAGAACGCTCGTAGGGATGACATCAAGCCTGATATTCTCAAGGAAGCAGCTCGATTAGAACGAACATACCCTAACACGGCACTCGTTCCGGCGCACTTTGAAGAGTTCTTTGACAAGCGTCTAGACAAGTTATACGAGCCCGAGGTTGAAGCGATTGAGAAGGAAGCGCAAGACCAAGACCGTCTTCTGCAAGATGTCCAACGGGTTAACCGCGAATTCGAAGCGCAGAAACGACAAATGGGCGAGCGAGGAAACCGAGAGCGTGAGATGGCGTTGCAGAAGTTAGATACCGCCTACTTTAAGTATAAGGAGATCATCAACAATCTGGAGGTCGGAAGGAAGTTCTACAATGATCTGAATAAGATTGTTGGACAAGGCTTCCGCGATGTAATTCGCAATTGGGTTGCCCAGCGCCGCATGGAGGCAAGGGCCTTGGAAGAGTATGTTGCTAATATCTTGAAGACGAAATGTTTACTAATGGATTATAGGGAGATTAGCATGCCTACGTTGTCGAATCTCAGCATTTCTCACCAACAGGCGCAAGCTCAAGCTCAAGCCCAGGCCCAGGCACAAGCCCAGGCTCAGGCGCAAGCACAGCAAGCCCAGGCGCAAAGCCCAATGCCTTCTCACCAGGAACCCTCACATTCCTTTGCTCCACCGCAGCAACCCCCCCAACCCGTACAGAGCCCAGCACAGGCAAACATTCAGTCTTGGGGGGAGACAGTACAGCAACCTAAACCAGTACAACCTCAGCAAGCAGCTCCTATGGGCGCAATGTGGAATCCTGGCATGGGTATCAAGTTTGGTCAATCATCGGGTGGTTCCGGTCAACCTCCCCCTCCTGGAACGTGGAACCCCAACGCTGGAATCAAGTTTGGTTAAAACAAGCTTGTAGAACTGTTACAGCATATACCCTGTTACTTAGAATTGCAACCACTTTGTGTTTCCAACATAGCATATGAGGCGAATGCGAGCTCTTTAGATACTTTTTATTACTTATTAATCAAGTATTTTCCTGACTCAAAACCTTTTGTGAAAGAAGTCTATGTGCTGAACCCCGTCTACCACACTCTACTGCCAATTCATCGAACAGTGTACACCCCATGGCTGACAGCGTGATATCCCTTCTTACCAACCTTGCCCGTCAACTCACTCTTCCACTCCTTGCCCTCCGCAATTAGTTCAATCACCCGCTGAAACGTATAAACAGGCTCCCACCCCAACTCCATGACCGCCCTGCTCGAATCATACACCCGATCAATCCTCTTTAAGTGCGCCCAACCCTTCTCCCCAAACACCCGCGCACAATCAGGCGCGACCGTCTCAAAAACCTCCTTAGGGTTCCTGTCCAGTGTCGCAAGCGTGTGAGCGTCCTTCTGGAATGGGGGAGGTGCGCTGATGATGTACTTCCGGAACTTGATGGAGCGCGCTTTGGACATGGCGCATACGGCGGCGCGGACGATATCCTCCATGTCGACGCGGCGGTAGGTTAGTTCGAGGACTTTGAGATTGTCGTCGGAGAGAGCTGCGCGTCGATCTTCATCGTCGTCCTGTTCTGGGAAGAAACGGCTCGTTCGAAGGACAATGATGGGCAAGCTGGTTTGTTTGTGGATGAGAAAGCAGATATCCTCTGCTGCGACCTTTGTAGCGCCGTATATGTTCTTCGGAATTGGGATGACAGTCTCGTCAATCCATGCAGCCGGCTGTCCGGGCTTGGGACTCAGCGCGGCACCAAATGTGCTCGTCGTGCTGAAGAACACAAAACTCTTAATCGTTTCCTTGTACTTGGCTGCTTCCTCCAGAAGAACCAGTGTACCTGTGATGTTTGTGTCGATAAAATCCTGCTTGGAGTGGCTTTCCACATGAGGCTTGTGAAGCGTCGCTGCGTGAAGAACGTGCTGAATTGGATTGTTCATGAAGATGTCTGTGATGAAGGAATGGTCTGCGATAGAGCCTACAAGGTGAGTGTTCTCTGAAGGGAGGATGTCGATTCCCAAAGGTTTGAAGCCGAGGGTAGGAAGGGACAGCATTAATGCTGTGCCGAGATGGCCGGATGAGCCTGTTACTAGGACGTTATAGGACATGATGAAAGATTTCTAGGTTAGTATAGGAGGAGGGTGAGGAGAGTGAGTGTTGATGGGAGGAGGATTGTGGTGATGGAGTCGGCGTTTTTGTATTGGAGGTTAGTGGGGTTGGAGACGGCGAGTGAGTCAGGCAGGCACTAGGAACCAGCAACAACGAAAGTGAATCAGAATGAAAAAATAGCACATATTAACAGAATTGAGAACGCGTGGTTGTGATGCTGTGAGATGGTGTACAGTATTGTTGTGAGATGTCGCTGTGAAAGTGAGATTAGGTGGGTTGAGTTTCACAACGACTGTGTAAGGCTGAGCTGAGAAGCACTCTGTATGGATTTATCTATGCTACGTAGATTACATAGCAACTGATTATGAATAGAGCATAGAAATTGGTGGGGGTGGGAATGGTTGAGAACGGCGCAGGTAAATAAATGCCTTCCTGAGTGGCGACCATGGATGATACTACGAAATTGTTATTTCGATCACTCCTCTGACAAAGCCCCGGGGCAGTAAATACTAACCGAGTAATTTCAGCCTGAGAGCTTGTATTATCTCCATTTAATGTGTTCGGTCTAAGCCAACATCGCTCACGATATACAGTAAAAAGCCAAGTACCCTATAGGGTATGGGACAAGGCATTTCCTAAGACTTGGGATTACCAGAATATATGGACCAAACGCTGATATTACGTGGTATAGAATGACCAGACTTGTTTAAATCTTATGGTCTATACGTTCGAGGTTGCTGGGATCCCTGATGGTATCTGTAAACGTATTGCGAGCAAGATACATGGCCTTCATTGCCGTATCCTCACTTTAACCACCAAACCCCATCCTGTCTTGCCTTCCCATATTCCCATAGCATTCTCTTTTCTAAAAGTCACCTCCTCGGCCTTGACAACCATAGTGACTGGCTCTTCCTCCTGTACCTTCGGCTTGGGCGGTGGTGTTTGTGGCTCATTCTTCTTGAACAGACCCCATCTCGAAGACTTCTTGGTCTGTTCGACATGTGCTTTGACAACCTGTCGATCGAGTCTTTCAGGTGATATGTATTTTGCCAATCGAACAGCCATATCGTGGTCTGACCACCAGAGAACATCGTCTGAGGAAGAGCTCTGCGTGGTATTGTCTTCCCATCTTCCCCATTCGTCGAAGGCCCTGTCTTTACGAGGTTCACTTTCTTTCTTGGGCGCTTGTTTTTGGTCGCCTACTAACTTGCAATCCTCTGTTACTCGCACAACTGTACGAGAGTGGTCTTCATCTTCAAAGATCCAGTCTTCTCCAACTGCATCCCCCGGAACCAAGATCATTTCTGCTAGCCGTGGGGGCGGTTCCAAAGCCGCGATTGATGATAGCATTTCTTCCACATTGGGAATGAGGAGAGTCAGGATCTCACTGTCTCTTTGGTCGCGGGCTGATGTGCGAGCTGCTTGGACGGAGTGAATGCGATTGGGGAGATTGTGAAGATGAGAAGAGAAGATTGTTGTTACTGATTGTCGTGGTTCAGAGATCGGTGTTGATACTGATGGACCTGATTCGGTATACGGGGGAGGAAGCTCCCCATCATCGAATGCGTCTTTGGACATTGTGGTGGATATTGTTTGAGCCAAGTCTGGGATTCGAAATGAGAGTTGTACGACAATGCAATACTGCCCAACGCCCGATGAACATATACAGAAAGACGAACCTGCGGCGTTTAAGTCAAAATCAGCCCACAAGCATTAACTCTCAGTTGTGGTTGGACTCAGCCTTGCATCAAGATGGTGACCGAGACCGGAAGCGTAGTATTAGATTAATCAACCAGGCAATCGCCGAGAGTTTGATAATGTAAATGACAGCCTTGGGCTGCACTTTATCTCTACCTGATGAGAGGAAGTCATGTTAATTGGTTGACTGTCGTGGCGCAGCATGCCAAGGAGACTTCAGCTTCTGGACATTCCAGGCATTGGAGTACATGTGATCATGTTCACTGCAGTCGGGCGTAACATTTGTCCCCGCAATATCATGATGCCAAGGGTCCGAGACACCAGATTCGGATACCGGCAGGAAAGAAGGCATGTCTCAGTGATATGATATCATGAGAGGAATTGTGAAGTTCATGTTTCCGTGGGTCTCAAGGGTATGGCGGAACGGAAATTAGACGGGTCCATCTACAGGGGGCTGTGCATGCGGCTGGAGAGTTAGACTTGGAGACTTACTGGAAGATGCAGGAACAAAAGTTTAAGATTTCCAAGAGATTTAGAAAATAACAATTGTTGGGAAATGGATCAACAAGCCTCAATGCGCAAAGAATGTTCGAGTATTGTATCAATTCAACGATCAACTTTCGGGTGATTGGCGATGGCCCTTACAATGCCCAGCTTCAGTGCTCAAACCAACCACAAAGGATGGATCTGCCCATGCTTTGATGACTCCTTTGATTTGTTCAAAAGTTACGAACAACGCCTCCCTGTTCATGTCTAGTGCCAATCCCCCATATTGATTATCTCCAAGCGATATCGCCCAGCCTTACAGTCAAGTCACGGGATGCATCCTGCATACCCATTTCGGAAACGCGAGGAAGCCTTCTGGAACGAATGTCAATAACCCCACAAGGTATGATCGACAAGGTTCAGGGGTGTTGGGAGAACTCCGCCACCACCTCGAGAGCTTCACCACTGGTGACAGCGCGAACAGGCGAGGCACTCCGATAAAGCAGATCATGTGCAAGAACCCTGCAAGGCAGTAGCTTTGAGACATTCGAGGTTGAGTTTGTGTTGGATATCATGTCGTGCGACGTCTATATAAGACTCTTGTTGGTCCCTTCATCAAGCCACTTTTCAAAACACCATAACAATTCGATATTCTCTAGTAACTCATAGTTCTAGGGATTTATAACACACTCGTTGCAAACAGCTACCAACTGTCATAACTTGACAGTCTCAACTTTATCTACACACCAACTTCCAACCACCTTCAGTCTGACGACAACAACAATTCATCACAATGTCTTACAGAATCTCTGCACCAGATGAGTACCTTGCCATCACTGGCATGGGAATTAAGACGGTCAAGATCGCAAAGGCAACTTGGGTCTGGCCTCTTCAAAGATGCACACGCTTCAGGTATGGAACACACTTCTCGAGTTCAATCCAGCTACTAACTTAATAACCAGTATCCGACCACACGACTATGCTATGGACCTGCAGGCCATGACAAAAGAGAAGCTGCAATTCTCTCTGCCTGTAGTCTTCACAGTTGGTCCCGACCTCAACCAGCGCGGCGCCAACCAGCGTGGCGGTGTTGACGATGAAGCCGAGGACATCTTGGCTCGCGAAGATCGAGGTGATGCTTTGATGAAGTATGCTATGCTTCTGGCGGATGCTGAAGCGAAAGAGCATGTCCACCAGAGCCAGCATGTCGCAAACATCGTCAAAGGTATCATCGAGGGTGAGACCCGAGTCTTGGTCTCGAGCATGACCATGGAGGAGATCTTCACAGAGCGAGAGGTCTTCAAGAAGAGAATCTTCAGAAACATCCAGAACGAGCTTAGCCAGTTCGGAATGTTCATCTTCAACGCTAATGTAAGCACCCTCAAGTTTGAGGTATCGTAAAAGTATCGTGAGCTAACACAGTTCCCAGGTCAAAGAGTTGAAAGATGCCCCCGACTCAGTATACTTCGCCTCACTCTCCCGCAAGGCCCATGAGGGCGCTACAAACCAGGCCAGAATCGACGTGGCAGAGGCTCAACTACGCGGAAACGTAGGAGAAGCCCAGCGAATTGGAGAGCAGGAGCGTGAGATCGCAAAGATCAACGCCGAGACCGCGGTCCAGAAGACAGAGCGTGATATTGAGCGCGCTCAAGCAGAAGCACACCTTGACACCAAGAAAACAGGCCTCACTCGTGACGTAGACATCGCTAGGGTTACAGCCCAACGTATCCTCGAGTCCAAGGATGAGGACCTTAAGAAGGAGGTCGAGATCAAGCGCGGGGCTGCTGAGATGGAACGTCTTCGTGCTAGCGACGTTGTCAAGGCTACTATTGAGAGGGAGAGCAAGCAGCAAGCCGCCGACGCAGCTGCCTACGAAGTCGAAGCTGATGCTCGTGCTCACCAGGAAGCTAGTCAGCGCAAGACTGATGCCCATGCTTACCAGACCAAGATCGCCGCCGATGCTGATGCCGCTGCGTCTTATGCAAAGGTTACCAAGAGCACCGACGCCGCAGCTTATCAGACTCGCAATGATGCCGAAGCATTCAGCTATGCCACTCAACAGCGCGCTGAGGCTGAGCTCGTTGCCAAGCTCCGTGAAGCAGAGGGTATCTCCGCCATGGCTGACGCCTACGGCAAGCTCTCCAACGCCTTTGGCGGTCCTGCTGGTCTCCTTCAGTACATGATGATCGAGAAGGGCACCTATGTCGAGCTGGCCAAGGCCAACGCTGCTGCTATCAGGGGTCTCGAGCCCAAGATCAGCGTGTGGAACACTGGCAGCGCTCAAGGCGGCCAGGGCGCTGACCCTACCGAGACTATGCGCAATGTTTACCAGATGCTTCCTCCTCTGATGAGCACTATCAATGAACAGACTGGAATTACCCTGCCTGAGTGGCAGTTTGGAAAGATGAGTGCTGGAGTTGACGCGGTTAACCAGGAGGGTACCAAGGTCAACGGACACAAGAGTCACTAAACGGCTATTGGCTACGAGGTGGAATCCAGGGGGAACTTGTGGTGGTTGCGGGATTGATGGACGATCTTTATGTAATTATGCTTTGAGATATCCGGCTTTTGCCATGCTCGCTTTTCTTTTGTCTTTAGACTGTATTAGTATTTGATACCACCTTTCTAGTTCAAATTGAAAACTCTATAATACATCTCTTCTCACCCTACGCCGAAGATTCTTTGACTGTGCCAATCCAAGGAAATATCCCCTAAGAACCCCATACGATTGCTCAATCCGTAGAGCGGTGTTCCTCTCTATGCCCATACCGTCACGTCACGGCTTCGCGAAGGCTCCGGCGACCCTCTGCTTAAGAACAGGTTCCAAGTCCTAAGAATATTCCTTGTCGAAGCTTACTCGTTGATTCAGGACCACCTTAGCTGTATGAGGCTTGCTCTCCAGCGAAGCAGCATACCCACCGATGAGCTGTCGCCAATAGTCTTCTGTAGGGCGTCGATGGTGTTCTTGAGGATATCTTCGAGTACATCTGTCACCGTTGTTCGTAATATGGGATGGTTGTGTATCTATTCGAGTAATTTCGTCCATTGAGTAGCCTTGGGTCCAATGACTTCAATCTTCTTAACCCAACCAGGCGGGTAACAGAAGAATTGTCTCCCAAGTTAGGCTACCATAATAAAGTAGCCGACTTGCTGATTTACGCTAGAATAGAGTGACCCAATTACTTTGTCTCTTATTCCTCCAGGGGCCAGTTCTTCTGATGCTTTAATGACAACCTCGAACTGCTGTTATTGGGGGCGGCGTCGCATAGCAACTGCCAACAGGCTTGTGACCTGTCCTACGCCGCTTGGCGACAGGTGGTCTGGAAATAACCGGAAGCTTCTCGTGTTAGATAGTGGACTCGGAGTTCCCGTAAATGATTATGTTGTTCTGTCTGTATACTTTGAAGGACCTGCTCCTCCAAAAGTCTTAAAATAGGGATCAGTTCATGTATGCCTTAATCACATCGTTCTCGAGACCCAAACGTTTCAGGATTCACTGGGATGGAGCGAGGCAGAAAATGGGACTTGAGAGTTTAGGGAGAAAATATTATCTTATTAAGTACGCATTACGGGCATCTTTATCACCAGATGTGTCACTAGCAAACCTCAAATAGAAGTGAGTCAGGGCCGGAGAAACAGGGAATGGAATTTGAGCGTTAGGGCGGGGTCTCGCGAAACTGAAGATGTTTGTATCTCCGAGTTAAAGAACGAGTTGC